ATTAGTTTCCATCGAATTGATCAATTGCAAACAACAATCGTCGCTTCGATCGAACTGTTGTATTCGATAACTGACTATAGTACTGCATATCTTGAAAATGGCGAATATGAAATATTATATATACGAATAATATAATTTATTTGCTTGACCCCTCTACAAATAAGCGACCGACTATGGCTTATATAGAATAGACCATAAGTCATTAACTATTTTCTCATTTCAGTTCCTTTCCTGGGTAAAATGAAATGTAAAAAATATATTGAATTGTAAATATCTTACGTTTTGGAATAATGTCAACGGTTTTCTTCATTTTTTCTAAAGTATAAATGCAAGAAGAAGAGCTCAATTATCTTTATTTTCCTATACGTATGTTGTATAATTAATGTTTTAATTTATTCAAATAAACTCCGTTGATAAACACTGTTTTATTATCTCCTGGACCTGGTCTAGTAAAAATTCATTGCCAATTAAAAAACTCGTTCGTTTTTCCAAAATGGTATTTATTCTGTAAATATAAGTTCTGGACAAGTAATAAGCTTGGGTTTCACGCGATTCCATAGCGAGCCGTCCGAAATAATCTAAAATGTGATTCATGACGTCAACGTGTCTCGTTTCCAGTTGGCTATATTTAGGACGTAGGAAATGAAATTTCTATGCAAAAAATTTACCTTCTAACAATCTTATTTTATCTTCCAGGCTTTCCGTTGTCCCCCCTTCGCCTCTGTCACCTTTTACACCAGGCAGACCCCTCCTACCCTCTGGCCCTCGCTTTCCAGGCCTTCCCTGGCACTGATCAGCACAGCTATGACTCGATGCAGTTTTGTCAGTCATTAGAGCAGAACAAAACTCGTATACGTTCGGTATGTCACCTAAAACTGCAGGTATGATCACGACACAGCACCATAATACGACAAAAGATTTATGCGGCATATCTATTTTATTTAATATTAACCGCAATAAAAAAAAGTATATTGTAGAAAATTTGGGCAAATATTTTCATCTTTGAAAAGCTTCCATATGTCCTGATAAATGTAATTTAAAATTGAAATGAACATATCGTTATACGGCTATACCCTCTGTTCAATATGTTAAACATTGAAGTTAACGGCTTTGTTGTATCTTAACTTCCAAACTATTATTTTGCATCATTCCGAATTTACAAATACTACTCCAAGACTAGATGCCGCTAATGTTTTTTTGACTTTGCCATCTTATATATATATATAAATATTAGGTCATCAGGGAAATAACGTTATATTTCACATTTTTTTCAAATTGAAATGACAATGGTTTTAATGTGTGAATTGAATGAGCTTCAGTATTTTCTCGTGGGAAACTTACATGGCGCTGACTTTCCTAACCACATCGTATGATTAGATATTATGTTAAAGGCATTTACCGAGCCACTAATAATCCAATAGGTTGGTGGTGATTGATTTGATATTTTAAATCAGTGCTTACGCTAATAAATGTAATTTGTTGAAATCCAAGTAAGACTGGTTACAAACACTCATTTAGTTCAATATCCAAGCACCGCTTATTTTGTGTTTCAAGGAGGCGAATACTGTGCGTGCGGGAAAGACGATATGTCTGGGCGCATGCTTGACCAAGCTTATTTTTACGAAAAAGTTCACAAGTTTCGTCGCTAATAATTATAAGAAACAAACGGGCCGACACGGATGCCTTGACCAATGAACGATCCGTCAACGCAAACTACGATGAACCCGGCATAGGTGATTATATTCGCGGCACTCCCAGAGAATCGTATTCTTCTTTCATTGGGCAGTGATAGACCTCCCTTGGGACACACAATAAGACAAAAGTGACCCAATGAGTGCGTTGACGTTTAGGTTGAGAAACATGTAAAATTTTTGCAAATTCCAACTAAACGGTTAAGTACCTATAGGCCTTGAATCTAAAATTCAGTGTAAACTAAGCTTGGTTCAAAGTGGTAGGCTTATTGGAAGGATGGCATTCGATGGAGAAATTTCTAACAATCAGTCGATCGCAAGATATTAAGAAAATGTTAGTCGATCTCGGCGATCCGCTGCGCATATCCATATATTGTAAACTGTAGTAGTTTTTAGGATAAAAGCTTTGGAATCGTGTGGTAATTGTCACAGCTCAAAAAAGCAACAGAAAGTCATAGCTATTTAAAGATGAGAATCACTCAAAAAAATTCAGAAACCCGAAAATCTGCATGCGTGCTTTTTTCCGTTCGGCATTCTTTTTTTTCGATAAATATTACTATCCAAATAAAAGGTTATGAATATTTCTTTGTTCAAACCAGAAAACTGTCAAGAACAGTATAATATTCCTGAGTTCACCTTGACACCCATGAATTTGTTGCGACGCTGCAGGTGGCTACGAGACGCACAATAAAGCATGGACCGCAGAGATCTTTACCGGGTGAGGCACAGCAGGATTTTGAGCCTGGTGCGAAGTTCGCAAGGACATTCTCATTGTAATATAAATTCATTTTTTTTGAAGCATTGATCAACTGCAGAGGCATTGATATAATGAACCCAATGAAAATTTTACTTTACAGTCCAGATTTATAAAAGAATCATTGTCACAATTCATTCTTGAGCTCTCTTGATAACGTTTACCCATCGATAAGTATACGAGCAATTAAACTGTTGTCCGAATTTTCAACCAGTTACTTCTAGCTTCAATTAAAACGAAACAAATAAATCGACTGTGAGCCGCTGCAGAGCTTTGTGTTGCAAAACCTTTTTTAGATGCCTCGTTTGTAGTCCTGTATTGAAAACGACACAGTAGCAAAATTCTCCCTGGAGTTATATGATTTGACATCTGCATGTTTTTATGTGAGATGTGTATCTTTTTTACGCATTATGCGTGCCCAGCACTGCATTTTATTACGCAAATATAAGTTATTATTTTATGTTCCACCCAATTCAGTTTTTGTCGGCACAATAATTTGATAGTTTTTCCTCATGCGAAATGTTTTTAGGGAGTGCCTTTTTTTTCTAAAGACATAGTGATTGCTCGACATTACGCAAATATATGTTATTATTTTCTTTCCCCTAATTTCAGTTTTTGCCGGCCCGCAAGTACATTTTATTTAAATTTACCGGTCTGCCAGGGTAGAAAGGTTGGGAACCACTGTTCTAGAGACATATCGGTGGATTGACCGTTCAACCAATCTCAATGTTGGAATCAGAAGTTATTATCAAAGAATATTATGCTTTTAATTTATTTTGTCCCTTTTATGTATTTTGTTGGCGGCTTTTTGATTATCTCTACTTGGACCTCTATCAATTTCATACACGATCTAACACAAGTTGAACGAGTTTTATTGAAAATCATTAATGCGTTATGCCTACTTATGAAATTTATAAGTGTTATGAAGAAAAAATACAATACTTAGATGCTCATGCACATGTATACAAAAAGTAATTGTCATCATTTTTCTCGTACGTTGCCAACATCTGAAGCAGTCTACAAAATTTGAAAACTTTGAAAAAAATAAACAACATATTTTATGATTGCTGATAAAACTGAAAATTTGAAACGCGGTTCAATAGTGAAAAGAAAAACAACTAGTCGATTTAGTGTTTGATAATGAGCCAAAAGTTAGCTTAATATTTCAGTAAAATCCTGTGAAGGCTTTTCTATGTCGTTTGTAAGCCTATTCAAAGTTGAATAGCATGGATTCTTAGAACATGTCGTGACATTCGCCTCGAATTACTTCCATTCTCATGCATTGGTGATTATTCCATGATAATGGGTACAAACGAATAAGGCGACAAATCAGAGGTTTGTGAAACATGTTAATCACTTTAGAATTCTCATCCGTGTTTCCTAAAAAGACCTATAGTAAAAAATAAAAAAAATATCATTTTACAAAATACGACAAACATTATTGTTATAATTTCGATATAAAAAAAAGCACAAAAGAATAGATGAATAGGAAAATAACTGCAAATTTTATTGTAATTTCCAGATTCATCTTGCTTATATACTTGAAACCTTACGAAAGAATTATTAAGATAGGATTTGCATATTTAACCCGGGGAGAGGTAAACTGATAAGACGGCTTAATCATATGGCGAACCCCGGCCTCGAGTACGGCTACTAGTCCACGTCGGGAATGAAATTAGTTGGCCAGGTATTTGTTTCCGGTTTATAGATTTGTTAGTGGAGGAAGCCGTAACCGACCGGCGCACATTTATCTCCACATACAAATATGCGAACCCAGGCAAGGTAATCAGACGTGCGGTGGCCAGCTTATTGCTGACGCTTAGCGCGATGCGCCACACCGCCGAGAACAAATCGAAATCATAATAATGCTCAAACAATAATTTCAAAATTAGTAACTAATATTGATACCAATGAATAGCAAATTTATTTGTATATATAATAATTCTTCATCGGAGTACTTTTTTTTATCCCTAGTGTGCGTTTATATACAAGAATATTGTACGATACATACTTTGTCAATAGCATTATCCGTTATAGTTCTCAGAGTAGAAGTTGAATTCCCGCACGCTACTTTGTATGTTTTTACCCACTGATTGAAGTCCCATCCGTATTTAATTGGGCGTCCCTGTGTTACTATTCCACCTATAAATCTCGGGCGTTGAAAATCAATCTGAATCCATTGACCATTTGCTGATAAATAATAATTCGCAAATTTAGTATGATTTTTATTTTTTTGAAACTGTATAGTATTTTTACGTGTTTAACACAAAATAGTTTCCTTCGGATATTATTGAAGTTGTTATAGTAATCGTTTGCTTTTATAAAATATTTACCTGATTTGATGGTTATATTAAGAAAAAGATAGATAATCTGTTGGTTCATTACAATTTTACATGCAAATAATGATACGTCGTACTCCTATTAAAAACATAGTGCATGGGAATGGCAAAGGTACTCGCTATAAATATATGGAGGGCCTCGTTTAAAAAAATAAATAAATGTTGAGATACATCGAGTGGAAGTGAACCTACCGTTGGAAAATACCTACCGTTTTCTCCGGAGCACCAGGCACCTACACTAAATCCATTTGAAGCTGTATGGAAAACAGCATTTTCATCCATTCGTCCATGATGAGCGGCATGTCGGTAATCAGAAACAGATGATGCAGTAATCACATGATCTGGAATATCCCTGCTCTTCATTCCCATTCCACAGTAGGATACTGCAATGGATATGAAACTAATTTCAATTTTATATAAATAAGTACTTCGATTTAATTTAACGGATAATCCAACTTATTTTTTTGAAAAATTAATTTCAGTGAAACTATTCAACTGGCCAAACAACAATCGCCGATTCAGTCGAACAGTTATATTCGATATCAGAAACGTGTGACTAGTAGCCTATATAGCATATTTTGTTGAAAATAGCGAATGTGAAAAAATTTATTATTAAAAAGATTCTTGACCCCTTTCGAATAAGCTCATGACTGACTGTGGCGTATACAGACCATAAGTAAATTATTTTTTTCTTTTTAGTTCCTATCCTGAGTAAAATGAAATGTAAAAAATATACTGAATTGTGAATATCTTACGTTTTGGAATAATGTCAACGGTTTTCTTCATTTTTTCTAAAGTAAAAATGAATAGAAAATGGTAAGATTATCTTCATTTTCCTATATATACGTATTTTGTGTAATTAAACAGTTTTAAGTTTATTCAAATAAACTTCAAAACAGTAAAATTAATTGTGTCTCACTGTTTTATTATCCACTGGCCCTGAGCTAGTAAAAAAGCATTGTCGTAAAGGACTCGTTTTGCAAATTGTTGGACTGAAAGTCACTACTTGGTAATTATAGCGAACAATTCATTTTTCATAAATGATAGTTATCCTGTGCAATATAAATTCTGAACAAGTAATATGCCTGGGTTTCATGCGATTCCATAGCGAGCCGTCCAAAATAATCTACAATATAATTCATGGCGTCAACGTGTTTCGGTTCCAGTTGGCTATATTTAGCGCGTAAAAAATGATTGGTAAATTCATAACAAAAAGCTTACCTTCTAACAATCTTATTTTCTCTTCCAAGCGTTCCGTTGTCCCCTGTTCGCCCCGATAACCTTTTACATCAGGCAGACCCCTCCTACCCTGTGGTCCCCGCTTTCCAGGCCTTCCCTGGCACTGAGCAGCACAGCTATGACTCGATGCAGTTTTGTCAGTCATTAAAGCAGAACAAAATTCGTATACGTTCGGTATGTCGCTTAAAACTGCAGGTATGATTACGACACAGCACCATAATACGACACAAGATTTATGCGGCATATCTATTTTATTCAATATTAACTACAATTAAAAAAAGTATATTGTAGAAAATTTGGGCAAATATTTTCATCTTTGAAAGGCTTCCATATGTCTTGATGAATGTAATTTAAAATTGAAATGAACATATCGTTATACCCTCTGTTTAATATCAAACATTGTAGTTAACGGCTTTGTTGTATCTTAACTTCCAAACTATTGTTTTGCATCATCCCGAATTTACAAATACCACTCCATGACTAGACGCCGCTAATGTTGTTTTGACCTTGCCATCTTATATATATATATAGAGAGAGAGAGAAATATTAGGTGATCAGGGTACTAACGTTATATTTCACATTTTAGTTTTTCGAAACTGAAATGGAAGTTCCAAAAATGCCGAGACAATGGTTTTAATGTGTAAATTGAACGAGCTTCAGTATTTTCTCGTGGGAAACTTACATTGCGCTGTTTTTCTCAACCACATCGCCTGATCGTAAAGAGATTATATTTTGAAAGCATTTACCAAACCACTAAGCCAATAAAGCTTGGTGGTGACTAATTGATATTTTAAATCAGTGCTAACGCTAATAAATGTAATTTGTTGAGATTCAAGTGAGACTGGTTACAAATACTCATTTATTTCAGTATCCAAGCACCGCTTATTTTGAGTCCCTATGCGTACTCTAATCTGGAAAGAAGTACTCATCAATATCACCTATATGTATCAGAGTTGGATCAATTGTAATTTGTAATTGTAATTGATGTAATTAATTACAGTTTTTCATGTAATTGTAATGTAATCGAGGCATTTTCATTCTGTGTAATTGTAAATGTAATTGTAATTTGCTAAAATTTCGGCTCAATTACACTTTCAAGTACACCAGGGGTCACCAAACTAGGGCGTCCTTTCATCTGGCCAATAACACGAAAAAGGGCGAAATATTTTTCCAAGGGGCGTTTTCCGAGAATCGCCTTCCTTTTTTTTATTTCTTAACATTAGCCAATCAGCAAGATGCGATAAAGAGACGTAACAATATGCCTTTTCGCATCCGTTAAGACACTCGGACAGATTTTCAGTCGTGGTTGTGAACATTACCTCATTTTGCGATTTCGAATGCTATTCGTTAGATTTTAGTTGTGTTTCGGAAATTTAAGTTTGAATCAAATAAGTGAATCATCATATTGCCTTCTTAGGAGTTATAGTTTAATTATAAGTAGTTATCAAAAATTAGTCTAGAAATAGCTGTGATAAAATAGGCTAAATCCATGGGAACACTGGCTGTCTGGTTTGATTCTGTAAATTCTTGCTACGCGAAACTCGGAAATTTTTTGAGGGTAGCGGTAGCATCAAGGGTAAATTGCTTCGCTCTGTGTAACGTGTCCATATATTTGAGCATTGCTCTGTTGTAATTGTAAATGTAATGTAATTGTATTTTGATACTTTTTGCACGGAGTAATTGTAATGTAATTGAAATATTTAAGGAAGTAATTGCAATTGTAATTGAACTGAATTAATGTAATTGATCCAACTCTGATATGTATCATTTTTTCTTTTGCCTGGAAGGTTTGATAGTTAGACAGTTTGAATGCAAATTATATTCAAATTTGTCATTTTTTAAAGAATAAATAATTTAGAATTAAGATGAACATATCGGTATACCCACTGTTCAATGTGTCAAACATTGAAGTTAACGACTTTGTTCGTCTGTATCTTAATTTTCCAACTAACATTTTGCATCATCCCGATTTTACAAATACTACTCCTATAACTAGACGCCGCTAATGTTTTTTTGACTTTGCCATCTTATATGTATATATATAAATATTCGGTCATCAGGGAACTAACGTTATATTTCACATTTTTTTTTTAAATTGAAATGGAAGTTCAAAAAATGCCGAGACAATGGTTTTAATGTGTGAATTGAACGAGCTTCAGTATTTTCTCGTGGGAAACTTACATTGCGCTGATTTTCCTAACCACATCGTACGATTAGATAATATGTTAAAGGCCATTACCGAGCCACTAATAATCCAATAGGTTGGTGGTGATTGATTTGATATTTTAAATCAGTGCTAACGCTAATAAATGTAATTTGTTGAGATTCAAGTGAGCCTGGTTACAAATACTCATTTAGTTAAATATCCAAGAAGCTCTTATTTTGTGTTTCAAGGAGGCGAATACTATGCGTGCGGGAAAGACGATATGTCTGGGCGCATGCTTGACCAAGCTTATTTTTACGTAACAGTTTACAAGTTCCGTCACTAATAATTATAATAAACATGTAACTACGATGAAACCCATAGGTAATTATATTCACGGCACTCCTAGAGAATCGTAGTCCACTTCATTGGAAAGATAGCCTTCCTTTGGCTATGTCACAATAAGACAAACGTAACCCAATGAGTGACGTCTAAAGTTGAGAAGCATATAAAACTTTTCAAATTCCAAATAAACAGTGTAGTTAGTGAAGTTATCAAGGTTTAGTGTAGTAAACTAAGTTCGGGTCAAAGTGGGAAAGACAGAAATGCTCATGCACACGAATACGAAAGTCAATTGTCACCATTTTTCCTCGTACTTTAGCAACATCTGAATTAGTATAATTATACAGATTGGAAAAATTTACAAAATTAAACCTTATATTCTATCTACTGTACTGATTCTGATTGCTGCTGAAACTGAAAATTTAAAACGCGGATCAACAGTGAAAAAGAGAAGCAACTGGTCGATTTAATGTTTGATAATGAGTCAAAAGTTGGCTTTATCTTTCAGTAAAATTTTGTAAATCCTGTAAAGGCTTTTCCCGGTCGTTTGTAAGCCTATTCAATGTCGAATAGCATGGATTCTTAGAACATGTCGTGACATTCGCCTCGAATTACTTCCATTCTCATGCATGGGTGAATATTCCATGATAATGGGTACAAACGAATAAGGCGACAAATCAGAGGTTTGGGAAACATGTTAATCACTTTAGAATCCTCATCCGTGTTTCCTACAAAGACCTAAAGTAAAAAAACACATCATTTTGCAAAACACGACAAACGTTATTGTTATGATATCAATATCAAAAAGATTATAATGGGAATAGAAATGGATAAATAGAAATGAATAATACAAATTTTGTTGTAATTTCCAGTTTCATCCTGCTTGTATACTTGGGACCCTGCGAATAAATTATTAGTATAGGATAGGATTTACATATTTATTTCTGGGGAGAGGAAAGCCGATACGGTGGCTTAATCATATGAAAAACCGCGGTCTCTCGTTCGGTTATCAGACCATGTCAGGTACGGGATTGTTAGCCAGTTATTCTTTTCAGATGCATGGAATTGATAGTGGTGAAAGCCGTAACCGACCAGGGGTTAAGTTAATCACTCTACGACAGAGAGGAGTCCCGCAATCATCTTACACATAGCTATTCTCGCATGGGATTCGAAACTGCGAACCCACGCAAGGTAATCAGAGATGCGGTGGCGGGCGTATTTCTATGTACCAATGTTTTTTGTTTAGTTGTTTAATTTCTATAGTGGGGTTACGGGCGATCACTGTAATAGCTTGTTATACCGTAGTGATTGCGTGTAGCCAGATTGGTTTTTACCAAATAGAAGCAGCAGATTTTTTTGAATACAATAGCCCGTCATCGTATTATTTTGTTTTTCATCCCTCGTGTACGATTATATAAAAGAAAATTGTGCGATGCATACTTTGTCGACAGAATTATCCGTTATAGTTCTCAGAGTAGAAGTTGAATTCCCACACGCTACTTTGTATGTTTTTACCCACTGATTGTGGTCCCATCCATATTTAATTGGGCGTCCCTGAGTTACTATTCCACCTATAAATCTCGGACGTTGAAAATCAACCTGAATCCACGGATGATTTGCTGAAAAATAATACTTTATAAATTTATTAGGATTTTTTTGAAAACTGTATACATGTTTTTACGTGTTTAACGCGAAATATTTGCCACCGGATGTTGTTGGACTTGTCAAAATTATCGTTTATTTTTATTTATTTTTTTATTTACCTGATTCAGAGGTTATAATCAAAAAGAGATAGAGAACCGTTGATTAAGTATACAATTTTACATTCAAATAAGGGGACATCGTACTCTTACTAATAATTTAAGTTAGAAAGGGCATGCAATGGTACTCATTTAAAAAACCTGGAGGGCCTAATTGGAAAGTAAAAGAACTGCAAAGATACAATGGATTATCAAGTGGAATTCAACACGGAAATACTTACTATCGTGTGTGGGGCACCAAGCACCTATACTAAATCCAGTTGAAGCTGTATGGAAAACAGCATTTTCATCCATTCGTCCATGATGAGCGGCATGTCGGTAATCATAAACAGATGATGCAGTAATCGCATGATCTGGAATATCCCTGTTCTTCATTCCCAATCCACAGTATGATACTGCAATGAATATGAAAGGATTTTCCATTTTATAAATAAGTACTTCGATTATGTTCTACTGATCATCTGAGTATTTTCACGGAGTATTAGTTTCCATCGAATTGATCAATTGCAAACAACAATCGTCGCTTCGATCGAACTGTTGTATTCGATAACTGACTATAGTACTGCATATCTTGAAAATGGCGAATATGAAATATTATATATACGAATAATATAATTTATTTGCTTGACCCCTCTACAAATAAGCTCACGACCGACTATGGCTTATATAGAATAGACCATAAGTCATTAACTATTTTCTCATTTCAGTTCCTTTCCTGGGTAAAATGAAATGTAAAAAATATATTGAATTGTAAATATCTTACGTTTTGGAATAATGTCAACGGTTTTCTTCATTTTTTCTAAAGTATAAATGCAAGAAGAAGAGCTCAATTATCTTTATTTTCCTATACGTATGTTGTATAATTAATGTTTTAATTTATTCAAATAAACTTCCTTGATAAACACTGTTTTATTATCTACTGGACCTGGTCTAGTAAAAATTCATTGCCAATTAAAAAACTCGTTCGTTTTTTCAAAATGGTATTTATGGTAAATATAAGTTCTGGACAAGTAATAAGCTTGGGTTTCACGCGATTCCATAGCGAGCCGTCCGAAATAATCTAAAATGTGATTCATGACGTCAACGTGTCTCGTTTCCAGTTGGCTATATTTAGGACGTAGGAAATGAAATTTCTATGCAAAAAATTTACCTTCTAACAATCTTATTTTATCTTCCAGGCTTTCCGTTGTCCCCTCTTCGCCTCTGTCACCTTTTACACCAGGCAGACCCCTCCTACCCTCTGGCCCTCGCTTTCCAGGCCTTCCCTGGCACTGATCAGCACAGCTATGACTCGATGCAGTTTTGTCAGTCATTAGAGCAGAACAAAACTCGTATACGTTCGGTATGTCACCTAAAACTGCAGGTATGATCACGACACAGCACCATAATACGACAAAAGATTTATGCGGCATATCTATTTTATTTAATATTAACCCTAATAAAAAAAAGTATATTGTAGAAAATTTGGGCAAATATTTTCATCTTTGAAAAGCTTCCATATGTCCTGATAAATGTAATTTAAAATTGAAATGAACATATCGTTCTACGGTTATACCCTCTGTTCAATATGTCAAACATTGTAGTTAACGGCTTTGTTGTATCTTAACTTCCAAACTATTATTTTGCATCATTCCGAATTTACAAATACTGCTCCATGACTAGATGCCGCTAATGTTTTTTTGACTTTGCCATCTTATATATATATATAAATATTAGGTCATCAGGGAAATACCGTTATATTTCACATTTTTTTAATTGAAATGACAATGGTTTTAATGTGTGAATTGAATGAGCTTCAGTATTTTCTCGTGGGAAACTTACATTGCGCTGATTTTTCTAACCACATCGTATGATTAGATATTATGTTAAAGGCCTTTACCGAGCCACTAATAATCCAATAGGTTGGTGGTGATTGGTTTGATATTTTAAATCAGTGCTTACGCTAATAAATGTAATTTGTTGAAATTCAAGTAAGACTGGTTACAAATACTCATTTAGTTCAATATCCAAGCACCGCTTATTTTGTGTTTCAAGGAGGCGAATACTGTGCGTGCGGGAAAGACGATATGTCTGGGCGCATGCTTGTCCAAGCTTATTTTTACGAAAAAGTTCACAAGTTTCGTCGCTAATAATTATAAGAAACAAACGGGCCGACACGGATGCCTTGACCAATGAACGATCCGTCAACGCAAACTACGATGAACCCGGCATAGGTGATTATATTCGCGGCACTCCCAGAGAATCGTAGTCTTCTTTCATTGGGCAGTGATAGACCTCCCTTGGGACACACAATAAGACAAAAGTGACCCAATGAGTGCGTTGACGTTTAGGTTGAGAAACATGTAAAATTTTTGCAAATTCCAACTAAACGGTTAAGTACCTATAGGCCTTGAATCTAAAATTCAGTGTAAACTAAGCTTGGTTCAAAGTGGTAGGCTTATTGGAAGGATGGCATTCGATGGAGAAATTTCTAACAATCAGTCGATCGCAAGATATTAAGAAAATGTTAGTCGATCTCGGCGATCCGCTGCGCATATCCATATATTGTAAACTGTAGTAGTTTTTAGGATAAAAGCTTTGGAATCGTGTGGTAATTGTCACAGCTCAAAAAAGCAACAGAAAGTCATGGCTATTTAAAGATAAGAATCACTCAAAAAAATACAGAAACCCGAAAATCTGCATGCGTGCTTTTTCCGTTCGGCATTCTTTTTTTTCGATAAATATTACTATCCAAATAAAAGATTATGAATATTTCTTTGTTCAAACCAGAAAACTGTCAAGAACAGTATAATATTCCTGAGTTCACCTTGACACCCATGAATTTGTTGCGACGCTGCAGGTGGCTACGAGACGCACAACAAAGCATGGACCGCAGAGATCTTTACCGGGTGAGGCACAGCAGGATTTTGAGCCTGGTGCGAAGTTCGCAAGGACATTCTCATTGAAATATAAATTCATTTTTTTTGAAGCATTGATCAACTGCAGAGGCATTGATATAATGAACCCAATGAAAATTTTACTTTACAGTCCAGATTTATAAAAGAATCATTGTCACAATTCATTCTTGAGCTCTCTTGATAACGTTTACCCATCGATAAGTATACGAGCAATTAAACTGTTGTCCGAATTTTCAACCAGTTACTTCTAGCTTCAATTAAAACGAAACAAATAAATCGACTGTGAGCCGCTGCAGAGCTTTGTGTTGCAAAACCTTTTTTAGATGCCTCGTTTGTAGTCCTGTATTGAAAACGACACAGTAGCAAAATTCTCCCTGGAGTTATATGATTTGACATCTGCATGTTTTTATGTGAGATGTGTATCTTTTTTACGCATAATGCGTGCCCAGCACTGCATTTTATTACGCAAATATAAGTTATTATTTTATGTTCCACCCAATTCAGTTTTTGTCGGCACATTATTTGATAGTTTTTCCTCATGCGAAATGTTTTTAGGGAGTGCCTTTTTTTTCTAAAGACATAGTGATTGCTCGACATTACGCAAATATATGTTATTATTTTCTTTCCCCTAATTTCAGTTTTTGCCGGCCCGCAAGTACATTTTATTTAAATTTACCGGTCCGCCAGGGTAGAAAGGTTGGGAACCACTGTTCTAGAGACATATCGGTGGATTGACCGTTCAACCAATCTCAATGTTGGAATCAGAAGTTATTATCAAAGAATATTATGCTTTTAATTTATTTTGTCCCTTTTATGTATTTTGTTGGCGGCTTTTTGATTATCTCTACTTGGACCTCTATCAATTTCATACACGATCTAACACAAGTTGAACGAGTTTTATTGAAAATCATTAATGCGTTATGCCTACTTATGAAATTTATAAGTGTTATGAAGAAAAAATACAATACTTAGATGCTCATGCACATGTATACAAAAAGTAATTGTCATCATTTTTCTCGTACGTTGCCAACATCTGAAGCAGTCTTGAAGGCTTTTCTAGGTCGGTTGTAAGCCTATTCAAAGTCGAATAGCATGGATTCTTAGAACAAGTCGTGACATTCGCCTCGAATTACTTCCATTCTCATGCATTGGTGATAATTCCATGATAATGGGTACAAACGAACAAAGCGACAAATCAGAGGTTTGGAAAACATGTTAATCAGTTTAGAATTCCCATCCGTGTTTCCTAAAAAGACCTATAGCAAAAAAATAAATAAAAAATCATTTTAGAAAATACGACAAACATTATTGTTATACTTTCGATATAAAAAAAAAGCACAAAAGAAATAGATGAATAGGAAAATAACTGCAAATGTTATTGTAAATTCCAGATTCATCTTGCTTATATACTTGGAACCTTACGAGAGAATTATTAAGATAGGATTTGCATATTTAACCCGGGGAGAGGTAAACTGATAAGACGGCTTAATCATAGGGCGAACCCCGGCCTCGAGTACGGCTACCAGTCCACGTCGGGAATGAAATTAGTTGGCCAGTTATTTGTTTCCGGTTTAAAGACTTGTTAGTGAAGGAAACCGTAACCGACCGGCGCTTACGTGAATCACCCTACGGCAGCGGAAAGTCCAGCAATCTTTTCGCACATTTATCCCCACATACGAATATGCGACCCCAGGCAAGGTAATCAGAGGTGCGGTGGCCAGCTTATTGCTGACGCTTAGCGCGATGCGCCACACCGCCGAGAACAAATCGAAATCATAATAATGCTCAAACAATAATTTCAAAATTAGTAACTAATATTGATACCAATGAATAGCAATTTTATTTATATATATAATAGTTCTTCATCCGCATCGTATTACTTTTTTTCTATCCCTAGTGTGCGTTCATATACAAGAATATTGTACGATACATACTTTGTCAATAGCATTATCCGTTATAGTTCTCAGAGTAGAAGTTGAATTCCCACACGCTACTTTGTATGTTTTTACCCACTGATTGAAGTCCCATCCGTATTTAATTGGGCGTCCCTGTGTTACTATTCCACCTATAAATCTCGGACGTTGAAAATCAACCTGAATCCACTCACGATTTGCTGATAAATAACAATTCGCAAATTTAGTATAATTTTTTTATTTTTTTATGAAACCTGTATAATATTTTTACGTGTTTAACGCAAAATAGTTTCCTCCGGATATTATTGAAGTTGTTATAGTAATCGTTTACTTTTATAACATAATTACCAGATTTGATGGTTATACTCAGAAAACGGTAAGTATTCTGTTGGTTCATTACATGTTTAAATGCAAATAATGATACGTCGTACTCCTATTAAAAATAAAGTGTATGGAAGAGCCATGGCAATGGTACTCGTTATAAAATATGATGGGCCTCGTTTGAAAAATAAAACGAAATGTTGAGATCCACTTGATGTTAAGATACATCGAGTGGAATTGAACACAAAAATACCCACTGTTTTCTCCGGAGCACCAGGCACCTACACTAAATCCATTTGAAGCTGTATGGAAAATAGCATTTTCATCCATTCGTCCATGATGAGCGGCATGTTGGTAATTAGAATAAGATGATGCAGTAATCGCATGATCTGGAATATCCCTGCTCTTCATTCCCATTCCACAGTAGGCTATACTGCAATGGATATGAAACAAATTTTAATTTTATTTAAATAAGTACTTCGATTTAATTTAACGGATAATCCAACTTATTTTTTTTTTTTGAAAAATTAATTTCAGTGAAACTAGTCAACTGGCCAAACAACAATCGCCGATTCAGTCGAACAGTTATATTCGATATCAGAAACGTGTGACTAGTAGCCTATATAGCATATTTTGTTGAAAATAGCGAATGTGAAAAGATTTATTATTAAAAAGGTTCTTGACCCCTTTCGAAAACGCTCATGACCGACTGTGGCGTATAGAGACCATAGGTAAATAATTTTTCCATTTCAGTTCCTATTCTGGGTAATATGAAATCTAAAAAATATACTGAATTGTGAATATCTTACGTTTAGGAATAATGTCAACGGTTTTCTTCATTTTTTCTAAAGTAAAAATGCAATAAAAAGTGGTAAGATTATCTTCATTTTCCTATATATACGTATTTTGTATAATTAAACAGTTTTAAGTTTATTCAAATAACTTCAAAACAGTAAAATTAATTGTGTCTCACTGTTTTATTATCCACTGGACCTGAGCTAGTAAAAAATCATTGTCGTAAAGGACTCGTTTTGCAAATTGTTGGACTGAAATTCACTACTTGAGGAATTATAGCGAACAATTCATTTTTCATAAATGATATTTATTCTGTGCAATATAAGTTCTGAACAAGTAATATGCCTGGGTTTCATGCGATTCCATAGCGAGCCCGTCCAAAGTAATCTAGAATATAATTCATGGCGTCAACGTGTCTCGGTTTCAGTTGGATAAAGCAGAACAAAACTCGTATACGTTCGGTATGTTACTTAAAACTGCAGGTATGATCACGACACAGCACCATAATATGACAAAAGTTTTATGCGACATATCTTTTTCATTTAATAGCAACTGCAACTAATAACAAAGTAGACTGTAGAAAATTGAAGCAAATATTTTTCATCTGTGAAATGCGTCCATATATGTTCTAATATATTATGTAATTTAGAATAGAAATGAACATATCAGTATATCCACTGTTCAATGTGTCAAACATTGAAGTTAACGACTTTGTTCGTCTGTATCTTAATTTCTAAACTAACATTTTGCATCATCCCGATTTTACAAATACTACTCCTATGACTAGACGCCGCTAATGTTGTTTTGACTTTGCCACATATATATATATATACCTTGTTTCCCCGAAAATAAGACCTACCCTGAAAATAAGACCTAGTCAATAGCGCGAGTTTTTTTTTATTTTTTGACCTAGTTGATAGCAAGAAATCTCTTCAACGCGTTTCAAATGATTGATCTAAAACGCGTGAGAGAGGAAAACGTGTTATTTAAGTAAATGGATATCGGTTGTCATATTTTTTATATTTAAAAATCTCGTAATTCTCTACTTTGTAACATAGTTTTTGATAAATGAAAATAAAAGACATCCCCCGAAAATAAGCCCTAGTGTTATTTTTCGAAAGAAAATTGAAATAAGACACTGTCTTATTTTGGGGGAAACACGGTATATATATATACAGGGTGTCCAAAACGTTCCGCCATATTTCATAGCATTACCAATCGCAAATTTGAATAAATTTGGTTTATGATGAATGGGGACTATAACATTTCATTATAAAGACTTTATAATCGGGCGAAACTTTTTGATATATTAGGTCATCAGGGAACTGACGTTATATTTCACATTTTGTTTTTTTGAAGTTGAAGTTCAAAAAATGCCGAGACAATGGTATAAATGTGTGAATTAGACGAACCTCAGTATTTTCTCGTGGGAAAATCACACTGCGCTGATTTTCCTGACCACATTGTCTGTTTTATTCATATAAAATTTTAAAGGCATCATACCTACCCACTAATCCAATAGGTTTGGTGGTGACTGATTGATATTTTAAATCAGGAGGCGAATACTATGCGTGTGGGAAAGACGATATGTCTGGGCGCATGCTTGACCAAGCTTATTTTTACGAAACAGTTCACAAGTTTCGTCTCTAATAATTATGGGAAAAAAACGAGTCGACACGGATGCCTCGATCGATAAACGATCCGTCAACGCAAACTACGATAAACCCCATTGTATTCACAGTACTCCTAGAGAATCTTAGTCTACTTTCATTGGGCAGTTATAGACCACTCTTGGGACCATGTCACAATAAGACAAAAGTACCCCAATGAGTGCGTGGACGCTTAAGTTGAGAAACATATAAAACCTTTGCAAATTCCGATATACGACTAAGTATTAATATTCATGGAATCTAAGATTTAGTATAAACTAAGTTCGGAAAAAAGTGGGGGGATTATTGGAAAGATTGAATTCTATGAAAAACTCTTTGGTTGTTACTGAATTCGTTAACAATCCGTCGATAGCAAGATATTGAGAAAATGATCTCGGTCGAAGACAGGTTGGCCACCACGAGTATAGACTATGCGAATTCATTCGCACATGTGAATCCATTTTTCAAAAACCGCTGGCAGTCCTTTTTAAGTTAAAAGATTTGGAAGCTTGTCATATCTCAAAAAAGCAACCGAAGGTCATACTACCTATTTAAAGATGAGAATCACCAAGGAAAAGCAAAATCTACTTTAAACTTTAATCTGAAAAGAAGTACACATCAATATCACGTATATGTATCATTTTTTCTTTTTCCTGAAAGGTTTTTAGCGTGCAAACAGTGCTGCTCGCAAGCTCGAATCATGTAGGTAAAGATTACATGTGAGAGAACTGTTTACTTACAACTACCCGCGAAAAAAGAAAACGTTGTCTTTCAGTGGAAAGTTTGTTGATCCCCATATGAGCTGATGACCATAGGAATGTCATTTGTATTCCTTGTTTTGTTAACAGCGAGTTTATAGTTGCTATTTTCGAAATTAATATGTTTTTAAATGCTGAATAGTTACGAAGCGATGAAAGGGCACCGAGACAATCTGTTATTATTCATACGTGCTCCGGTCTTGTTGTTGCGATTTATCTGAGACAACTCAGTATTGCGTATAGCTGCGATGTATGTGAAGAGACGAAACGATGTAATTTCAGTTTTTTCTCTACTTTCGGTTGAGGGTTGAGGTACATAATATGCAGCACGCAGCACCCAACCAAATGGATTTTTCGAACCGTCTGTGAATACTTGTGCATAGTCTTGATAGTTTCTGTGTACATGGTCAAGAAATGACGATTGAAGTATTGTTGGGGAGCATGTTCTATCATAAATCGTTAACGATGTATCAATTTGCAGTGACTTCATTATTCAGGGAGGAGTCTCGAAATTGACCTCTTTTGCAACAGAAAAGTCGTCAACAAAAGCTGTTAGTTTTTTCATATTAAAAGTTGCAAAGGATAGTTTGTCAGGAAAATATTCTTCCCAAGACTGTTTGAATAATTGTGCTGTAATTTCGCTGTCACGTGGAATCATTCTGCATTTGTAATGTAGGCATTCTCTATAATGTATATTATGCAAAGGCATTTCGTTACACTGGGAAAGTAGAGCTATAATAGGAGTAGCCTACTTTTCAATGCACCCAAGCAAATGCGTAAACATTGCGATTGGATTGCCCAATATAGAAGGAGATGTACCATGCCTCCCTGCCATACTCAAGAGACTGGTTAAAAGGCTGCAGATAATTTTTATGTGGTATATTTTTACTGCATGCTTATAGGCCTACCATGTGTTGAAAGATACAACGTCTCACTTGGTAAAAAAAAAATAAAAGCAGTATCTCGTAGGATAAAATATGCTCTCTCGGGCAGAGAGAGCAAAGGTCAGAACAAAATATTTTGTGATTCATGCGTCTTGTGATCATTCTTTCCATCAGATGAACTTGACTTATTTTCGAAATTAATGCTGACGTATTGACTTATGTTTCGTCCACTAAATATCTTGGTGTTTTCCTATCCAGTGATCTTAGAGATGACCTTGACTTGAAACGTCAGTATAAATCAATTTATTTTATAGCCCATACAATTTTGAAAAAATTTGTCAATTGTTCCACTACTGTGAAAAATCTTTTATTTAGGACGTATTGTTGTAGCATTTATAACTGCCAGCTCTGGTTGTTTTTCAATAATTATAATTATAAAAAAGTTAAAATTTCATATAATAATGCTTATTGCGTAATTCACTGTGCCTCTAGATCTGAGAGTGTCCGTCACAAAATGGTATCTGGGAACATTCCCTCTTTCGAAGCACTCCATAGAAAAAATCTGTGGTTGTTCATGACAAGATGCAGAAACTCCAAAGATGCATAACATTTTATCACAATCAATATTTGATTCCCAGATACTGTTTGTTACGGGCTATCTTAGATTCTATACCTCACTTTTGGTCTCATAACTTGCTTCTTTATAACTCTTTTTTGAGACTTACTGTGAATCTGATTGTCATATCAGTTATTTTATGTATTTATTGCGTTATTTTTGTTTTGCTTTTGTTTATTTGTTGTGTTGTTTTTATATGGACCACAGCGGTCTGGAGTAATAAACGAATTGAATTGAATTATTATCGGTAGGCCTATATGAATATTTGGATCTCCAAAAAAGTTTTCAGCCCTCAACTTTGGATCGATTCAAATCTGTAATCCTACCGTGTATGGCAAGTGTTTTTTCAATATCAGTCTTAGATTACATCCTAAATAAACACCATTACGTTTTATGTTGCTATTGTCTGGCATGCGCAATAAAAGGCCAAATTGTAGCCAATCGACAAGTCTAACACTTTTTTTAAAGAAATACCAGCCAGCAGTGCAACGATAACATAGAAATCGTAGATCAATAATTCATTAGAATCGAATAAAATTTTCGTGATGAATTTAGACTTCGAAAAAATATCATAGTTTCCCATCAACGACTAACATACCTAAAACTGTAAACACATGATATGAGGAAATATAGACGTTTCTGCATGATCGACTGCGACACGTTGTAAAATCGCTGGAGCGAAAACACCGGCATGAGTGATGTTGTTACGTGTAGGCCGCCGGTTTTGCATTTTGCATAAGTTCCTGTACTTTTCCGTATAAACGTTTGTGGTTCTCATTTTATAGAAAATAGGTTTTACTTGTCGTTATGGACTTAGTATATAGAATTTCGATTTTTGCTATTGCTTTAGCCGTCGTTTTGGCGAAGGAAAATTCGAACAAAAAGGCTTTGGTATTAGTCGATAGTGCAGACATCAAATCAACCCATTCCATATTTTTCAAATCTTTAAAAGGTGAGTGGCTATTTGATCCTTATTTATGTATAGCCTAGATGCTGGTAGGCCTATATAAAAAAAAAAGTAAAATAAAAGCTTAGTCTACTCTGATCAGTATTTTATTATTCTTACCAATGATCTGATGACAGAGTCGAAATGGTTCTGGAATTGACAAACGTAAAAAATAATTACAAAAGTAAGAACATCTCGCTTACATGTTTGTTATAACACAATAATGATTGAAATGAAGTGTGCAATTAATTTTTTAATATCTCAACGCCTGAACCTTGCAAGCTCCCTCCAATATCTGAATATTGAAATATTTCAAGGTACAAGATAAGTTCTGGTGTGAATTAGATTATTTATCAATGTCAATTCTCGGTTTCATATTGTATTAATAGTAAATTGTCCATAATATTTCAGACAGAGGCTTGGAATTGTCATTCAGATCTGCGGATGATGCAGGATTAGAGTTGATGAAATATGGAGTTGCATTGTATGATCATCTCATTGTATTTGCGCCTTCTGTAGAAGGTAATATTTATTCAAGTTGTTATATTTATATGGAACTTCACAATTTGTTTATCTACTTTCTGACTTTATTTATTCATCTCACTATACCCAAGTATTACTTTAGCCATCTTCAAGACCAATGTTCCCTCTAATTTTTTGTAGTATGTGTGCGCGTAAATTTTGGTGTGTGCGCACTTTTTTGGAAATGACTAATATTTGTGCAAAAACCAATGAAGAAATTTTGGCGTTCTAACCGGGTAATGGGTGGGCCAACAACAAACTTTCTCAACCTGCCAACCGAGAACATTGTTACATTACATCGAAATACGTCTGTGCGCAGTAAATCTATGCGTGTGCGCAGCCTCTGAAAGATGTGTGCGCGCGCACACGCGCACACCTTAGAGGGAACACTGTTCAAGACCCAAAATAATGATCATTAAATTTCTGATTAGTCGTATACAATTGGCTATACATTTGAATATTGAAAGTAATTTTTCTGTGATCTTCGATTCAATCTCGTCTAACTAAAAGCATCCAAGTGAAATTTCTATTTTAATTTTATGTCTTGTATATAATGTCTTAATATTTATCTACATTGCGTCTTTCTGCTCGTGAATGATTGGTATTGTTAAGATGTTACTTATGATTGACCATCCCCATTCCCAAATTTGAAATAGCCTAGTTATTAAGTCTGAAAGTTTGTGTCAGATTATGGTCTGTATTTGTCTATATCAATATTTCATGTATAATCTCCTATTTACAGATTTTGGTGGTGATATTAAAGTTTCAACCATCACTGAATTCATTGATAAAGGAGGAAATGTCCTGATTGCTGCAGATTCCAACATTGGAGAACCAATTCGTGAACTTGCATCGGAATGTGGGGTTGAATTTGATGAGGTGATTGTTTGCAAATCTTCGAAAATACTTTCATCAAAGATAAGAATTTCTGAATATAGATCAAGATCTTGTGATAAAATTTATTTCAGCCATCACTATATATCAGAGGTGTGCAACCTGCGTCCTGCGTGCCAAATACGGCCCCCAAGGAGTGCCTTTTTTGAATGTTGTGCCCACAAAACAAGTTTTTAATTTAGTTTAATCTGGTGCATGCGAGTAATCATAAACCCTTTGCACTGCAAAGGTTATACCTTACCTATTATATATTTTCCTATCTAATTTATTATCTATACCTATGACGTTACAACCTCCTAACTGCTAGCTTGTGCGAAGCGAACAACGCATGCCATAAGATCAATACCCAAAATTTTTGTTCTTGCAACTACTAAAAATTCTATGTTAAATAAAGGTGCGGCCCGTGATTTTACCCAGTTATTTGTATTTGGCCCTCGTGTATTAGAGGTTGCACACCCCTGCTCTTTTGTATCACTTTTTTATAACAATATTTGCTCAAAGAGAGATCAGTAGAACTCGTTCGTTAAGTGAAAACCTAGTACTTGATGCAGTCTATGTCAATACTATCATGCATACAGCTATGTAGTAGTGAATTCCATATGACTGAAGTTTAGGAAAAAAACTCTGGTTATAGAATTTTTTTGTCCGGTACACCGACTGCAGTAGCAAGTTTTATTGCTGATTTTTGGGAGGGTCTGGAAGTTCACATAATACAGTCCATAAGCAAAAGCACAACGATACAGTCCATTATCTATGAAACAAAACAAAAGCACAACGATGCAAGTGCACCATCTGTCAATGGGAGAATTCGTTGGAAGCCAATCGTATTTGATCTTCTATTTTAAGTTTAGGAGGTTAAGTACAGTTATAGCATGTAGAAAGGGGGTACTCATTATCATTTTCATTCATTTGTTTTTGTTGTTTTCAGGAGAAAACCATGGTGATTGATCACCATAATTTTGATGTTAGTGACAAGGGATCCCACACAAAAATAGTTGCATGCAAGAAAAATCTTATCGCCGCTAAAAATATTGTTGGGGAACCAAAGGCGCCGATCCTTTTTAGGGGTATAGGGTAAGTTGCTCTTAAGTTTTCCTAATTAGACATATTGTTGTTTCTGTGTGCTGATAAAGCCAACATGTTTTCAGTGTTTCAGTGTATTGCTAGTGCATTCACCCATCAGTCAGCCTAACGTGCCATCGCAGGTTGAAAACGTCCTAGTTCAAATCCTGTGACCTATGTGCAGAACTTTGAAAGATGCCTCTTTCAAAAACACAACTTCTCCATCCTGTTGTATGCTGTTCATCCAGAAATTTTTACAGATCCTTTTGTCAGTCGTGACAGCCTTGACAGTTAAAGTGTAAAACTGTACCATGTTGGTATCGCACCGCACATCTGGGGTTGTAATCATGTAATCATGCATCACCCAGGGTGTAATAAATTGGCTAGGCACTACCGAACTGAAAGAATTTTCGAAAATAGTACCTCTTTACATATCGTTAGATATTAATGGCCTTGTGTTTGTAGCAAAAAGCGTGTATTAGAGCTACCCTATTTCAAAATGGTTTGGTATGACTGAAAAAGTATTCCTGATTTAGACAACTTGTTATCAAATGTTTGACATTTTTACTTTTATCAATTCATAGACTCTAATATTCTCATTGTTACAGAATGTCATTGGACTCTGAAAATCCACTTGCGCTCAACATACTTCATGCATCAAAAACAGCCTACTCCTTTTTCCCTGAAGAACAGATTAAAGAGTACCCTCTTGCTGTAGGCTCTAGTACTGTACTGATCTCTGGATTGCAAGCTCGCAACAATGCAAGAGTAGTGTTTTCTGGATCACTAGATCTTTTCAGCGATGAATATTTTCAATCTGCAGTAAAGAAGGCTAGTGAAGATGGAAAACAGTAAGTCTTTGGACTCTGAAAACTGAAATAATAATTTCCTGGATTAGGGATAAAAGAGGAAATTTGTTAGTTTTTCATGTGTAGATCCAAATGCAAGAATATTAATCAAGGTCTGTTTATTTCGGAAATTTTCCACCACTCCTAATCCGAGCGATTTTTGAAGAATAGCTATGACTTAGACACCTGGTTCACAAATTTTGATTCAGTTTTAGGTTGGCAGCTCTCGATTCAAGGCTAAAAAAAATTTTAACTTCAGCTTCCACAGCAAGGAAACTTTTTTACTGGACTTTTGAGAATTTTGAGCATTTGACTTGATGACTCCAACCCTAAAAATTTGCAACTTTGGCAGTACCATTCTTTGCCAGTCTAGATAAATAACGCATAGTACATACCCTCCATGCAATGGTGTCAAATATAACAATTTTCTCATACAAGGAGTAAGAAGCGCAAAAAAGTAGAAAACCACTAGAGTTATAAAATTATGTCACTAGCTATGTTCTGCTTAAAAAAATCAATGGTTTCAAGAAACTCTACCTATAATGTTCAATTTTATTACATCAAAATATTTATAATGTATAGGAATATGTCTGCTATAGTTTCTATTGAGATAGCTGATGATTAATTTGATTTATTTTTACAATGCAGCCTTCATCATCATTAAATTATTGAATACTGGATTGTAAAATGTTTATTTCATCTCTTTTCATGTGATCCTTCCTGAAATTGTTATAATTTTCCATATTTACATTTTATTCCATCAGACATGTCAGATCAGGAAATCAAGTACTGGTAGAAAGCTTGTCAAGATGGGTTTTCCAAGAAAGGGGTGTGCTGAGAGCAAGAGATGTGATTCATCATAAGCACGGAGAAAAAGAAGCACCTGCCTCTTATACAATCACTGACATGGTGGTAAGTATAATAGGTATAGAAAATCATAGATAGATTTTTATGAACTGGTGATTATGGTATTGTACTATTCATTAATAAGAATATGCAAGGATTTCTCCAAATCCCAGTTCCTTTGACGGAATTTGCTCAAAGAAAAGTCTTGCACACTCAATTAGAAGTAAACACAAGCATAGTTACATGTGGTCACTGAAATGCCAAGAGTTACTGAAACTATTCGGGTAGCTTCATGCACCAACGTTTGCAGATTCCTGCAAGGCTTTAGGCATTTCGAAGCGATGCGATTGTTTAATAAAAAAGATCCTTGCCTACATTGACTTAAAAAAAATTGTCAGAAATTCCGCCACCAACCATGACTAGAATTAGCAGGTTATGTTGTACTGTACTAGAGACCAGAGGATAAATCCTTGCCACATAATCAAATCATCTTCTTGGCCACATAATCAAAAAATCTTATCCAATTATCTCTTTCCAGGAATACATATAAACATACCATATTTTATTACACACCGACCACCGTCAACTTGATGACTTGGAAGTACGTTGTTTTCACATTTTAAAATGTCACAAAAAACTGTAAAAGTCATTCTCTATATTATATTAGGTTATATAAAGTTCTTTTAAATTGACAGCATTACAGCATTATAATCGAAGAGTTACAGCAAGACGGTACATGGAGACCTTACAAAGGTACTGATGTCCAGATGGAATTTGTTCGTATTGATCCATTTGTAAGAATTGTTCTCAAAGGTGATCCCAAAACAGGAAGATTTTCAGCTGATTTCAAACTGCCTGATGTTTACGGTGTGTTCCAATTTAAAGTCGACTACACCAGGCTTGGCTGGACTTTCCTAAGCAGTTCTACTCAGGTAACGTTTGTTTACTTGTTGATGGTTGCAACCAGCGCTGGGATAAGTAATTTTAAGAACAGATCTCCTTTTGTATTAAAGTAACTAACAACAGGTTCCCTCATTCCAGAAAATTCATGTATGTCACTGTGTAAGCTACATTAACATGACAAGGTTACATGAATCTCACACATTCCAAAATATACCACTAGTCATCAAGTGCGGTGCATGTGTCCTGTTTGCTATGTCTAACGTCTAAAACAAGATGGGGTTGCTGGTATCGAAACATTCCAAAAATGGGTTTGTGTGAACTACCTGAATTGCACCACTAGTTGAGATTCGCTTACGCCTAGCTGTCTTGAGCGATTCAATGTTTCTGTCTCGTATTCCATTGAGATACTTTACTTGCACATTGAGCACATTTTTTCAACATCTTATTATGAGCCAGAATACAACTCCATGGATATTTGTGTAATAAGCCATAAAAAAAAGTAAATGTACCTTGCCCAATTCGTATCAACTTTCATTCAAAATAACGAGTGCCTTTTTACTGGAAAATCTCGATCAAACCTTATTTCCATTTCTAGATTTAGTTGTTGGTTCCAGCCACATATGCTTTGTCATAGTAGACAGGCAAATTATTGAATTGATAAATCCTTGCATTGTTATCCATTTAAAAACTAATTGCATAAAGAATAATTCTTAAGCGGGCCATTGTTTGCACTTTATTTAAGTTCTCCATGCTGATGCCACAAAATACCGAACATGGGTTTCCTGCCCTACTTTTACACTACACATTTTACGCATTTACTATTTTTTCCAGGTGTCTGTACGTCCACTGCAACACACTCAATATGAGAGATTTATTTGGTCTGCATTCCCATATTATGCAAGTGCTTTCAGCATGATGATTGGTGTTGTGCTTTTTTCATTTGTCTTTTTATACCACAAGTCAGATGGAGGGAAGAAGAAAACAGAATAACGTCAAACTTGAATATAAAAATACTGTATTGAATAGGTGACTTCAAAAAATCCTTAGAAGTCACCAGAATTTAGATGTTTAAATTCGGTTGAAAACAGTCAATTTTTTTTCCACATTTTTTCGCAAAATAAAAATTATTGTGAATTTTTTAGCAAAACTTTGGCGATCTTGAACAAAGCGATCTACTAATATTCAAAAAATTCAAGTTTAATATAGTGAATACCCGTTAAAATCGGTAGAATTGATCAACTGATTTTATGTCTGTTAAAACTGTACTATTTCAAACATATTTTTCTTATCTTTGAGTCACTTAATATTTTAATGCAAATCAGAGTTGATAAAAATTTCATATCGATTCATCGCAATAATGTCTGAAAGTTTCCCACTTAATAGTTTCTTTTTTTCCTGTGGGTGGGCTTATCCATTAAAATCATCAAGTTAATCAAAAGAATTCTTTCACACCTTTTTAAAAATTTCTTCTGATAAAGAGTTAATTCCAAAAAAAAAATCCATTATGACCACAGCCATTTATAAAATCCGGGTAGCCAGTAAATTACTAACTCTTAAATTATTTTGGTAACTTAGAGCTGATGGATCTGCTGGCTGTATGTTCTTTCTCTATTTGGTGCATTTCAGCGTCCACCCTCCTTTAAGAAAAATATTGTACAAATTCTCATTACGAGGGTATATGCGAAACTGTCGAATCCGGTTGTATGAATCGTATGTTGGCCTTGAAGATAGAATTCAGCTCTTAATTTAAGTTATAACGCCTGGCTTATTTTGTCATCCTATCTCATAAATGATTTGGTAATACCATGAGGGAATATTGTTCATGGATTGGAATTTCGGTATCTAAGTTCACATGGCTCCTTAAATTATCATGAAATTGGTGTTATTTTAGTGCATTTTTCAGTCTTTTTTTTTCATATAGGATGGATATATACGTAAAAACACTATACTAAGCACCAGATATGATGGATATTTGTCTATTGAGGAACCCCCATCTCTTTTAATGCTATTGGGTTTCAGTGGTTTTCGGTGAATTTTGTGAGGTTGCAATTTACTGCTATATTTGCACTGTCGACTCTGTATTTCCTAACAATCTGAAGCATTTTCCATTTGGTTTAGTGCTTTATAAAGCACAGCGGTCTGAAGTTGATAGTAAATATTTGAGGTCTTTGTTTTAATAACCGAATGTTCCAAATGTTTGGTGAAAAAAAGTTTGTTGGTAGATTTTCTAAACAATTGAGGCAATAAAATTTTCTGGAATAGTTCAAAGTGTTTTGTGACAACCTAGTATATCGTACCGTAATCAGGTTAGTCAACATAAACCGGAACAGTTTTTTGTGTACGTGGACATACGACTTACTGCTGATCGGTTTAAACCTGTACGCTCGGTCCTCTCCGACCCCATTAGAAAACTCGCGACTCCTGAATATTCGTGAATGACTGCGTCGTGGCGTTAACAAGCCTAAATATATTTGGCGCCCAAATGTGCACTTTTAAATGCACAAATTGTTCCGCGCAATTTATTATCGTGTAAGATAATTGGAGCCCAAATTTTTAATTATATCATACCAAAGTCCTCTTATTACCTTATGACAAACCTGGTAAAAGAACTCGCGACAAGGTCGTATGAAAAATTGTTAACTGTAGGATATTGAATCAAAATCGTGGGTTTCCCGCGTGTATATATATGTATGGATAATTTGTAGCAATGCACGCCCGTTCAAAATGTTTCACACAACTCTGTTCCAGATAATTCTCATCTAGTCAGGTAATTTGAAAGCAAACTACCAAAAACACAGCATTGATTTAGCACAGCAGCAAATTTACAGAAATTCATTGGATGAGATTATTTATTACAGTATTTCTTAGTAATAACTCGATTTCATTGAATTAACATTCCAAACATTAACACGATGATTATTTCATGTTGATCACGGTATTGGTGCCAATACTCTTCTTCCGTTAATGAACATGCTTGGAATGATCGTGATGCACTGAAAGAAATCGAATGTGAGTTTATACTTTTTGGAAATTCAGAGGAAATTGTCAAATATTCTGCTTGGTTATTTAGTCCGTTATTAAAATAATAATAATATTTATATATATATTTATATAGCTTACACGACTATAGGTGCATCGTCAGCAACGAGTTAACGTTGTTCATTCTTCCACAAGATTTTCAAGAATACTTTAAACCGTACTTTCCTTTCAATGTTTATAAACTTACCCCCCACGCATTTTAAAGCATGATTGTCTTTGTGACAACCCTTTATTTTTGCTAATAGACGTTTTCCTCCCGTGACACCATACGAATCATAGGCGTGTTGGAAACAACCACCTAACTCCTCGTCATTTGTTGCAGAATCTGCGCATGCTGATAAGGTAAAGCAGAAGATTATATATATATATATATATATATATATATATAATTGACCAGCACAAAAAACATTAGGTACCGTCGGAGCCGAAACCAGTCTAATATCTCTCAGTGGAGATGCGTGATTGGTAGATAGGTCCGAGTGACTGGTGGGTTTGGTCGATGATTACTTTAGCTTCGCTCACAGGGAACAACAAGTTTAGAAGATTCCAGAACCCCGATATTTTTTTTGAGTGGCTGCTAATACGGAGCCTTGTTTGGGACAGATGCATAAATATAGTTAAGTACAAATTGCGTCGAAGTTAACAAGACAACAATTTGTTTTTGACGAAACCTATGGTTGTCAATTTTAAGTCAAAAAAATTGTATTGTAATGAAAAAATGACTGATAGTAGGTCATACTTTGTAAATCACCATCGGCGTGTACTTGTATCGCCATCTCACAACATGTAGCTTTATTGGCACAACCTCTACATTCTGCATCCAAGTCACTAAGCACTAAAACAACAAGAAATTAAAAATTTTACGCATTTCATATTTACTTATTGGTATTGAGAAATACCGTAATAGAAAATTGTTGAAGAAAATGGGTCCTAGATCGAGGTTTATACACTTAAGTGTGTCTGTTCTGCACTTGTTGCGTAAATTAAACAGCCCAATGCAGATTGGAGCGGTAATTGTCTTGATGAGGTATTTTGCAATTTAAAATGTTTGTAATCAGCGAATTTGTGTTCGAATTATTTGTTGACTTAAGCTACCCGTTCGTCAGGTCAAAATCTTGTTTACATAACCCGGTATTTTGTTGAGCGCTGCTATTTTTGTACAGTGAAGATACGCAATGAATATCATGATTTCGGAACACGATCGAAATTCAGAGATCGTCATATATTTTTTCCGTAATTTGTCGGTTACTCGAGTTAAAGGTTAATCTTTTAAACCTTTTTCTTTATGTATTCTGGTTATTTTTAAGACGGTTGCAATATATATATATATTTCATCATAATTTTTTTGGTTCATAGTCTGAGGGTAAGGCGACGTTCATCATGACGCAACTGCTCCCTTATCGAGCTTTTTATCGTTATCGTATTGGCTCTTCCCTTAAAAAAACAGAATTGTTGTGCTACTTTATGCTTTTTTACATGATCAAAGATTTCCAAACATACCAGAAGCTTATAGACAACACTGTGATTTATCTTCTCTTATGATTTTCTAATAATTCACAAAAACTTACCAGCTATAATGTGACCAAAATTGTTTTTCATACCGCGAGTCGGAGCAGATGATACTGACCCCAAAAACAGCAGTATCATGACAAAAGCAGTATTCATATTTGTTGTATGTCAAGACCGATATCTGAATTCTAGATTTAAAATACGCACAGTGTCAAAAACAACAGAAAATAAGCTACATAGGAGTATCGTATTATTCAAAACGACAAAGGTGTTCGAACTTTGTTAATGTATAGGCTATAACATAAACACACAACCATTTTTGGTCATTTTCCGCTCCATCAAAATACAAAACCGTAATTAAGGTCCAATAATTCAATACATCAACCGCTTTCGCTCATACGTGAGTGTTTTATTTCAAATACCTGTTACCATAGCTACAACATTGCAACCTTGCATCGGGAAAATTTAAATACACGAGGTTTAAATTATTAAGACATATGAAATAAAACTTGATTTAATCTGAGCAACCCTATTTCTGCGATTCAGCTGTTCCTCGTCGCTAACATTCAATACGATATGTACCCCCTCCTGGCAATAACTTCGTATTTCAACTGCTGGGTCGAATTTATTTTTGAAGAGCTATGTTTGCACATTTGTTTCTATTTCATTGCATGAGCAGTTCAGTAATCAATGGCCTGCTCTGTTTTCTAAGTACTTGTTGACCTGAGCAACAAGAATCTGTGTAAACGCGCAATGTCGAAAACTTATTTGCTTGGCCTAGTTAACCTCACATCGCGATAAACAAACTTGAATACGTTCACTCATAGGTCATGTGAACTGGCATTCTTGCGACATCTAATTTAGGGGATGACCTACATCTTGTAGAAATTAAACTAATCTTGATAAAAGTTAGATAAATAAGGACTTGTTCCTTCGTTAATAGTTTTTTGTTTTGTTGCTATTTTGTCACGAGAACAGTGAGCGCCAATACAAAGGGTCTGGTAGCCAATTCGATTGCGTATAGTGGTCGGCCTTTTTTTAAGTTAGGCCAAATAGTAAAAATTTTCAAGCTTTGTCGAATATTTTGTTGAAAACCGAAAATGGTTGAAATTTCCACAGTAAATTTGGCAAATAGGAAATTCGACTTCAACAAATCTTCGTCGCGCCCAGAAAATACCAAGAGTCGACGAACGTCGAAGATTTTGCCATCGTTATTGAATGGATTGTCAACTAATGACAGGCCCGATGTCGTCATAAAGGTACGCCACTTCATTGAAATAACATCACTGCAAATAGTTGACCACGTGGTGGAGTAAATTTTCTGAACACCAACAAGTACGGATTTGTTCTTCATCTATCTTATCTCACCTTTTATTGGACACGAATTAGACTATGGATCATTTTGTTACTTTTTTGTTGTTGTTAGTATTTTTCCTCTTCTTGTTGTCGCTGGAAAGCTATTACCTTTATTTATTTCGAAAATTAATTTCTGTGGTATTTGTTTTACATTCTGAAGTGTTGACGTCATTACCTTAGTAATTGCGCCATGTGGCAGTTACGCGATCACATTCAGCGATCTGGTGCTCAGCCATGACTGAAGTGTTTTGATTGGGTAGACTACCGGAACTGTAAAAAATTTAATGCTACAATTGTGACGCGGATCATTTGGTATTTTGATTCACACTGAAACTGGACGCAATAATCATCATCGTCACAGGACCAGAGAGGACATGAAATCCATACCATATTTGGTCATTAAAAGAGAAACAGGTGGCGAATAGATCCTGTGATATGTCGAGCCGAACGCCATTCCAGCTGCGCCACTGCATTGATTTATTGTTGATATGTATATGTTAGTAAATTGACTGGTCGGTCAAACCAACGTTTCAGTCCAGTTACTTTGTTAATAACAGTTGCACGCTTTGCGTTTGCGAGAAACTGCGATTTCGATTTGCTAACGTGACTGCATACAGGTTAAAATTTCATTGGTCTATGGCGGGTTTTGGTAAATAAAATGTCAGTTTGGCTAATTTATTTGGTCCTCGGTATTGGTGATTCCTATTTTGTTTCAGTTACTGTATTCACAAAACGACTTTCCCAGTCTAATAAAACAACTCAGATTCTCACTCCATTTTTGACTCAGAAAATGAGTTTATCTCATGCTTTCAATAGCAGTACCATTTGAATGGATAGAAAGTGGTACTTTGCCAGTTAAAATTTGTAGCGCGAAAGCTTATTTGAGGCGTAGTATGTGCAAGTAAATAGAACATATATTATTATATACCGGTAGTCTTTTTGTGATAAATATAAAACTTAATTAAGGGGTTAACTTCGACATATGGAGTGAGATCCGTCAGTGCGAATGGGTTTCTCGCAACCGAGACCAACCCATAACTAGATAGTTTTAATTTGAGAAACGAATTGTAGTCGCATTCCTGACGACATGTTTGTGCATAAATTAGAGAAACTAATTTGAGTCTCATAGTCAAGGTTCCCTCTCATCACGCAGTATTACCAGACCGTTTTCACATTAAAATCTCATTCTCGCGCACCTGTAACATTACGTTTTCAATGCGTGGCTCGCCATACTTTCTAACGCCTCGCAAGAATGCCCGTTTCCTGTTTCACAATTATTTTTTTCGTTACCATTGTTCATTGTGATGTCACACACGTGTCTGTTACGTTCAAGTACTTGGATTTCTCCTGAAGCATCCGGAAAGAGCTATTGTAAGCCAAGCCTACAATGCCAGGGCGGGCCGGTGCCCGCGGGCCACTAATAAACATGGACAAAGTCTATGAACATTAAAAAATCACGAAAACAAGAAAAATCTTTTTGAGTTGATTGTGTACGTACTTTGTTGGCATTCTGATAACATATTGTTGTTGAAATATTTCATAAAGTTTGTAAACCATTTAGGACTATGCTCAGCCTTACAATATTCATGCTCACTAAAACAAACAATTGCGCAGTCTAATGTTTTCTTAGCGGGAACACTGCTCATAGTGCCTTTGAGAACATTTTCGCCCCTACATGAACAGTGGGGTATGATTTATAGATTTTTATTGGCAAAACTTTAAGTTTAAAATTATGACGTGAACAATAATTATTAATTAGTGGAATATTGCACCTCAAAAAAGAATCGTTACACTACACAAAGCATTAGGAGTATCAAATGAATGAATCAAATTGTATCACATGGTCGATTATAAATATGAAAGCTATGTTGAATGAGTAGCAGGAAACTGCATCTGGCGCTTATTTCGCGCGTATGCCAAATAATATTAATATAAAATGAGATGACGTTTGCAAATTGAGTCTAGCTGTTTATGCCATTTAGCGATGTCAAGTCTCTCATATCATAAAAACTATTTTAAACTTTTTTATCGACACCAATTCAAGATGCATAGCCAATGATGATGACTGTAAGACTCTGTATCATTACGATGAAACCCAAAGTACAGAGTGCAATCGATAACTTTTTCTCCAAAGATTCTTTGATCGGAACCTCGTCAATCCGAATGTAAAATATGGACGGTAGAATGAACACGAGCATTGTTGACGCCGTTGCACCTACACATAGAGAGAAATAATTGAGCAATAAGTACCAAACATCCTGGTACAAAATTCCAAACATACTTAATCAAGCTGTTTTGTAATTAACGAAAGAAGGCAAGAGCATTCATTCCGCCAATATAAACAAGTACCTACATCAGGGGTCGGCAACCTACGGCCCGCGGGCCGGATCCGGCCCGCGGAGCAATATAATCCGGCCCGCGACGCTTCACTGAATTATAGTAACAAATTATAGCTGTTTTGTCGATTATATGTTTTACGCAAAATAATTTACGTTAGACTAAATTATATTATAACGTAACAAGTATATAATTCACAATTACTCGTTTAATTAGCCTATATTTTAATTATAATTTAGACAAATAGCAACAAAACGCAGAAAAGTTGATGCTAATGGTTTAATGGCGCAAAAATATTCAAGTGGTCAGTCTTCGCGCGCTGTTTAAAATTTAACTTTTGATCTGTGTGATAAAATGTGATTCATTGGTCATTCATTCGGTTTTTAACTCTCTGAAAATATGTGCGGCCCGCCAATGACTTGCAACCTTTAATTTTGGCCCGCGAGCGACAAAAGGTTGCCGACCCCTGACCTACATGTTCCGCTAATTGCTGAGCGCTGACCAAAACCACGCGAATACTGTCTATGCATTTATGGCATCCCCACCAATCATTTAACCCAGGGGTGTGCAACCTTTATTATTACAGAAGAACCAGCTAAAAATAACTGGGCTAAAACGAGGATCGCACCTTTATTTAACATGGGCTATATCTAGTAGTGGCATACACTAAACATTTGGTTATTGATCTTATGACATGCTTTATTTGCACAAGCTAGCTGTTATGGCATTGTGAAGTCATAGGCATAGATGTATTGGACTCAGGTATAGGCATCACAACGCTAAGGGATTGGAATAACTCGCACGTACAGAATTAAATTAAATTGAATACACGTTTCGGGGCCATCCAAAATTGGCACTTTTCCACAGGCTGCATAAATTTTTCTTGAGTGCCGCATTTGGCCTGCAGGTTGCACAGCCCTGATTTAAACCATATGACAAGAACTTTTAATAATTCTCGAAAACCCGAGACCTTGATCTGCGATTCGATAGGATAATAATAACAACCAGGCTCAATCTCATGTAAAGCACCCTTCTTGTCGTTACCACGTCCGGGTACGTCAGTAGCTAACCAAATGACCGTTTTAGTAATGAATGGGTGTAGTTTTTGGAAGGTTCAGTCGACATGTTTTTCTGAGATGTTTTGTGTAAAAAGCGCCAGTCACCCAATAATTATCTATATTTTAACTTAGAATAAATATGGTGATTCTACTAGAATTTATCGTCATCTTCATAATTCGAAGTTTTACTTCTAGATACAATCTGATTTTTTTTTTCTTACCTATGAATCCAAAAACTTGTAAAATGCTTGGTACAAACACGACCAATATGTTGATGAATGTGAGAAGAAACACCATGATTCCCAAATGTCGGATCCATGCGAATGGTTTTTCCGGAAAAATAAGGAATGTGATCGCTTTTCTAGCCTGTCCAAGAAAGACAATACTTTAATTTATAATTAAAAAATAATTTTTTCTTTACAATATTATTTTCAAAATATCGTACACCAAAGCAATATTTCTGAATTACCGAAACCATATTCTTATTTTTTTTTAAATGCAGATATACCGAGGAGACGTTTTACTCTAATCGTTTTAATAAACTTGTACTAAGTGAAATTTTATTACATATGGTAGTATATCATCAAAAAAAAATCTCACAGGAAAATGTGTTAGAGGCACAGTGAGTATCACAGCTACTAGAACACAAACTCGAACAATCAACGTCAAAATATCTGCTGAGTCAGCATAACTGTACATGAGTAGAAGTTCGGGCTCCATCCAATCTGCAAGAAAAAATAATATTCGAACATTCGCTAAGAGGTTCAACTTACCAAGAAGGGACCAGTAGTCAGTCCATCCAGTCTAGTCAAAAAATATGAAATTTGAATCAACCAATTATGCAAATACCCTCAAGAGGGTTAATTATTCTGATATGTTCAAGACATATGAATCTAAATCCGTGGGATGGCGATAGCGATGCCGAAGAATTTCAAATGTTACATAAATAATGATCGAATTGTTTTATTTTCACATCAACTTTTTGCAAATTCTATATTCTCATTGCTCGGTCATCAGTTATCACCATTTTTATGAGGCTTTTGTCACGCCCCCATTCAAAGCAATACTTCCTATCTAATTAGCAACAGAATATAACTTTGCTTTCATTATAAAAGTAATCAACTTACTGTAAAATGTCAGGTAGCCGAATAAAGCCGACAGTGAGTAGAGAATAAAGCAGATGCTGATAGATGTATTTGATACGTTCTGCATTCGTGAGGCACAAGGTCTAAAATAATAATTCATGCAGATAATGGGTATGAAATACTTTTGTTGGCGTTCTTTGTAGAACTAGGACCTATGCTTATACACCAGATTGCCACATTTAAGTTAATAAAAGTAAAAATATCCCTGATGTTGGCTAAGCGAGTGTTGGTATTTAAGTCAAAATCTAGAATTGATATTTTGTTACCGAGTGATCATCATTGAACCACTTCACAACATATCACTGCTAATATTTTTCACCAGAGTTTTGTTTGACTCTAAAAATACCAATAAATTTATTTTCAATCTATCATTTATTTTACTATGTAAGCCCTGTAGTAACCTAATATAACAGAATTATATAAATAATATCAATATTAGATTTCTGCATAATGGAATACAAATAGGGCTTTGTAACGTATACCCCAATTAGTGGGTCTCGGTTTGAACTGATGTAAAACTAACAGCTTTAAACAAGGTACGAAGGTCTACTTTATTGGACGGTGCACTACTAAAAATCGATGACTCATGTATTGGAAAACAATACGCAAACGGAGAGTTTTATCTTCAATCTACTTAATTCTGTTTGCCTAGTTTTACGCTTGAATTTTGACCCGGAAAAACTGTGCTAACTCGAAAAAAGTTGGAGTTGGGTAAAAGTGACTAGACTTATTTAAGAATAGCAACGTTATGTAAAAACTATTTCTTACTCTTTCAGTTCAGCATAAATAGGTAAAACTGCTGTATGACAGACGAACGAAAATGTCATGGTCGGTATGCTGTACGCCCACTGTAATAGAAAAACAAAATATTTCACATCATCAGCGCAACAAAATCTCTACATAAATTTTAAGCAGGTTAAGCACAGTAGTGTATATATGTTTACAATAGTTTAAACTCAGACAAAAAACAATCAGCCAGGATAATATATCCTCATCTAGTGGGACACTCGATAACGGCTAATCTTCATTCTCTGTATTAGTTACGAAAAAAGCAAAGGCATTCACCCAGGTATGTTCATGGGACATATTTTTCTGTCCCATTTCCATCCCAAAGCAATTATGCCTGTCCCATCCCATTCCATGGGATTCCCATTGGAATAAAATTCAATAAAAATTGCTAAATTTAGGTTTAGCGTCTACTAAATAGGATTACATGTACGAAAAGACATGCAAAACAACAAAATTTACGGACTTTGTTAACTTTTTATTCATAACTATTATACATTTGTCGATCATCCCAAGAGAGTTATGCTCAAATATATGGACACGAAATTCATAACGAAATGTTTTACCATCATTTCCCCGAAAATCCTACGGTATTTGCGTCCCATGGGAAATACAAATGTATGCTATCCCATCCCATGGGAATCCCATTCCCATGGACAAGCCTGCATTCCCAATTATAAATTTCACTCGGTGCAACTTGTTTCGCATTGTTTTTTTTTTCTCAGCCAGGGAAGCCGAAACCAACGAATTAGCTATTTCAAATATACCAGGAGGCATATACCACGAAGCATTGCAAATTTATATACATTGGATTTAATAATGACGATAATTTGATTTACAAAGTTTTTTTTGTAAGTTTCTATTTTATACGTTTTCAAAAGTTAAATGAAGTGTAATTTTGTCTGGCTGTTCGATGGCTCAAATATGACAGCTTTGCACAATAAATATTCTAATTTTTCGCAATCTAGAACTTTCTATATTAAATATACCCAATTTCGAATATATTTAAATAGTCGGTTTGTTTAGGGCAGGTTTCGCTAAATTCTACTTAATTTGTTTTATTTAATCACCTTATCGGTCATTCCGAATGCTTCAGCTTCACATTGCTGTGGTCCCACCTCTTTATAAATATGAAATGCTTTTTCCTCTATCGGTGACAGAATATGTTCGGTATTTTCATATACAGTGGCATTTGAATGTCCGCTATCAATATTCATGAACGATGTCGCTGTTTCGAAAACAATTTTCATTGTTGAATTCAACTGTTCGGCCAAATCTGGCATTTCTGTTGCTTTTTCTTCCAGCGAGTTTGTCATGGATGTGTTGACTGATTCGGCATGCGTTGCATTAGTAAATAGATCTTCACTGAAAAGCGGGCATGTGATTTGAAATTTCTTCACGACGACCTGAAAAATGAAAATAAATTGTGGATATTCTTACATACGGAAAACAATGAGAAAACAGTGGCTGTGTATACTTGTGTCATGACTAGGCTAAGTCAAGCTTGACCACTTTATCAAAGACTTAGTTCAATGCGTGCGATGGGTGATCGGAAAGGGTGAAATCACGAGATGAAATAGTTATGAATTTGGATTCAATGTGATCCTGAATGAGGAGACACACAGTAAGAAAAGAAGTTATTACAATGACAGGACAGAAATTAAACAGAAGCGCATATACACCCACTACACACACGCCTTCAACAAGTCTTTAACGTTAAATCAACTTATCGGCATTCTTTCCAAAAATAACAACGGCTCAGATATCGGAGATTATCGTCAGTGACTTCAAAGCCGAAGAAATTCCAACTTAATAATTTTTCATCATGTGTGGGACAAATAAATTCAGTTTATGCCTATTTTCTGAAGCTTACGCTTGGTGTTATGATGGCGTAAAAGACTTACGACAGCAGTGAAAAAGAACATGCATGATATTGAGAATCCACTTGTGTAGCCGAGAAATCCGATATTTTTCAAACTAGCCAGAGGCACGATTACGGCACACGTCACCACGACCACCAAAATGTCACCATTGTAGTACCATGATCTGAATATTTAAAATAGTTTTCAAATTCATCCGAAAAGTATAGATATGATCTCAATCGCCATTTAAATATACTTTACTGTAGAAGGATATTGGGTAGGGTTTGATTTTTGAAGGCAGCTACGCAAGATACTGCCAATTGAATGCAATGTTTTATGTAAAGACTAGATGTTTTTTTCTTTAAGCAAACTTATTTATAATACAATAAAAGATAAATGAGAACAAATTTATATAAAATAGGGTATGATTCAAAAAGCATCTTACAGGTAGAATCCATTTATCCCCTGCCAGACAAAATATTAGTCTGTTCAAAGTTGGCACAGCGGATTAAAATTTTTCTCGAGTTGTCTTGTGTCAACAATGGAATATAATCTATAACCATTCGTTAAAATAATCTGTCAGTTCGGCCTATATAATTCCTTTTTGGACTTCTTCCCAGTTTCATGTCATTTGGCTAAATTTGTTTACCGATCACCCCCCTAAGTCATCGTACAGGAAAACATAGAAGACGTTGAATGTCATTTCTTCTCCGAGAACAAATTGTATGTTCATTTCGATGCCACCCGTATGTTACTTTTATTAGGTGTTGGTGATTTCCCTTACGTATATCAAAACTCCACATGTATTGGCGTTGATCTACAACCAAGCCCGAAACGTCGTTTATAAATCTTGACGATGAACGATAATTCACCGATGTGATGATATCCGTTTCGTATATGCAACGATCTTGTAAAACTTGATTTTATGGAGAGATAAAATCCTATTTAGCGACGTGAAATGTCAAATATTGAAGTTTACGCAGGAGTATCGTTCTAAGTGATTTAGGAGACTTACTGCGCACTAAAACGAATATATTTTTGTAAAGTTTCGTCTGAATATAGTCAAACTTTCTCGGATAGATATTTTTATCTGGCTTCGGCCAGACGAACATTATAAAAAGGTTAGTGCACAGGAAGACCCTTGAATCTCTTATAAGACAGTTATTTTCACTCTTGCTGCAGAATCCTTGCACAATGGTGTCGCAAAAACCCAATTGACAACAGAAATACATTTGTATAGTGTGTAGCGGGACTTTCGAATAACGTACACGTTTTCTACGTATTATATAATTAAAGCTGATTACGATATTGTAATTACTTCTCCTTGTCTTCCAGGAGCGGGTTTTCAATTAATTCCACATTTTCGTTTATTGTGAATCACTGGCAACAATGTTCAAGCAATCAAATATAGGAAAAAAACATAAACCCAGCTGGCGAAATTTAACCAATGTAAAACATAACTTACCCGTCACCGTGTTCAACCCCGAGGATTGTCATTATTACGTTCGGAAGTTCATATTTGACGATAAACAGGTAACTTGACATTGCGCCGATGTTTTGTAGCAGAATGCAGCAAGCAGCAACAATCTAAAAGCATTTTGTAAAGTTTTTTAAAATTTCATATTTAACGAAAGAAATATACATTGCAAAATCACAAATAATTCGACGCTGAAACCCTTTTTTAACAGGTGATACCATATTTACTTCGATTCGGATCTTTATCGAGCAATCAGCAGAAGAGAAAGGACTTAGAGATTTCCAGTTCGACATAAAGGGTATAGGGGTGCTTGTTTATAAAGTTCACTTATAAATTCAATTTTTTTATGACATCGGTTCTCAATATATTTCGACCACGTTAGTTTTATTTTTGTCAATGTTCATTTTGGTTTCTTTACTTCATTTTTTACACTTGTAGGGGAAAACAATATATGATATCGATAAATGCTTTTTCAAACGTATCACCTGATATAGTGAGCCTAGGAAAATGCCGCGCTGACTATAGGTGTGTATATTTTGTCGACCGAAAAAATATTGCGCGCACTGCAAGTACCCTAAAATAATCCCATAACCACGCCTGTAATTCCAGGCAATTCTATTGGTTTCACGCCCGTATCCATCCCACCGATACGCCTACAAAATTCCCAAATGACGATCACATGTCTTATTTCAAGGTTACCTACTCCGGGTTACCTGTTGAGGTGTGTCTTGTCAAACATAGTCGAAACCAAGGTGCCCGTGTGGTAAGATGTATAAGGTGACCCGTGTTTTCATAGAAAGTATTTCAAACGATATCGAGATGACGTCATTACTTGACCAATTGACCATAGCGGAGTTGCATTTCTCAAAACTTTATCAATTTCTATCGAGCGGAAATTGGATAGTTTGAGGGTTGCCTAGAAACGGTAGTTCGCGTTTCTTGCCGAGAGCAATAGGAAACGATACAAAGCGATTATGAATGAGGTCAAATCAATAAACAATTACATTATTTCAATGAATGAGTTCACAGCTACATAACGTAGTATAGAAACAACAATTGTAAACAACGAATTTATGATAAAAAATAGGATTTTGCGAAAACAAGCTATTTGAAACCCCTGGATAATATAATTCTAGAAAACCCTAGTTTGTGGGGTATATGCTGCTATCGACGGGTAGGCGTGGAGTCATGATAAACTAAATGTAGTGATAAGCAATAGTATTTTGAAAATAGGACACGCTTTCCCAGAAATAAAGGGCTGTGATTTTTTTTTTGAATATACAAGATTAGGAGAAATCAACATACATATTTATGCAGTTAAATGAAGAATTTTTTTAATTTATTTATTATACAAAGTTAAAGGCATCAAGATGAATGATGTATCATTCATCTGGGGTACTCCCGAATTATGGGAATCCAGATGGCTGATATGGAACGTAGTATGTGTACCAGGTTAGGGTTAGGCCATAATTTTAGGTACAAATACCTCGGGAGTTATTTGGCTAGTCCCAAAACTCGCAATAGAACTAAAATAATGAAAATGGAAATAAAATTATGGCCTAACCCTAACCTGTTACACACACTACGTTCTGGTGTCCGCCATGTTGGTTCACATACTTCGGAAGTACCATTGGTATAGCATAATGCTGCTAATGATGGCATTTTATCGATCATTGGCTGTACTTTGTACTGACACTCCAAAATTAAATCGATCATTTCACTATACAATGTATTTATTTTACAGTAAGTGTTTACCACAAACGATACCTATTTGCTTCATACACTTTCATTTTAATTAGTTACCTATCTAAAAGCTTTTTATTGATACAATCTACAGTAAAACGAACACCAAGAATCGGGTATTAAAGACGAATTTATATATACTGCACGCTTGTCCTGTAGTTGGTTGGAAAAGTTATAAAAGGGTTAGCTGATATTCAGGTATATTTTAACTAATATTTGAGAAACTGAAAGAATCATATATGTGACGTTTTACCACAGATGTCTTATTAAGTTTACACCCTATCGACAATGACGTCATAACAAAAAGTGAGATAATATTTGTCCGGGAACAATGTGAAAGTTTTGATGACGAGCGCATTTTAATTTATTGTTCGATATTAAGAAATTGATATTTACTTTTATTTTTATGCTGAATGCTTTTCTTTAGACTTACATGTTGTAAAAACAGGACGGATGAATGCTGAATCCATAGCCATATTAACATTTTTATTTTAAATTGAATTTCGAATATCATCTATGACTATATATTATCGTTAGCCTGTTGCAGAAGGAAATAACAAATTTAAAATTTGTAACTAATCGAGTATGGTTCGACATAATGTGTACATTGGATATAGCGTATGTTTATCTATTTGCTTTTCCTCAAATTAACGAGCTCCACCATCGGCATGTGTGAAGTGTGTGCACCTGACGATTGTAAAATCGAACGTACGTGTTATAAATATAATTTTATGTGATGCGTTTTAGGCGATCATAAAATTGAACAAAGTTCTGCACTTTGATGTATTCAATCACAAATACTAAAACAAGATATTTATGAAAACTGCTGCTTTGTGAAAAGCGTTGTAGCATAACAAGCACGCCATAAATACCGTTAACAATCTTTTCCAAAAAATCAAAAACAAGTATGTCATATTTGCCACAAGATTATTGTTCCTCCTTCCAATGATTATCATCATTATATTATTTTCTCTTCTTGTTATATAGTAAAGACTCAACTGTATTTACAGTAACTGTACTTTGTGAACGTTTAATTGGCCACGTAGACCAATTCACATAAACTACTATACTCTGTATGTATCGTTTTAATTGGCAAAACAATGGGGTATATGCATAATACTAGGTTTTGTCATTTTATCCGAATATTTCCAAGAAATTAAAACTTAGCCATGAAGAATGAATCATATTTAAAATTTTCTAAAACAATAAAAACAGCGAAATACAAAGATTCAAACATTGTTCTAAATCTTGATTTGGGTTGTCATTTTAATGTGTGTATCAGTTTTGCAAGTATTATGAAATAACCATCAGCCATAAATATAAGGAAAGCAAGTGGGTTTTCCTCAAATAGTTTTTTTACCATAATTTAATACCATAACATTGATTTATTAAAAAGTTATTTTTAATATGGAAAACTTAACAATTCCGTCTTAACTAGGTAATGTATTAACAAACGAATGTTTAATTTTTTGGAAAATCGATTGCGGTATTTAATGTTATCAATAGGAAATATCTTGCTCACCCTTCCCGGAAGTCCAAATGCAATGAATCCGAGTTTTTCGTAAGCTTTCACGTTAGTTTGATCGCACAGTTTAAGAAGAAGATGAATGGAAAACAATGCCAAGATAGAACAATTACTTCGAAGATGCTGTAGAAAAAATATTAGAAAATTCATAAAAGATAGAAAAGATGTGTATTACTATATATGTATATAACGATATACAGGTAGATTGTAGATTTTTCCTAATATTGGAACAATTTTTATGAAATGCCCGCAGATTTTTTCATATTTCAAGCATTTTTTCCGGATACGATAGTTGATAAAATTGTTTTCTCAAAACCACTTTGTCACCCAAACGCAGAGACTCATGAAATAAATAATGACCAAAAGATAATAGATACTATCTTTTTTTTAATAAGATATTATTTTTTTAATAATAAGATAGTATCCTTTTCCATCGATTACTTAGTAAAATGAGGTATAGGTAATTGAGTTAAATAAATGCTACAAACTCACAAGAATAACACAATTCCAAGTTGCGCCATTGCGTACGGTAAACCGAGAATTCCTGATCCAAGAATAGCATTCATCAAGTTGAAAACGCTGATTGCAAAGGAAGCAGTGGCTGGATGCGGTTCTTGGTGATAAACACTGGCCTTGCGTTTCGAAACTCCGGTTAGAGGCTGAGGAAAAAAGTTTGATGAATTTAATGAAATCTGTCCTAGCTATTTGTTGTGCGTTGGTATCGCGATTTCTATTGACAAGCTGAATAAATTTTAATAGAACTTACTAAAATAAATCGAATAAATTAAACAAAGTCGAGATTAGATACTATCTCAGTAACACTACAAGATAAATATATTATAAACTTCGTTGATACGAACAGGGTGAATATATGACCCAGTTACCGTTAAATAGCCACCTTTGAAAAGGACTATTTGACAAAAGGCTGAATTAGTTCTTTCGCTCATCCGCCTTGCCACATATATATAGATTATATAGCAAAGGGGCAACCCAAAACGTGCCAAAGATAAGATTACGAGATTCTGAAGTTTAGTGTTAAAATCCAAACTTTTTCAGAAACGTTCTGCTCTATTTTATTGTCAGCTGCGATTAGAACCCTGAGATATGTTCTTTGTTACTATTGTTTGGTAAACATCTAATCATGAAATCCCTTCAGAAGTAAAATGATGAGAGAATCACATATTTTATTTACTGTCACTGACCACACTCGAGCTGGCGCTTCCTTGTCGTCCAGGAGGCTTGTAAATTTTTCCTGCCCCGTTTCCTTCTACAAGTGGGGTCTCCTGTGACTCCATTTCTCTAACACCTTTGCTTGTCCACGGATCGTGATATTTCTTATTGTACACATTGTTGCTGAAATGTAAATTAAATACGTTAGTTTGAGAATTCCAGGCGTACAATTTGATATTTTGATATAAGTATTTTGGCCATGTAGGTCAATTCAATACTGCAGGCATTGTAGTATATTTTCGGACTTCGTACTAGACTAATAAAGCGGCCGGCCGAAAATAACTTTCTTAATCAAGGCGTAACAAACGTCATAGGCTAATTACTGAACCCTAACCAGAGCACCCTAGACCCTACATACATATACAAACAGTCACGTTTCACACAATATGCCCCGGGTGTAAATTCAAACATAACACATCACATAGCAACATAAACTATCTAACAAGAACATTCATTACACAGTGACTACTAAAGCACCACTATACTAGCGTAAGTATAAAATACAAATATAAGCTACTTGATGATTTCTTCCATTTTCGTGCACGAAAAGTCGATTTATCCGCCTGCTACAAGACTTAAATCAGAACTAATGTTTTTTATATGCCACGTATTTCAAATATATATATAATATAAAAACCACACATCTATTCACGTACGTGTAAGCTGTCATCACCCGCGAAGGTAAATAATAAATATAGCCAGTGGTGGAACCGGCTCTACGACTGCGATATCCAATCAATGATAAGATATAATCCCATCCCCTTTTCAAGCCTGAAAATTATTTTCTCAAAAATTAATTTTTATCGCAGGTAATAATAAACAGCATAGGTAATGAGGTTCGTTTTAATTTTGTAATCAACAAACAACTGAGAAACCGTCATGACCCAGAGGGAACGTGAATTTTTGTTAAGATAGGCACATATACACAAATTTCTCAGCCATAATGAAACAAAAAATATCCAAATACTCGATTTTTCCTGTATTAACATAGCGCGCGATTTTATGACGCACTGAGATAGCAGCCACGTGTGAACGGGAGAGTCTTGGAACATTCTGGTTCGACACAGCGACAAATTTATGCACCCTGGTCACAGAACAACCCACACGGGTGATATATTCTCTGATTATGAAATGTTAACAAGATGTTGAAGCAATCACGAACAACAATCATTTCTAAGTACATGCCAGTAACCGCTAACGACCCAGGTTTGGGGAAATATTGAACAGATCAGTAAAACTGGTATTTTGTATCATGCAACAACGTCACGCTTGTTTTAAAACAAGGAATGTCATGATCGGAAAAAGTGCGCACAGCAACATACGAACATTCAAAACTACCAAACATATTTGTAATAGCGTGAATTGTAATAAGGGAAATATTGCTAATTGTAAATATATCTCACTAACGGAATAATTCTCCCTCAAAAAGGTGTTTAACAAAACATGAGTTGAAGATAGAACGCCTGATGTATGTTGCTTATCTAAAAAATTGCTGAGAATTTCTTGCAATGTGTAACGAGGTCGACAACAGAAATTTGGAAAAATGAGTCAATGTTATTATCCGTTGGAAATTCTATATCATATTGAACCACTCAATGACCGGGCCGCGCCGATAAATTCCCCTAATATCTCGTCACTATTTTCGGCACTAAATGCCTTTGGATGTGACAAATACAGGCCACAGGTCAGTCATCTGATTATAAACAAAAGCTATAAAGCTATCCGTTAAGAAAAAAACTCGTTTCGTGCAGCATATATTGCCCAAAATATGTCGTGCTGTTCGCTTAGATTCTTACCTGTTAACATTTAATTCTATATCGCTGTCTTTAGAGGCTCCAGTTACTAATGTTTCATCTTCCATGCCTTGTGTACACGATAATTTCAGTTCAACTCATTTATCGCGTCACTAACTCGAAATTCCCCGGTACAGCCTAAACAATACTGGTTCCTACCTCTGCTTAGGGTAAAAGCGGAAGCCTTGTCTCGTTTCGAGGTATTAAATGTAGACGGCAAGATTTTTGGTATGTTACAGCTAAAGTCTTGGCTACAAATCACCAATCGTATCGAGCCGCCAGTCAGGTCAGAGTTTTGCTTTTATGTCGATACGACTATAAGGTCAAACCGACGAAAGAAATGAACGTATAAATAAATGGAATTTTGACGCCGCGACAAGAAAGTATAGGAATGCATGAGCCGATGAGAAGGAAAAAAATCGGGTGTGTTTAACACATTATGCAGATTCCTTGCACGCAACGGACCGCAAAAACGATGATGAATTTCAATAGACCTGGCCTGTGGATTGAAATAAGATATATTCGAAGACTTTAGTATTTATTAGTCGTTAGTATCACTGCGTTTCTCTGAACGTCCAAGCTAAGAAGAGTGTATTACTGGGAGGTTTAAGCAAAATACATGTTGAGTATTGAAACGCAAGGCAGGGTCAAAAAATTCTAGCCCTTTTATATTCAAGTTTGTCTATCGCAGTCACAAGTCCTCAAATAAGACAAGGTTTTGGGATCAAGGGCCAAAAATTTTGCGCATCTAGATTGGGGGCCATGTGAGCGTGACGTAAAAAGTTGATGAACATAATTTTAATTACAGCGTTTCAAAAGCAAACAATAAGCCTCATGCCAAAACTAAATTTAATCGCAATCTCAACAAATTCCTTGATCTATTTTTTAGCTAATACATGAAAATTTGGTGTAATTTTGTTGTGACAGCATCAGGCGGGCCAGATTGAATTACCCAACGGGCCGGATTTGGCCCGCGGCCGTAGTTTGCCCGTGTCAGCGATACACCATTGGTGTCTGGGGTTACATTGACATCTAAAATCCCTTTGTCAAAAATAGAGATTCGAGCAGATGCAGACTAAAGAAAGGGTGCGAGGGATTCCGATTATCACTATAGTGCATAGACTTTTAAGCTTACCCCGTGAGCCTTTTATGTATTTTGATTTATTAACGTGTGATCATAATGAAAAAGCTATGTTGCATCTACTGTGACTTACTAATTTATATTTCCAACTTCAATTGAACAATTTTGAAGTACATTCGGAAACAGTGGAAAATTGTGAAACGCTGTACACTAAAAGTGGCATCACACAGTCAAACTGAATACACTGGCATGGTAATTATTTAGCGAATGCTGTGTTTTTATCTAGAGTTATTTACATATTTATTTATCTTTCAGGCTTGTTATAAACCAACCACTAAAGTATAAACCACTAACGCCGATACCGTTACAACATGCTAAATTAATGTTTCCCCTTTTTTGTGGCTTTTTACACGACTTTGTCAGTCGGCATGTCATGCGACGTACACGCATATACACACCACATATGTACACACAATACATTTGTAACGTTTGGCCGACATATGAGTTTGCTACGAAGAGCCTTATAAGGCTGTAAGTCCGGAGCCCGTTATACCGACGGACTAAATGACTAATGGCAAAACTAACCTCGTGTTTGTTATGAAATTACTCTCAGAGAGGGAGTAATTCCAGTAAATATTGCTTTACTGTGCACTGACATGCCAGATAACTCCGTGATGCGATAAAACAGCAGATGCAGCAGTTTGAGTAGCGAGCCTTTGTTTGGATGGTACTGTTGAATCTCTACCCGTACCAGGCACAAATAGGCCCTGTGTTGTGATTTATCACTCATAGTAAATAACTGTACAAGGCAAATATGTATTAGGTACCGCTGTGAATAACATATTTTGAAATTATGGGATTCAGAATACCATAAACGACTGATTCAAGAACTTGAAAAGTGCGCGAGGCCCCACATTGCCCTTCTGTTAAATTTATAAGAGAGGGTATATATAAGTCTTCAGAAAATTCGACATTTATATTCACAAATTCCGAAAATTTGACAGAAATGTTCCATTTTTATCCAATATAGCGAAATCTTAGTCTTTTTATTCCGTTTTTTAAAAAGCAAACCTAATTAAACTTCCTCGCCAAAGGTTTTCTTTTACATAAACGTTTCAAATTTCGTAATGTTAGATAAATATCATATCTCAGAAAAGCATTACTAATATGTATTGCGCAATCGAATAACTTTTAATATTCTGCAAAATGAAATTATACGGGTCAGCGATTTTAAACGATGAAACCACGTCGTCTCAGATCAGCTGATCTATGCGTCAGCGTGATAATCCTTGCATAATTCCCAAATGTACGTAGGTTCAAATGTACAGTCACCCTAAAAATCATTTTCGATAAATCTGTACTGACGCATATGAAACTATTCATTGTACTAAATTTGTATATTTATAATGTTTTTGATCACTAATGTTTCCCGAGTTGTTTTAATGCCCAAGGGACCCAAATTGCATTGAACAAATTTGTAATTGTTTCACATTTCTCAGAAAAAATAATTGAAGAATAGTGAATGTTAATACACTACATTATGTGAGTGAACTTTATTTTGTAAATGCGCAAATAAACAAAAAGGCTAACAAACAGTGTAAACTTGCGCAACTTGAACTTGTGCATGCCTAGTCTTAGCAGAAATCTGTCCTGGTGAAAGACTTAATTATGGTATAATATCACACGGAAATGCAAGTCTAAGACATCCTAATCATAAGACTGAGTGCGGGTCACACAAGCAGTCTAACCCGCTTATCTGTGCGGGTCGGGTATGGGAAAAACTAATTGGCTTCAATGTTACATGCGTGGACATTTTTTGAAGTTAAATTTATAAAAATAAAACCCAAACTCACTTATTTTCTGTTGGGTACAATCTGCCGATTCCATGCTCAATTTCATAGCTTTCTCCATCCATTTTATTCTATCTGTTGTCTGCTGTTTGATACTTGGCTGCGACAAGAAAGAACCAGGCACAAGTGAAGTGAGCCAAACACAAAGCAAAGGGGGAACAACGTGACAAAACAGGTTTACTTAAGCTTCAAAAAAATGAATTGGGCAATCGATGGTAAAAGTGAACTCTGGCCAGTTGACATCATCAAGCAAGCAAATTTACTTTTGGTGTGTTTTGCAACTCTGCAATAAACGAACAATAATATGTTACGAAATAATTTGTTTTGTGGTTTCCCGCTTGATCGCTAAATAAAGATGAACGTTCGAAGCGCCCGTACTTCAATATACTGTAAATTGAAATGAAACTTGCATTGAATTAATCAAGTCGATGCACAAATCACAAATTGCTTTCGAACATGATTAATACTTTTCCATCAAAATTCCCTATAGAAGTTTTCAATCAATGTTGAATACCATTCGCTTATAACCTGTCGTTTGGTATACACATGGACACAAACTTCATTCAGTTGTGAAGATAGGACAGTATTTAGTTTCACACGTCAACGTGCTCCAAATCCTCAAGCACAACCAGTTGAAAGTAGTGCGACAGGTTCACAAATGTTATTCTACTTAGGTATAAAGTCACTCGGCACTCCGGACACTCTAACAAAGAATCGCTGAAAATTAAACTATACTCGCTATACCTACATATTTCAGGCAGATCATGGGCTGCAGTTTCAGAATCGACTGATTCAGGCCATGTTAAGGAATGTTTGTAACGAAAATCATGTTTGTATAACCGTTTGCAGTCTCATGCCGCAATTTTACATATCTTAGCATAATTTTGTATGATGTAATAAAGCATTTTGACATTCTGGGTGTTAGTATACGCCAGTGGTAGATTGGTAGATTGGAATGTTCTAGAACAGGTACTAGTAGTATACTGTCAGTGAAACTAAAGAAACACCCAAACAGTAATCATCCATTTTTGTGATATAGGTACAATATGTTTTTGCAAACAAAAGAACGTTTTTTGTTCCGAACAAGGCCCTGTACGTCATCGCCTATCCTGGACAACAAGCCGTACATTATCGCTGAAACACTAATAATTACTAGACACTGCACCAAAAATTACAGAACAACTTTGCGAGCGATAACAGGGAAAAAACTTCAAGGTATTTCAATCTACAAAATGTAATTGATTAAATACCCAATAGATGAGATTTCAGAAGATATTGAAAAACAAGACATTGAAAAATTGGCATACAGTAGTCTGCTTTTGCATTTAGTATTCAGTTTGAAGAGAGCATTGATGTTTCTCAGTGCAATCCGCTATTAGAATTTATTTATTTATTGTTAATGACGATTAAATCGAAGAAATGTATTTCTTCTTTTGGGAAGTACAAAGAGTAGTGGCGTATTTAAAATGTTTAATAATTTTTCATTGTATAAGCGAAAAGAAAAATTTAGGTTTGATTTGCACTGATCATTCTTCAGCTAGGCCTAGAAACAAAGTCGAAGTTCGATCAATAAAATAAAGCTTTCTATGTAATTGTTATTTCTCACTGCATGCTCACAGGCATGCCTTAGCAGCAAAGTGATGAAACTCAATAAATGTGATAATGAATCAATGGATGTGATAATTTGACAGGTTCATCCTTATGAGAAAGCACGTTTGTTCACACCTTCGCCCCCGAAAGCTATTTTAATTTGGGCAGCTTGATAAGTGAAGCATGGGATTGTAATCTTTATCTGCGTTTGAACTAGCCACTTACTGTAGTATATGTATCGTCTATGTGGTTCTGTAATGTATAATATATAATGTATTCTTTATGTTGCATTTTGTTCGACTACAGTCTTGAAATTAAAAACTAGCATTAAGTAATGTAAGCTTAAACTAGAGGTCCGCGACTGAAAAAAGTTGATAACCACAGGTCTTCGTCTTTCACTTTTATTTGGAAATTTGCATAAAGAAAAGTCACGGGCACTTACTAGGCAGCAAAGAAAAAAAAAAGATATTTGAGCGAAGTTATCGTCGACCACTGAAGTGCCAAGATCTACTAAGACTATAATACAAAGCCGACCCCCCCCCCCCCCCTTAAAAAAAACGTTGCTATAAAGAATTATTGCGATGAATCACAGGGGAACTATACAAAATATGACAGCAACACTTCATGTAAGGATCAGCGTTTGTAAAAATCAAGTACCCGCTCAAGGACAAATATTGACGACAATGACGAGCACGGTAAAGATATGCTACATCGTTGATGCGTCCCGAGCCTCAGACGTTATATAATCATTCCAGTTCAAATCATTGGAAATGATGAGACCAACGCGAAGATATTTAAATTTCTTTTAACATTAAAATTGCAGCTATATCAGTAAAATACAATGATTGACCGAAATGATATTTTTAGAGTTTGAAGAGACCACTCGCCCAATTGGAAACCCGAAGTGGCCCTTTACTAAAATTTAGCAATTTTACGAACGTTAGACACGAAGTGGACCTTAAATACATGGTTTTACTACATTTCTGTTGCTGTTGGTATTGGGGAAATATAAATTTATAACAATCATGTATAAGTAAGAAGTGAAATCCTTCCCGGTAGGGTAAAATTATTGCACAAAAGATGAGATTTTATATTTAAAGATTTATACCATAAGCCATATTAACTACCAACGATTATCAAAAAAAAAACTTCTGTGTTTTCAATTGTGTCTAAATTGTAGTAAATCTATCACGTGGGTAAATTGCAAGATGCATGCAATGCAATAAGGTATGGTATTTTGAAGCAGCAATATTTTTATATGACCTCACTTAAAGGGTCATTTGTCGCTATTGTTGTTTGTTATAAATTCAATAATAGTTTATTTTGTGAACTACTTTAGTGATAGCTAGATCAACATAGCCCGTAAATATGAATTATATTTTAGTCGGTTGGTGATTTCGTGCTGCATTTAGGTGAGCGTTTTTATTTATAGAATCAAGAAAAAATTGTAAGCAAATTTGTACAAAATAATTGTTCAGCAGCACAGTTCTCTGATAAATGAAGACACAGATATAAGCTAGCGGAATACATACAAAGTACACAGATAAATTAAATTGACTGGATTTCCGTTGGTATGAATTCTAAAACTAAATTTTCTTATTCATTTTGAGCGCATGTTTATCTGTTTTACTAATCCGCTGACAAAAAGGCTAAAAACGTCCTACTTCGCTACTTCTAGATAGCAATATCAAAAATCGTGTAAATACATCAATAAAGCCAAATTACAGGGGTCTAGCGATGGATCTACCAAAAAACGGCATCAAATCGCTCGAAATGAACAAGCGAAAACTTTGGGCAACAACAAAACTGTTAGAGAGGCCGCTCAATATACTGGCTATGATTTACAACGGTGCTATATATCGCTTTGTGTGGTTACTGTTTCAAAGCCAAAACATGAAATAGTGATGCGTGACGCAATGGTATTCGAGCGCAATGTTAGTTAATTCACCGTATGCGCTACAGATCATCGATGCTTGTGAATACGAAAATAAACTGAACAATTTCCATCTGTGCATGAAGGTTTAAAAATATAAATTTATGAGTTACTTATGAGAATGAATAAATAGAAGTTTCATTTTGCGTTCTTGTAACTTTGCAAATGGAAATTTAATATATAGTAGAACTATCGTAAAATTAATATAATGGCCTTGATCTTACGCCATGTATGTTGAGATAAGATGTTTATAAGCATTAACATATTATGTACTAGCAAATCTCATACTTAATTTACCTTTTCGTGGTTGTATCGCTTAATTATAGGCTTTAAATTGACTTCGCGATGTCATGTTTTAAGTGGATTAATAGTATTCATGCAGCATTATTCATATTTGCTACACCAATGGTAGGCAACTGACTGGTGCGAAAGTATATTTCTTCTACACTGCACAGTTCACACGTTTGGCTTGCTTGGGATATTGCGGTTCGCTGTGAAGTTTTGCAACGCCATTTTCTTATGGCAATTTCCGTTCCAGGCGTGGTGTACCGTGTAAGGCATGATGATCATTTGCATGCGGATCAGCGTTGTGTGAAGTCTTACAAATATAAATAGAGCCGGTACAGTGAAGATTTCTCTAACATTTAAAAAAAAATTCATTCAGATACGTGACTCAACTAGCTATGGAGGTACCTTTTTAATGTCGGGTCACAATGGTTTAGTAAAGTTATTTAAATTTAGAAATTCTTCACGTCATAACTGATGATTGGAAAATAATTGATTAATAACTAAATATTCTCAACGAATGAAACTCGACAATTATTGACATAAGCGACCAAGAATTGCTAGAGGCAAACATAATAGAAAGTTGTCAGATAAGTTGAGATCGACAAGAAACGAAGTAGTCACTCAGATATGATAATTAACGAACATCGATATATACGAGGATAATTTTGATTTGCATAAACTTTACGCTCTCACTGCCAACAAAGCAACAAGTACATGTAGAAGCAATACGTTGAGCATTAGCTGTGAGTAGGAATGAGAGTTTCAGAATTTCAAATCGAAGCGATTCGAATCAACATCAATTTGAATTGATTCGAAGCAATTCGAGAAAAAACGACTTGATTTTCAATTAAAAAAATAATTTAGATAACACGAGACGATTGCACGACGCAGCGGCGTTGTCTCATCATCGACCAAAAGCGTTTATTTTGCCTACGTTTACAGCGTTTCTAAGTCGTGACACTCCGGGGGTTGTTATATTTAATATGGGTTACAGCTTTAGAGGCACCAATGGTTTCGTTAATTTTTTAGACTATTTAAAATGTTAAGAAGTTTTACAATTATGTCATTATATAAACGTGTCTTTAAACTATCTATGTGATGTCATTGTAATAATAACATTATTCCTCATTAAAAACATAGATCTGCGATGCGTCCCTCGTTATCATTTGCTTTTATTAAAATCACGGCTCAAGCGGTAGGCTACCAACGCACATTTCACTGGCGTGCATCATTGTGATGAATTTTGAAGGTTAATTTTAAAAGAAACGATCACTATACATCGGGTATTGTTTGCAAACATAAATTTAAGTAATAAGTAAATATAACTGAGTGTAACTACATGTAACAAAATTGAATATTCTCTAATAAATTATCTGAATAAGGTATCTGATTGAATATTCTCTAAAGTCAACGATAATGTGATGCTATAATAAGTAGAATCAGATTCGGAAGTATTCGAATCGGAACACTCCGATTCGGAATTCGATTCGAAAATAAAATATTCGAAACTTACATCCCTAGCTGTGAGTCAAGGTACGCACCACACGCTCCGGTCTCAATATTGTGAGGTCACAATTCCAAATCAGCAATTGTAGCAAAGAGAATACTTTGGAAAGCAATCGCGCACAGAAATGAAGAGCGGAGCAGAGAAGATATATAAGTGAATGATTATTTTGTTTAACTTTTTCATGCAGAATAAAAATGAGCAGCCTTAATGATGAAACCACGTGCCCTGCAAACACGATTAAATGTTATCTCGTATATGTGCTGGGAATATTTTTTGTGTATACAGCTTTCGTCTTCTTGATGTATCAACAGTCAAGCATAAACATAAAAGATGGATTAGGTGGGTAAATGACGTTATGAACTATCTTGCCACAATGTATACAATACTGGGCGCTCCCGAAGTATGTGCACCAAGATGGCGCACAACCTGAATCCTAACCATGTACACATACTATGTTCAGGTTATGCGCCATTTCAGTGTACATACTTTTGAAAGTCCCAATAATGCGTGTAACAAGCAATTTTTACGTGGTTTGTTAAATTATTAATTTGACATTCTGTAATTCTAGCACAACTTTATGTGATTTAAATAAACGAACGTGATAATTCAGGATTTGGACATAATCCTACTTTAATGCTTTTGTGAATTGTATAAATTGGACTTTGGCAATGTATTCTAGGTACAATGTCCTTGGCCTGTTCGTACATATCATCTATCGTATTTGGACTGATATTCACTCCCATACTAATACGAAGATTTGGCGTGAAGAAATGCATACTTTTGAGTGAAGCGACGTACGGTATATACATTGCGTCTAATTACTACCCAGGTATGTAGATTCCAGCTAAATTTAAAAGACAGTTTATAGGCATCACACTGCTTTGTTTTAATGCTTCAACTTTCTCTATTCCTACTAAATGAAATTTGCAGTTATCGTATAAGCATTAGGCAGAATTTTCTAAATCGGAAGTGTTGAGTAACTGTAATTTGTAGTCACAAGTCGAGACCGAATCATAAAAGTAGATATCACAAATAACACTGAATTGCCCGAATAGACATAGTACTTGCATAGTGTCTTAATTCTCTGAATGAATGAATGAGGCATTTAGTTTAAGCACCCCGCGCAACTCTGAGTCAAAGTCGAGAGGACTCTGTCATGGTGTATATATACTAGTAAATTTAGACGAAAATGCTATGTTTGTGACAATGAATGACGTCAATGCCGAAGTTGATTCAATAAATATCTGTTAAAAATCTTAAAAATGCGTGTAAGAATAAGTACATGCACAAGCATAAGTTTAATACTTGAAGTGTTTTTAAGAGGTTATAAGATACGTTTGTTTCTGTAATATAATGTGGTCGGCTCTTCGTGTAAACAAGCGTGCCATATGTTTCTTACATACAGTACTTAACAATTTCGCAGAGTATTACACAATGCTTCCTGCTGCCCTACTTCTGGGCGTCGGAGAAGCAACATTGTGGCCTTGCGTCACAATGATGAATGTCTACTACGGAAGGCAATATTCCGATCGTGTAAAATATCGCAATAAATCTTATGAATATTATGTTGGACTGTTCTCTGGTTATTACTTTGCTATTCATCATTGCAATAAGGTACGTGTGCATTTCCCATTAGCTTTTTTTATAAAATGAATTGCAAATACTGAACAGTTCAGCTAAAGTTGCAGAAGTTGACCGATATAACTCGTTTAGTTTTGTTCAATTAACATATATATAATGTTTTAGTAAGATGAGCCCATTTTATAATAGCATTCAGGACTGTTTAACTACTTCTCGTTCAGGTAATTTGCGGATTGATCTCATTTTTTACACAAAATCTATTTCACGACCAGTTTGACGAACGAAAAAATAATGCTAGCAATTCAACACTGACGCATTTCGTCCAAAATGAAACACGCAACGTCTTCCAGAACCGGTTACAATTTTGTGGTGCCTACGACTGCCAAGACGTTCAAGTCGTCGAAGAAACTATAGAAAATTATGCCCCAGCCGACAATATCAAATTAATTATTCTAATTTCATTTCTTTTGCTCATCTGTTTATTGCCTATTGTAGTTCATGCTATTGTGTTGCCTAATGTAACAACACTTACGTTACGTTTGCCTAAAACTGTAGCAGAGGAAGAAACACTGAAACAATATATAAACGATGGCATTTTAGAAGACTGCAACGCCATGAAAGAAACGAAATCCTTTACTGTAGCATCAGTGAAAGAATCACCGCCAGCAGAGAAAAATGTAGTTACGTTTTCCAACGATTATACTGCGGCGAGCAAGGAGGAGGTAATGACCAACCGCTTTAATAACTATCCTTTTTCACTTATTTCAACGACAAATTTGTTAAAAATCAAACTTTTAGGTAATTGCTTTCGAAGGCCACAAAAGAACCTTTATTTCGCGAGGCTAGCAATGCAAATTGCAGTTAAACACTAGTGTAATTCTAATTCTTTACTGATATTTGGCACGATAAAACTACGCAGTATCAGTCATATCTCAATTTCTCGATATCTATTTCAAACTGTATCGTGCTTCCTGCTTTCAGTTGAAGCTTCGACTGAGGCAACCCTGGGATAATTTAGTTCTACAAACGTTGAAGGATGTTTCAAAACAACTGGGCATTCTAAAGCAATTACTCATAATTCCTCTGACTATATACGATGGGATGTTGCTTTCATTTGTTATTGCCGAACTAACAAGGTCATATGTTGCCTGCATCAATGGGTTTTCACAAGTAAGCAGTTTTTATTTTTATCTGAATTCATGCGTACTATATAGTAGAGCTGCTTGTTTTTGTGTTGTAAATATGAGTTGTAAAATGATCTAATCATCAGATATGGAAAAAAGCCATGGCAGGTTTAACCCTAAGCTCAACTAACTATGCAGATAATCCAGAACAAATTGTGATTTTGATGACGAGTTAGAATAAGATGCCAACTAATAATTTCGTTTGGAAAGCAAAACTTGCCGACCAGAAATTTCGATTTTGTTTACGGTATGTGTAAAAAGGGGCACGGTTCGAATTTCATTTCAAACGTTTTCGTACTTTCTTATTTTCGATAGAAAATTGAAAAAATATTTTGTTTCAAATTTGCTGATCAACCAAGGATGCCCATAAGACCTTACAATAGTCCATATATTTGGCCATTGCTTAGTTGGATGATAATACTCAATCGATAACTTAGTTTTTGTTTATAAAGATTGGATTCTATGTGGCTGTGTTTGGAGCTGGTCATGCTTTTTCCACGTTCATTTTCAACAAATACAGGAGGAAAATTGGACGAACCTTCGTATTTAGCATGTGTGTTGTCCTTGATCTTGTCAACTTTATATTTTGTCTATATTGGATTCCCAGCCGGGAAAATTCCTGGGTGGTTTATATTGTCTATTTGTGTTTTGGTCTCACTGATGGGGTTTGGCAGCCCGGTATAAATAGTAAGTATATGATAAATAGTAAAAGTCAGAGGTTCCCAAACTTTTAACTCAGTCACGACGCATTTAGTTTCTGTAACACAACTCACGGCACATTGAAAACGAATTTCATTTTTGTAACAATATTTTAGAACAGAGAGAAATTAAAGAAAATATGCATACTCAATCAATGCGATATGTTAGATTTATTGTGCGGAACGACCGTAACGCTGCTTCATGTCCGATGTAAACAGTCGTACTTATATATCAATGTTAAATTCTCCTTGATCGTTGTATGTCAAGCTCCAAAAGAGGGCAAGTAAAAAATTTTGATAACGGACGAGATTATCTTGCAAAGCCATGTTTGGGAACCACTGGTATAAACCATTTGATCAGTGCGTAGGTGATTCCGGTGCGTCTCCTGAATCATTTTGGCGGGCTAATGTAGTGACGAACTGGGAATATATTAATTTGCTTTTCGAGTGTAGTAAATTCTATATATATATATATATATATATATATATGCGTTAATTCATGTCTAAATCTTCCTTTATGGCAGACACTGCATAAAAGTTTCGAATTAAAGTCCTTACGTTTTACTGTGTTGTTTTAGCAAGAAATCTGAGCGAAGATGCTGATCGGTTAATTACAACCGAGCTACTTGCTGAACGCAAGTTGCGTTGCTTCAAACAAACTCCTGTTTTACATCCGTTACCCTTTTGTGAGCTTGCCCGTCTTTATCGATATTACATCTTATAATTCTTTAAAATAGAGGTTAAATTTTTAAAAACAAAGAAAAGTTTGATCGATAATAATTAAATGTTGTAATCTCTTTTATCTAGTTTTGTATGTTGAATATTTCCCGGACAATCAACATATTGCTGGGTCTGTGTGGACTGTTCTACTTCACGTCGGAATGGCAATACAATTTGCTTGGAATAGAAGTTTCTGCGTTTTCACCAAGATATACATTTTAATTGGGTTCTTATTCGTAGGATTTTTGCTTTATTGTGAGTATTCACCATTTATTCCAAATGTTGACACATATTAATGGAACAAGTGAAAGGGTATCGTAATTTTACGTACAGAAACATTATTTTGTATGAACAAATGCAACCTTGTGTATACCCGACACTACTTGAATTTCTCTGTTTGTCCTATCTGTTGTTGCTTTTTGTACCATGGTCAATTTAAAATAAATTACTACCACAAAAATTCCGCAAACTTATCCACTGTGTCGTAGCGTTCTATTCTGGAGTATATATCTCCTGTTGCCAAAAATATTTTGATTTGCAATCTTGTTTTTTCAGAAAAATACATCCACGAAAAGCGCTAACATATTTGTATTATTTTAGGTGTTTCAGAATATTTGCATACACGCGAATCCAGATCAATTAAGAAATAGATGATTGAACTTCCTTCTTCAATCAAATTAAATTCAACTTTCATATTGTCTCGGAAACGGAGATCTCGAAACAATCGATTATGTTGGAACCCTTATTCCAACTCCAAAAAGGAAACTAATGCCAACGAATATGATCAGTCGTCATATATGCTGAGTAAATATATCACACCTTCCATCAAAGATAGACTTCGAAAACATGGAAATATACAATTTGATGGCATGTACTGAATTAGGGCCATCGGGGCTGTACTGAATGAACATCGGAGAAATGAATTGGAGTGAGCAGATGATATTATAAACAATAAAATAATCATGTCGTGTATCGACAAGTGACGGATTTAACATTAGGCAAGTTAGGGTGAAGCCTATGGGCGCTTCAAGCCTTAAAAGCCTCGATATTTCATTTTGAACTATTATTAATTTTTGAATACAAAGACTTGCTAAAAAATGAAACAAGTTTAGAGTTAAAAAAATGATATTTGTTTAATTTTGCGGCATTAGTTCTTGTAGGCTATCACATATCTTACGTTTAAAAAGCTGAAAAAAAAAACTTAAAAGCCGGCCAAATAAATGAATTTGTTTAAAATTGAAAGGATTTAAAATCTTCAACTCTCAAAACTAAATAAGCTTTTTTGCCCCCCCCCCCCACTCTACCTCTCGTGAAATAGGATGTCGGGTTTTCTGGTTCCAATTCAACCTATTATCCAATCTATCTGAGAGATTAGCGTAGTACCTCACATATAACTAAAATTTTGTATTTCACGCCATTTAGAATTTTATTTATAACACGATTAAGGAATTTCACGTTACCTCAGGGATAAGGAACTCCATGGCACATATATGACACAATCGAAATAGAGGGGCACTCACAAATTGCCTAGCGTAGGGCCTCTCATCGTCTGAATCCGTCCCTGCAAGTACTACATTGACACCAGCACCAAATTTGTGAGTTTGGGATACACGTCATACGACAGGTTAAATAAATCCGAAGAAATCTTGTGTAATTTCCAGGAAAATAAAAAACGTCTGGGCCATTCAGAAATAATGTTGGTCTTTGCATATCAGTAGATATACTCATACAGAGGCTTGTTTGGAGTGAAATGCCTGGAATGATAAAGCCGGCCATTTAAGGACAATGCAATATTTATAACATGGGGCATCAATTAATGGAGAGAGATTCGCCAGAAGAGATTTATTGACATGAATGAGTTACATATGATGAAAACTTCTAATCGCTTGGTGAAATGTCATTAAACCAGAAAATGAGAAAACATAATGAAAACTTGATTTGATAAACTTAATGTCAGGTATTGTTGTTTTGTGCTGTGGAGCACGACTTTACAAGAACTTAAACATAATTTTTAAGCTCTAACAGTCCTTCAAATTAAAATCTTTTCTTAGTTCCATGGAGACATTTCAACGGGTTAGTTGAGAAAATTTGATCCATAGTTTTTCAGGGACCGTACCGGCTGTTATCGCTCTTCCTGACGGAGAACGACTCATCTATTCGAAAGAACAGATGGTACGTCAAAAGTGTCAAATCGTTACCACTCTTGATGCCCCGCCTCATCTGGTAGGTCGATATAATTAAGGCTAACACTAGGCTTGCACGTAATTGACAAAAATCAATTCCGTAATTACGGCCAAATCGATTACGTAATGACCCCGTAATTGCGATATTTTTCCACACATTTAAACCTATCATAACAACCAATTGAATCCACTTCCTTTTCGATTGGGACATCGAGTTTGGGTTTTCATATTCCTGACAGTACTACACGCCGGCGACAGATGTGAATTCAAATTAATTTTATTCATATTTTCATCTTTTGTGCTAGCTTCGATTTCCTTTATCACCTTTCAACGGTCCGCAAAGGATTTTTACCGGATCGCGGGAAATCTCGTCATATTGTTGTTTTTCTGCCGTCTCAATCGCTTTACCGATGCCGAAAAGACGAAGTTGCGTTGGTTCATTACGCAATTTCTCTTCCGTCGTCATATTGCTGTTTGATAAGCGCGACATTAATTATCACGGTGACATATTGGCAAGAGAGAGAAAAGTGAGAAAAACGGCTGCAAATACCGAAGCTCTAACTTCTTCTACTTTTTAAACTTTCACTTTTTACAATCGACGGAATTGACTGCTTTGAAGAGAGCTCGTTTCAATCGCGAAAGCGCTCCACCAATAATTACGACTTTACGTAATTCGTAACTTCCCTTCCGTAACTCGAAATAATTCCGTAAATCTGTAAATTACGTGCAAGCCTAGCTAACACTACAGGTGTTAACCCCAAAAGTTACCAACAGTTTTCTACTTGTTTCGTACTTTGGAACCATGTGAATTCCGCAGTAACCACCAATTACACACCGCCTATAGTCACAATAGCAGGCAGACAAAACCCACATAAAGTATAAAATCTAGATGACTCGTGACAAAAAATAGTCTGGTATACGGTATTTCACTTGAAAATATGTTACAGCAATAGGTTCGACACAGAGATCGAGTATATTTTAAACTCGATTTGTGAAGTTTACTGTCACTGTCATTACTAATAAAGCAACGATATTATTTGAATATATTGGTATGTATTTAAACCACTGCAGCATTTGCCAAATGCAAAGTTTAAAAGAACTAGCATACGTTCAAAAAAACAGAACGCTATAATTGCCTGCATACTAATGCTGAATTAAGCCGACGAGTTCTTATTTCTAGGTCATGAGCGGACCCTATACTGTATGTAAGTCTCCCTTTTATCGTGTCCTGGTAGGACAAGGTTACACATAGAAAAAACTGACAAATCAAAAACGCATCTCCCAAATCCTTGTCCAAACACAACCAATTCCTGAATTCTTTAAAACTTGTAATGAAAATTGTACTTCGAAGAATTGATAACATAAGACAGAAAGATGAAATGCTCAGCAATACACAATCATCACAATAGACGATCAGGAATGACAGAATGATAAATGAAAGATGGTTTTATCAAACAAAATATTATGTCTTAGAACACTTATACCTAAATTTTCCCAAATTCAGTAATGATCCAAATATAAATAAATAACATACCGATAATATTTATGACACCGGGTGAAAAAACTTTGTGAATCCACGAGAATACTTCACAATCTGTTAATAATGACAATATTTAATACACAAGCATTAGTAAACTTCAAATTATACGGCTCAAACTATTAAGAATCTTCCCCAAAAATCATTGCATAAAACATTCTGAAAACATCAGTACACTGTCTTCACAGCAACAAATATACGTTACAATATATTAACACCAAGGGCAACAACCCAATAGGAATCCAGTTTCTAACTAATTTAGATGTCTAAGTCATCTGAAAGATAAAAACAATAGGCAAATCACAATAATACCGACACAAAGAAACTTCAAAAACCTGAATTGGCAGCAACACTTTCTGCTGCTAAAATGGCACGAGTATGGTGCAATATTCGTTAGAACTTGACTCAATAGCGCCTACATGCGACAACAATATTATTGTTAAACAATTACACTCGGAAGTCTCGGATCTTGACGTAAAACTGCGTAAACCTACTAATTTATCGGTCGATTTCTGCAAGGTTAAATTTAAAAAAATTGTGTCTCGTAGACGAAGTTCACTTGATGTAAGCAGTCAAAGCCAAAAATCTTATAAAATTATATAGAATCAAATTCGCCACGAAAATATTTCCGTGATAACCCATTTTCAAAATTGTAGTCGCAGTAACTTCAGAATGAAGTCAACAATTAGCAACAGCGTGTAAAGCTTTTGTACGAGTATAATATTGGCTAATAAGCAAGTTGTCGACGGTGACGCAGCAATGTCCATCCAATCAGGCCCATTGTCAGGCGTGGTGATGGATATAACATCGCTTCCGTGATCTTGCTTTGTAATTGTCAGTTTTTAGCTATAAGCCCAAAGTTTAGGCATAAATCAACAGTCATTTGGCCTTCTACAGCGCCTTTATAAATTATTTAATAGGAACCCTTTGAGCATCATTGTGGCAACTGATGCATCACCGGATCAGAAGTAGTAGCAAAACAAGGTGAAAGGACTAGCAGTCTAATACATAATGGCTAGTACCCTCTGTCTAACACAGAAAAGAAAAGGTAAAAGTAGTACGCTTGATTTGCCATGATCAAAAGTAGAGCGTGGCTTCCAAAGGGAGGATAACATTACTGTAAATATTCTAGTGACGATGGAAGTGGCACATCTTCGCGATGAGTTATTGTTGTCGAATTTGTCGGGGTATCGTATCAGACAGTTATGCGATATGCCGTTTAATTCACACTCGCATCAACATTGAGATAAATGTTATAGTTCACTGCATGCGGATGTGTGGATTTAAAATTCGTTGGAGCGTTATTTAGCACATACAACACTACGTTTTGGACAATTTCCTGTGCGCTGTGAAAGCAAGTATACATGATAGTTCGAAACAGCAAGACAGGCAGGATTAGTTTATCTGTTCAGATGTAGTATCGAACTTGATAGCATCAGCGTCGCCACGTCAGAGCTTATTTCCGGACTTTTAAGAAGATTTTTTCTGTTTTGGATTCGGCATTTCTAACAGAGTTGTACAGTACTTTCGGCGGTATTTTCATGCATAGTTCATTAAATACAAGTTTAAGTTGTTACGTAATAATGGTTATATGAATGTCATAAAACGGCTTTGAGTCCTTCGGTTGCGACTTGCGAAAGGACCCATAGCACAAAAAAATGAAGAATGATAAAATATCAATAATGCTAACGAATGAGTTTATGATAATTTGTTGAGTCTGTAATTTTATTCAGCAAATTGATCGAGATAAGTTTGCTCCCAGTCAATAACCTCACAAAGAAGTATGTTAGATTTGGTATTCACAACGCTGACTGATTTTGAATATATAATGTTTGGTTTGCCTTTAGCACATTTTTGTGGCAAAGCTCTTCATTATCCAACACGAGATTTAGATAAAGCGGTAATCTTCTAGTGTAAAGTACCGAAATAATTTCTAAAGCATGTAGGAATGAGATCGAACATGTTAACTTGAATGGTTCATTGTTTTATTCTTTTGGACACAGAATAAACACGATGTGTTCCAGGGTAGACACCAAGCACCCTCGAAATACAATTAAAAGCTACCTCGCGTACGTTATCGGTATATTTTTTGTTTATACTGCTTTTGCTTTTGTGATGTTTCAACAGTCAAGCATTAATATTAAAGATGGTTTAGGTGAGTAAATGGCATTTAAAGGTTACATACATCATCATTCATCTTTTCTCACAAATTTTCAAACGATATTTTAAACTTTCTACTCAAAACCGAAATATCATTTCCCCTGGATGAAATTGATATTAATTTCTGTACAAGAGTCCGGAAAAATATTTACATATTCGACATACGATACACCATTCAATATATATATATATCATTTACAAAGTGGTCATATATTCTAGGTACAATATCCTTGGCCTGTTCGTATATATCATCTATCGTATTTGGACTGATATTCACTCCCATACTTATACGGAGATTTGGCGTGAAGAAATGCATACTTTTAAGTGAAGCGACATACGCTACATACATTATATCCAATTACTATCCAGGTATGTACATTTAACTAAATGCCGCTGGCAAAGATTTGACTAAACATTTTAGCCACAACCTTCTTGTCGCATAGTGTGACACTTATGCTTATTGCAGCGTGCTTTTTTCTTTTTCAGAAAAGTTCCTAGACAGTATGTTCTCGTTTAAATGATACGCATAATCGCTTACTTGAATTACCTCACGTTATCTTGTAAATTAATCTAGTTATGCAAAAACGTGGATCTGATTGTATTCGACATAAAACCAATAACCGCAAAACTAGTTTTATATAATATGATTAGAAACATATCATACATACGTTTTCCATTATATCACTTGATAAGATTCTCTTGTAAATGCGAATCGATCTACATTTATTTTTATTGAAAACCGAGGAGGTCACAAACAAGAATGTATTTTGGGAGTTCGCCAGTGTTGTTTTTGTAGTGTAACATGATTTCTTACTACGTTTGAAAAAATATCATTGATCAAATTCGTCGAAAAATATCATTTGGTTGCAGAGTATTACACGATGCTTCCTGGTGCTTTACTTCTGGGGGCTGGAGAAGCAACATTGTGGCCTTGTATCACAATGATGAATGTCTACTACGGGAGGCAATATTCTGATCGTATTAAAAATCGAAATAAATCTTATGAATATTATGTTGGGCTGTTCTCCGGTTATTACTTTGCCATTCATCATTGCAATAAGGTATGTGTGTTTTTTTGCGAAAAATGAGAATCAAATATTGAACGTTTCATTCAAAGTAAGAGCTTTGAAGAAATAAGAGAATATTGCTCGAGCATATGGTAATTTCTATTTTATTCTTGAAAATAGTTTTTTATATATTGTTCAGGTGATATGCGGATTGATCTCATTTTTTACACAAAACCTATTTCATGATCAATTCGACGAAAGAAAAAATCTTACAAGCAATTCAACAAAGATAATATTTCACCAAAATGAAACACATGAAGTCTTCCAGAATATGTTTCAACATTGCGGTGCCAACGACTGCCAAGACGTTGAAGTTGTCGAAGAAACTATAGAAAAGTATACCCCAACCGACAATATCAAATTAATCATTTTGATATCATTTCTGTTGCTAATCTGTTTGTTGCCTATTATAGTTCATGTTATTGTGTTACCCAATGTAACCACGCATGCATTAACTTTGCCTACAACTGTAGCAGAGGTTGAAGCACTGGAAATTTGTAGCGATGGCAATTTGGATGACAGTGACTTTATGAAAGAAGCAGAATTTGTTCATGTGAGAAAAAAGTCGGTGGAAGCTGCTGAGAAACCATCAGTGAAGTTTTCTCAGATTAGTGCTACGACGATTTCAGAGAAGGTAAATTATTACAACGGCTTCAGCTGTAATTGTCGCTCTTGAGCTGATTCAGATCTCGCGCATAGTGATACAAATCTCATCTAGTTCGAACAAATGCTCGAAAACGATACCAATAAATTTCTTAATTAGGCTACTGTTTTGTAATAATTTGATGATAAATGCAAATCAAAAATGTAGTTTAAAATGAGTTGAATGATTTGGTAAACGAATCGAAGTCACAACCTTGCAAAATTTATTGTTTGGTGTTTTATATTACTTTAGTTTCCTGCCCCTCCCAATCGTGTCTAAATGTACTACAACACGTACCGCAATTTTTTACAGAATATAATATATATTATAAATTTTGCACAGAATGAACCTCATGAGATGGCAGTTTTACAAACGTTGAATGAAGTTGTAAAACAAATGCTTGTTGGGGAGCAGTTACTCATAATACCCTTCACGATATATAATGGGATGTTGATTTCTTTTGCAGTTTCTGAATTAACAAGATCTTATGTTTCTTGTATTAATGGGTTTTCAAAAGTGAGTGCTTTCCGTTTTGTTTCACATCAAGTTGAACTCCGGTACCAAATATTTCCAGCTTCGAACTCCCAAAAAATAAAATTTTAATAACAAAAACTTTGCTGTGAACAATACGGCGACCGTACATTTGAACCCATACATTTGCACCGGTATATCCGCAGGTTCAATCTATATGCAGGTGCTAAAATCCATGGGTTAGGGTTGGTATGGGTCCAAATATCCGTGAAAAAAATTTCCATAGGTGCAATTGTCGTGGGTTCAAATTACGGGTGCGGATGTAATGGGACCGTACAATACAAGCCTTCTATAATAGACTGTCTGACTTCGAAAATTCAACTCTGACTCCGGGAGGTTTGAAAATGTAACTCTGGCTGCACTGAAAACACGCCTAACACCGATTTTACAGACCTGGTATAAAAACTCATCAAATGTTTTGTACGATTTTTATGGCCTGCAGAGGAAGTAAAACTAGAAACGCGTGTTTTATTTTAACATTGGCGGCGTTAGTTTCCCTATTTTTACCCACAGACTGGAAATACAATATATATATCAAACATCCGTAAACATATATATATAATATTTCGCGTTTTATACCTTATTATTCCACTAACAATATAAATTCGTTTATAAAGATTGGATTCTATGTGGCTGTGTTTGGAGCCGGTCATGCCATTTCCGCGTACATGTTCAACAAAACAAGGAGAAAAATTGGACAAACCTTTTTGTTCCTCATATGTGTTAGTTTGGATCTTCTCAACCTTATATTCTGTTTACATTGGAATCCAAATCAGGAAAATTCTTGGATGGTTTATATTGTGTATTTGTGCTTTGGACTTACTGATGGAATTTGGCAACCCGGCATAAATAGTAAGTAGTAGAACTATTTGTTTTATACAAATCATGGCACGCTTCAGCATGAAGTTTCCATTTTATATTCGGTATCTTAAAAAGTGAGTCAATGTTTTTTATTGTAATGAGCGACCACTTTATCAATTAAAAATTAATTAAATGTGCCGAATCCTAATTCTTTCTTGCGATTGTTAAATTAATAACTTCAAGTAAACACAAAAGTGACCGCTGGTTTGATCCCGTTTCCCAACTGAAGAATATCCCCCTCCCCTAACCCACCTAGACCGATAATACCAGTTGATCTTTTATTTGACCTGGACTAATTATTTGGTAGGGTTAAGGATAGATAGTCTTAGTTGGGGTGGAGATTCTACAGTTGGTCTAACTTGGGGTGGAGATTCTTCGGTTGGGCCAGCCGGTTTCTGAATTTGCAAATGCAATCACATTCATTTCGGACCTCCTGAAGTATGCGCACCAAGATGGCGCACAACCTGAACTCAGGTTGTGTACCAGGTTAGGGTTCAGGTTATACGACATATTGGTGCGCATACTTCAGGAGTACCTTCATTTCAGTATCAAAATGGGATTCACAGACTACAAATAGGGGGTAGCCCCCATGTAAGTAAATCACTAATTGCATGCTTTTTTATTTATAAGCTCTGGAAAATCTATCAGATGACTATAGAAAGAAAAAGTTATTGCATTGGCGAAAGTGTCAAATAATTATATCTTCATGATTTGGATAAAACCGTAATGAATGTTTATTTTCCAGTGTTGTATGTGGAATATTTCCCTGACAATCAATATATTGCTGGGTCTGTATGGACTGTTCTAATTCACGTTGGAATGGGAATACAATTTGCCTGGAGTGGAAGTTTCTGCGTTTCAACCAAGATATACATTTTAATTGGATTATTGATAATTGGATTTATACTTTATTGTGAGTATTCGCTATTTATTTTGACAAAAGTAATACGAATGGCCTTTCTAGTAGATTACAATTGCAAATGAGAGAAATTTATAATCCAATAAATAAGTAGCTGGATACTGTCAAAATGACTGCGAATATTTTTACTAGGCACTGGTACAATCTAATTCTCAGGCAATTTTTGTAAGCAGCACACAAAATGTTTGTTCGTTCGTAAAGTTATCCAATTTTTTATTATTTACAGGTGTCGCAGAATATTTCCACATACGTAAAGCGGATCAATCGAGGAATAAATGATGCGAGTTTTAATCTCTATCAAAGTGACTTTCAATATGTTTTTGATTAGATTGTAATAACAATGAAGCTTCTGTGATTATAGCATTCTTTATCACTGTGTGAGCTAAACTGTGCCCTCTTGACTGGTAGATTGGCACATTTACAAATTCTAGGGTAAACACATGCATTAAGAATAGCGACAAATAGCGTAGTTTCTAGGTGCCGAAAATCTGCCATTTATACGCGTACCTATATAAAGCCAACCATCCAATAACTATGTATTTTTTATTCAAATTACGGAAACATCGGGTTGATGCTGCTAATATGATCCCAACAGCTTTTGACAAGTCATTATAGAAGTGTATATTTCATACATATATTTGAAGAGAATAAATATTATTTTATTATTCCAAGTTTGTGTTAAAAATGAAATATTAACAGTAAGGTTTCACGCAAAATCGAATCTTGGAGGCCGTCCCTCGACATTCAGAGCCAGAATTGCAAACTCTTTTCCTGTTAAAAAATATTGAGTAGCATAGGAGGTCATAAGGGTTCAGTTGTCTCGGCAATTCAAACATAGATCTGTAGTGTTCATAAACACATTCCCTTAAATAGGCTCCATACAATGAATGCAACTACTAATAATTGTCGTTTTATAACTTTTACGAATTTTTCCTGAGCTAGACTTGGTGCGGGTAACTACTGAAAATTACAGGTGTTCTCTCGGAACAAGGCTCCTTAAAATTAATCACTGAAATGTATGGCATATTTATCCCGGAGGAGAGGAAAGCCGATAATACGGCTTAATCATATGGCGAACCACGGCTGCTCGTCCGGTTACCATTTCATGTCGGGTATGGGATTAGTCAGTTTTTTTTGTTTTCGGCAGCATGGACTTGATGGTAGAGGAAGCCGTAACCAACCAGCGGTTACGTGAACCCCCCTACGGCGACAAGGATTTCAGCAATTCTTTCGCACCTAACTATTCCCGCGAGGTATTCGAACCTGCAAACCCCTCAGAGGTGTGGGGGCGAGTGTATTCCTAACGCTTCGCACGATGAGCCACACCGACGCACCGATCACCCCTACCCTTTTTAGTTGTTGCTTGTTCAGAGCCTAGTTCAGAGAGGAAGTGTCGATCAAAATCCTATACATCCCTAGTATGAATGGACAAGTACGATAAACACCAATATAGCTTGACTGTAATTAATCATACTATGCGCTATTGGAGTGACATTACACAGTACTACAGTCCTGCTGTAGTTATGATTAAAAAAAATTAATAAAGCCAAAGTTTGTATTGCTTCAGTTGATAATTTACTATAAATCACATAAATTTCTGCGCGCTGATTTTTCATGCCAAATCTAAAATTGTTTGTACCAATGTATGGAGCGCGAGAAAAAAATTGATACAATTCTCGAGAAAAAAAGATCAATTGGTAAATAATGAGGTGAATTCATTTATAGTTTAAATACTCGTAGCTCGCAATTTATTCTTGACATTAGAGAACTACGACATTGTTGTTGCGTGGAAACGAAATCAAGAGTGATCATTTGTATACCTTAACTTAAAAATGCTAACTGTGGCATAAAAAAAATATAAAATTTACTTTGTTTTCCAACTTGGTCCACATGATCTATTGCAGCTGCTAAATGGACTCCATGAACCCCAGCCTGAAAATAACAAAGATCCATAATTGTTCATTGAATGTACGAACACCGGAATGGACAAATGCAACTCTATACAGTGCGGTTACGACCAAAAAATGTTTCTTGATCAGTTTATTTAACTACGTTCGTTTGAGTGACGATAAAAATCAAATCTTCCGATGATATCATGTTATTTGCCTAAATCTAAGGCAAAATGTGCGAGTTTTCAAATTTCAGGTGGATAAAAAAGAATGGACTTGTAATTCATAACACAATATATCAGTAGCCTTCTTCCGAACAGCTTAAAAATTATTTCTATTTTACAAATAGAAATATATAAAACACTACCTGTTGATGTGGATTCATACATTCTTGACGATTTTGAGCTTACTGAACCCCATGGTGAAGCTGGCGGTGAGTATGATTGAAACGATGAGGGAGATGACGGTGATCCAGACGAGGTACTGGAAGATGATGGTTCATCGCTATTTTCAGAAAATGATCCAAATAATGACGCTACCGAGGGCCCACTATAAGGTGGTGAACCAACGGGTGTCGCACCATATATTGAGGGTCCACTAGAAGGCGGTGAACCAACGGGTGTCGCACCATATATTGAGGGTCCACTAGAAGGCGGTGAACCAACGGGTGTCGCACCATATGTACCTGATGAACCATATATTGAGGGTCCACTAGAAGGCGGTGAACCAACGGGTGTCGCCCCATATATTGAGGGTCCACTAGAAGGCGGTGAACCAACGGGTGTCGCACCATATATTGAGGGTCCACTAGAAGGCGGTGAACCAACGGGTGTCGCACCATATGTACCTGATGAACCATATATTGAGGGTCCACTAGAAGGCGGTGAACCAACGGGTGTCGCACCATATGTACCTAATGAACCATATATTGAGGGTCCACTAGAAGGCGGTGAACCAACGGGTGTCGCACCATATGTACCTGATGAAACATATGCTGAGGGTCCACTAGAAGCCGGTGAACCAACGGGTGTCGCACCATATGTACCTGATGAACCATATGGCGAGTAGGGGTTATGTTCATATGAATCGCCACTGCTGGAGCAAGCAGGCTTGTGACATATTGATTTGGTGTTACCCACTCCGACGCAATCATCTTTAACGGGACATTCTCGAACGCTGTGAAATGCAGAAATGTTATAAAAACGATCGATTTTTTTGTAACTAGAGCTGTAATAATTGTAATTTTCATGTATCATGGATATTTTATCTCACCTAGATTTGGTACCATCTCCACAAGTAACCGTACATGGAGTGTAGGGCCCCCAAGAACCCCATTGACTGCTATCTGCAGGTGGAGTTGATGACGAAGTGGGTGAGGGATATCCGACAAGTGATGGTGAAGGAAAACCACTCGAAGGGTAGCCACCGGAAGAAGGATAAACGCTGGGTGAAGGATATCCGGTTGGCGAAGAATATCCAGTAGGTGGAAGGGATCCACTGGGTGGCGTATCTCCACTAGGTGAAATATTACCGCTGGGCGACGAGAAGCCACTGCCAGACGGAGGATATCCACTAGGTGATGGGAAACCGCTGGATGAAGGGTACGTTCCTGGTGAAGGATACCCACCAGAAGATGAACCACCGGAAACTGCAATTTCGTCGGATTCAGCATTGCAGTAAATGTAATTTAGTTCCTTAATGTCTTCTGGGGAAAAATCTGGCGCTTGACCATGAACTGCCTGTCCAGTTGCCTTCTCAACTATTGTTGGTTGTCCGTTATTTGACATCGCCATACCATGCAGATGCACAAGTGACTTCAAGTCATATTGCGAGTTGGTTTCTCTCACTCTACCGGCTTTCAATTTTTTGAAGTTGTACCTGCGAGCTATAAAGGTGTTTTACACTAAATGTTTTACATTTGAAAACAAGACAATAAGCAAGTAGAAAATGCGAACTTTTTAACTGTATAGCTAAGAATATCTCAGTCAAAATAATTTGACCAAATGTTGCGGGCAATGACTGATAAATCACTTCTTACTAAGTAAGTAGCAAGTGTATTAAAATATATTCTATTGTTGTTACATTAACTAGGAAATTCTCAACTTACATCGTTTCATATTTGCATAATTTATAGTGACGTAATTATCACGATCTGGTCGAGAGTGCTCATGTTGGAATCCCAATCTAAATGACAAACATAATTTTCTATAATTAGCAACAGGTATTGAAATATGCTATAAATTCTGAAATATTTGTAAAACTTGCTGCACTCTTAGACCAATTTCAATAACCTTCCAACTTCTCAAGACCGCGATATTTCGAAAAATGAGAAGAAAGGCGACTGAGTGACACAGTTAAGAAAAGTTGGTAAATGCAAGAGAAATGAAGTAATCATTTATGTGCATTAAATCATTCTAAAATATACTTATGTTTAAATTGCATGACTGAGTTTTTTAAATATGAAATCAATAACTCAAAAGTCAAAATTTTAGTTACTGTGTCTTGAGGATGTTGGAAACAGTGGCCCAGGCTCGTAAGCAACAGATTTTTAATTAAATTAATTTTACTGAAAATCTAACTCTCTCAGGTGTTGAATTTTTAATCAGTGCATTCGATAGCTTTGAATTTTATAGTCTCCTCTTAGTGTATGAATAATATGATGTAACATAAAAATATTGTACCTGTGATATATCATATGCTTTATTGTACTAGGATCATTGCAACCAACGCCAAGAGATATTTCGTTATGGAAGGGAATTTTTCCTACACCAGACCTGTCAAACGAAACAGTAAATTGTTGACTAATACATCAGCATTGAGTTTAATTGATTGCAACTAGAAAATCAACGCAGGGGGAAATAGTTTTAATCTACAATAGCAACTACTGCAATATCCAAAGATTCTACCTACATAATACGTAGGTAATTATGCCACATTACAAGCAAAGATTTTCATCTTACCAGCATCCCGATCTCTTGGTGAACAATATGTATGATCCCTGAGGATCATCATGCTTGACAAATTTCAAGCAACTTATTCTTGACTCCACTTCTCTTATTGCTGCTTCCGCTGCTTTTATGGTTCTACTTCCCAAATTTGTGTCTGAAAAGTTTGTTGCTAGGCAGTTTTAGTTATCGAAATATCAGCTATAGCCTATAAATTAGTGGATACCGCATACGTATCAGCCAAAATTACAATGGCGTTACATTTCATTTCATTATGGGTTTTTCGGTTCATGAATTTCGATTTGATCACTTAACACTTGCAATTATTATCAATATATAAATATTATTTTTGTCACCTTCATTGATATAAATGATAAATGCCGATATGCAACCGAGTAAGATTATATTGGCCATTTAGAAACATGAGCTAGCCAGTGGTTCCCAAACTTTTTAAAAAAAATTCTATGACCCATCGCATTTTTTTTTAAGATATGCGGCCTTATGCACTGAAATGAAACATCAAAAGATCACAACGAAAAATCAGTGCGTATGGTATAGTGAAAAACACCTCGTCCCCACCCGCGTTTATCACAATAAACCCTAACTTTACATTAGATTCGTCGTTTTTCAATTTTTTTTAGGAGGCATTTTGAAATTAATATTACAGAGATGAAACCGTAAAAATATAGGCCTTCCGTTACTGTATGTCAAAGGCTAAATTTGACAGCTAAAAACTAAAACTTAGTGCCTCTCTTGCTATGCTCTACTAACTAACTCTTGCTATGCTCTACCTAACGCTATCTACTTTACAATATAAAAGCGTGAAACATTATTTGAAAGCGGACTGGCATACTTTATAAATTGCCATACTGGATTTCCCTTCTAAACGTGCAAAAAGGCAGCGTCAGCTGGCCTGTAATGGCATCAATTGTGAACTTTCTCTGTGATATCGCAGGTCCACAGCTCTGTGACATCACGATGGGGCATCGTGTTCAAAACAGAAGGTGGGGAATCAGTGTCCCCAGCAGTGATTGCAAAAGCAACAAATATGTATTTGCAAATTTAAGCACTCAATATTTGTATTATCAAACTATATGCCATAGACCAGATTTCTTTCGCGGACCCTCCTAAAGTGCAGCACGGACACCAAAAGGTCCGCGGACCCTAGTTTGGGATCCACTGAGCTAGACCATCTCAGTGCGGCTTTTGTTCAACCTAAAACAGATTTCTTTCACGCACAAGCTATCTACATCTAAGTTACACCTTGTAAGATGTTTCGTTGTGTACTGAAAATAAATATATACAAACTCATTTGGTCATCGAACGCGTATGGAACCTCAAACTTTGTAGAATCTGACATATATCGTTCAGTATTCCAAAGTTTCGTCCTTTTCTCAACAGAAGAGCTGGCAAAAACTTCAAATTCCTTTTCCTCGTCCATGTAACCGAATTTCTTAAATGTTTGAACAATTTTCTCATTAGATCAGTAATTTCCAATCCATGCCACATATCTCTTACATTCGAACAAGGAACGGCGGAGAACTACTGACTATACTCTGCATAACATCAGTAACCTCGTAAAGATTTTGACAAAAACTTCTAACAATGGCTTACAAGGGTTGACCAAAACGATGCAAAAATAATCGAATATATTCCAATAACAAAGTATTCGAATACTTTTCCGGCTATCTTCGAATAATAGCCACTTTTCGCCGTTACCACGGTGTTTCGTTTTCGAGGGAAATATTCAAACGAATTTTTGCGCTTTGCCACGTATTGCAATGACGATGAAATAGAATAGGCACTTTGATTGTTTATCTTATGTGCGAGCGTGCGCGGCATATTGTTGCGACACTTTTACACACATTACCCCATCCCCAAAGCAAGGCTTCTAATTTACAAATTTTTTCTATTACGTCGAAAAATTGAAAATTATGTAAAGCGTAATAAATTGTCGCAAATCGGAAAAACAAGTTGATTTATTAGAAAATATAATTCATACTTTCACCAGGTTTTTGGCGAATAATTTTGATAATGATAGTTGAAAGTTTCAACTTTTTATTAGGATGATTTTCTGTTGCGCAAAATATTTTAAATCCATGACCGATACTATTCATACCAGCATTTAAAATGCTTTAAATTACCTTATTAATTTAATTTTGTTCGACGGTGATTGCATCGACTCGCGATAAAATAAAGCACCACTACACTAAAATACAATGGTAATCTGTGACATCAATAGAGTTTGGCATGGCGGTCTCGTCATTTAATTTAAATCATCGACGTCGTTGATAACTATATTTTCAATTTAGTCATATATACCAAACACTATATCACATTTGGTCTCGGTATAAAACCGAAACCATTCTTTCTACAATTTTCTAATTCAAACATCGAAATGGATTCTGATCTACGCGATCATTGACAACATTTTCCTGCATGCAAAATTACGGAAATTAAAAACATTGTTCAGCATGTGGGGATTCCAATTCGGTACCAGCATTTTAATCCAATACAACCATCCTACCAGAATGTAGATCAATATTATATTATTAACCCTCGAATATACTCGCCGTATGAGAACAGAACAGGCCTAAGTCGCAATTTTGACATTTGAGAAAAACTCAAAAACAATTTGGAATTTTTTTATTTTTGAGTTTCTAGATATTCACACTTAGTAAAGTCCTGATCTCTGGTTATTTTAATGTGGATGAGAATATCCTTGTAATCAATATTTTTTGGCACTTCAGCTTTAAATCCGTCCTGCTATTTTTTTTTACCCCCATAAAGGATTTTGGCCCATTCTGTTCTAAACAACTTCTGAAATCTTTTGTATGGAATGCAAGGTGAAACAAGGTGACTTAGGCCTAAGTTGCACTGAACAAATTCCTAGGGATGTAAGTTTCGGATCTTTCATTTCTGATGTTCATGTCCATCCTATTGAAACTTAGGACTATCTTTTTTCGATATTTTGGGGCTCCGAGCCTTGAAATCCTGAATTTCTCAATAATAAAAATTTTAGCTGGACTTTAGCTGGCCCATTATGTTCCTAACCTCTACAAAATATTATAGTCCTAAGTCCAGCTAAAATTTTTATTGATGAAAAATTCAGGATTTCAAGACCAACACATCGTAGAGCATTGGTTCTCAAACTGGGGTCCGCGGTCGCTTAGGCCTTAGGGGTCCGTGAAGCGATCTTAAGGGGACCGCGAGACAACTTTAACCTCGGAACAGAAGCACTTTGATTTAAAGTGAAATTTTGATGTCATGCTTTCACAGTGTTTCTCCAAGGCACGTCACGCTCTATTTGATGTCATTCATTGGATGAATGCTTGATATACCGCGTTGATATTGGCTTTCATTTCTTTAGTGGTCGAACCGCGAGTCATCAGAAAAATTGCAAGGGGTCCGTTATGCATAATTTTTCAAAAAGTTTGAGAACCACTTTTGTAGAGCATGGCTCAAAACCCAAAATATTGAAAAAAGTGTATTTCCAAAAATGTGACTTAGGCCCCTTCTGTTCTCATCCGGCAATATATGTTAGGAAACAATCACCCATGTTTATCAAGAAATATTGTATTTGTTATCAATGACCATGAATACCTACTGATAAATAGTCCTCCATCTCGCCTTCACTGATTTGTAAGTCTCCTTGAAACGAGCCTTGTGTATCCGGAACACATTCGCAACTCACTGGACAGTTATTTGCGTCTAGTTCGTATCCAAATGGACATTCAGCATCACATGTGTCGGTATCGAACGTACAAGAACTTTCTGAACATAAATACAAGAGTATCGGTCGGAGACCGATGACTTATCGATCGAAACTGCGGTTTCGATTCATGACTCTATAGTGACACCGCGTGTCCCATCACTAATTAATTGATAACTCGCTAATTATACGACATAAATCATCCCGAATCAATAGGCTTCTGATCCGAAATATGATGAATGCACATGCTAAATTTGGAGCAGATTTAACCACGTGTTCGTGAGATATCGCGTGCATCTAACAGATAAACAGACAGACAAATACCTATCAACATACTTACCGATCTAAAGATCGATAAGTAACAATGCATAACTCTCCTGGGAAAGAAAACGATTCGATTATTTCAAGCAAAATAAACTTTTGAATGAACAGCTATATATAGTAGTCGTTGCCATGCAAAACCTGCACATTTGATGATTGCCGCATTTGCCGATTATTAGTTGAAATTTAACCCTGGAGTTATAAATAAATCAAAATAAATAACAAAATACAGAAAATATGAATAAAAAATAACTACACAACATACCTCTACACATGTTAACATCTAACCAATTGTATTTTTCTTCTATGGCTTCGATTCCCATTTCTTTGGCTTTTTGTATTTTGTCGCATATGATCGAACCTGACGGCTGGGCTAAAAAACAAAACTATGATAATCCTAAACAAGATTAAAAAATAAAATTTTTTGGTTCTATGACGAAGCAAAATGAAAGTACTAACTTACCTGATATTGTTATTGATAAAGCCGCACAGGCAATAACTAAAAGTAATATTGACCCTCCTATGATGACGAATTTCGCTTTAGATGGCGGCTTCTTTGCCACTTTTTTGTCTGTCGTAATAAAACACGGAAAATTAACTTTTATGAACTTATTCACTGAAAAATTCATTTGGAATTCAGTTGGAGCACTTTATGTCTGAGTTGAGATTGACTATGTTTGATACTCTCATTGAATAAGTCAGTGGTCATTGTCACTTTTCAGTAAAAACCCAAAAATGTATTGACAGTATCGTAGTTGACGCAGTTGTTGCTATTTAGTTATTAAATGCGTATTATTTTTGGTCTTGTTGGGAGTCGGGGAATATAGCTTATATTTTCCTAATATTTTTACCTAGTACTTAAATCACCATGATCATATAATCTATCTGGCCTATAACGTTAGTAAATTGTCAACATGCGTTAAAAATGTATAATAATTATCTTGCCATTTTTAGCTTTATCGGCTTGCTTGGCTGATTTTTCGCCAGGATTCTTCTTTGGTGCCATGTTACATTTTTAGAGTAGCTTGAATCATTTCACATTTTTAATGGAGTTCGCATTCTAACACAGGATATTGTATAACTATGTATATATAGGTATAGATCTAAAACAGAATAAAGGTTAACAGTTTGATCAATGACTGACAATCAAAACAGACCAGGATGATCCCGAATTCAAAATATCTCGTCGCAATTGTTAATTTATGCCAGGTTTCAATATTGGTAGATATAGTTCAACCTAGTAAAATGCTCAAATTAAATAATATACAATTTTTAAAATGCAGATGAACAAATTCAAATTCGGAACAATATATAAAATGATACATACGTATGCTTAAACTGATTGCCAAAAATGCAATATGTAACACTGATAAATATGATTGTTTAATACTGGCATCGACGAGCCTAAAAACTAAGAACATCGTCGATTTTGATGTAATAATGGGTTTAAGTGAGGTAGAGGTTTTTATTAGATTTTTCACGCACAAGAGTTTACCGTAATTTCAGGATGCTGCAAGACCTACAGATACAATATAAATCAAGCATATCTATGAATATTAGTCGATTTTATTTAATTACCCATACGTCATAATTTCTGCATAGATATACAGTAAATCCAGCCCATACATTCACTATTTTTAACACCGGCGTTCATAACTAAAATAGTTATCTACATGCACGATTTTTAAATTCGTATTTTATTCTGATTCTAATTTAATATTTTTAGAGAAAGAAAGCGCACACGCGCACACAGAAGTAAAGGATATTCAACTCTGAACAAAAAAATCTTATTATGGACTCCAGTTGTTCATCACCGAGGGAGATCCCCTCCGTGTTGATCTACACGCCGTGTTCTGTTGTTTCTTGCTTCGTCTTGTATCCGTCGTTATTACTGTATTAATGCTGTAGGTTACCCCCCGTGTTGTTTTCTTTTTATCCTGTTATCATGGAAGATTTCAAGATTAACGAAGACTTTGCTAAGAAGTATAACAAATACCGACAAAAAGAAGAATTGCAAAAACGTGAGTCTAAAATCACTTTTTATCCGAGATCCATCATCAGCATTTAAGGATCCATTTCTATCTTTGAAACCTTTTTATACTAGCCACAGTCAGTAATTACCTAGGTAGTATGATACCGTTACCAGTACGATAACGTGATTAGTACATATTAAATAATTCTTGGTAACAATGCCAGCAATGCCCATCTTTTTAATTGTTGAAAATGAACGATTGCTAAACTGCCAGACATTTTTCCGTTCAGCCTTCTTCAATCATGATGGCATATGGCGGTTTGAGTTATGACTTTGGCTTTCTGTTGCCTAGGGAGTTGTTTGAAAATAATAATATGCTATATAAATAGATAGACTACACAAATATTTATAGATTTATTTACAGATATTTATTCCTATCAGCGACATATAACCTGCGTCTCTGCATTGTTACAAACCTAACCCTGTAACTCTCTAACTGCAGAACTGTAACACTGCCAAAACATCCGATAAATCAACATGTATTTATATATTATTATTTTTAAATAACTCTGAAGGTGTACTTGAAACAAATTCATAACTCAAATTGTCTTTTCGTCAGCAAAATCTGTTAGGCAAATGTCTGTGGTACAAAAAGTCTTTATACCAAAAGAAACATATATTCTGTATATTTGTTCCATTATAATGGAGTATGATAATTCTTATAATGCTGTACCATACTGTACTGTCATCTGTTAATATGTTTCAATTTGAACCTAACTGCGCTAACTTGGTTTTTTATTTATTGCTGTGTAGGTATGTTTAAATTCATTATATGAAAAGAATGAAGGACAATGGCATTTGTCTCTCTATGCCCAACCGCGGGAATGTTTAAATTAGTTTTTCATCATTGGTCATATAATTTTTCTTGGTTAATTTTGCGGATTTAATTTACAAAAACAACATGATGTTGTCATTGTGAGAATTGTGGGGTTAGCATTGCTAGTTTAAATATCATAGGAGCCAAAACAAAGTCGATGCCAAACTGGGTAAATGACCACCATCACCAGAGTCGAAATAGTAATAAACAACTAAAAGAGCAAGTAGTACAGTAGTACAAATATATAAAATCCAATTTTATTTTTTCAGTGAAAAGTCGTTACGGCGATGTATCTTCTGACAGCGAAAGTTCAGAATCTGAGGATGAAAATGCTGAAGCATTAACACCAGGGTTGGAAAGAGATTTTCTCAGAACACTTGCATATCTTAAAAATAAAGATCCAGCAATATATGACAAATCTAAAAAATTTTATGAAGAGCATGAAAGCGATGAAGTAAGTTTAAGGCATATTGTATTTAATTTAAATAACTTTAGTTGATAGCTGTACATGTATTAACAGAAAGTTATTTTTATCTGGACTCAAGACATAAAAATTAGAGCTAAACTAAAGTGCTGAAACACACCAATCGGACCACTTATCATTCCGAGTACCCTGACATTACAGCATCACAAGTTCGATAAGAAAAATAGGAAGATAGGAAAGAATGATCTATGTGTGCAACTTGACATGCGTGCAGTGTAACTTGAATTATGTCTGGCTGTCGGCCTGTTTTGAATGGTTCATTTGTATTCGCCAATCAATAAACGTATTTGAAAACCTGCGTATACAGTAGCAGTGTCTGTTCAACGATTAAGCTGAGTACAATCAGAAAACACTTAACAACAGATAGAGTTTAGCCAGAAAGCTCAACAAGAAATAGTTTTTAAAACTTTGCAAGTTCATTTGAATGAAATCCCCATTGGTGTATTATTGTAAATTCTAAATATTGTTCTAAAAAGCTGAGTTGTATGGCACTATATTCCTTCCTTTTTCTTTTATATTCCATGCTTATTCTTTTGTGATGTACTAAATCCATAATACTATAGTAAAGTTTTTTAAAAGTTAAAATAATAATTTTGTGTACCATTTTGATTTGGCTCATAAATGTGCGAGAGATGTGATATCAACAATTTTATATTGCTTGACATCTTTGGGTATTGTGGAGTTCCATCCTCATGGGGAAAGAATAATCTCTCATTTGCCATTTTGACAATTCTGCTTTAGCAAATACGATCTTTAGTTAACACTTATTTTCCCAAAACAAATTATAGTGATTTAATAGCCATTAAATTTATAATTTTTTGGGTAATTTTTATAATTTTGTAGTCATCAGAGCCTGGAGAAAAGAAAAAGAAAAATGTGAAACCAATGTTTTTGAAAGATTTTGAAAGAAAAGTTATCTTGGAAAATGAAGGGTGAGACAAATAGATTTTCAAACATTTTAGTTATATAACTCTTATCTTATTGTTGTTGCCTTTAAGAGTTTAGTTTGAAAAGGTGTTTATTAGTAGTTTTTTTAAATTTATGTTACTCATTGAGTGATGCATTTTTGCAAATATGACTGATGTTATTTTTGTTGTTCTAAATTAAACGCTCTAACCCCTGGACAAATTTCATATGCATTCGATTAGTTTTAGATATCTTCGCTTGTAAGTAAACCCATTGCCATGTGTCTTTGAAGGTTGAATTTAATTTTTTTTGGAGAGCATATTTTATGTACTGTCTATACCAGCGTTTGCACAAAAACTACTTAAACTGCACAAAAGCAGGAGTGCAACTGGTGCATAATACTTGCTAAGGATTCATTAAGGCTTGAACAATTAAAGTACGGTAGTTTTTATGTATATTGAAGAATAGGAGGTTACAAAATAAGGCTAAGGGAGAAGGAATTCAACGAACAAGTTGGCACCACTGGTGTATTCAATCGCACTTCTTTATATGATTTATCAGTCTTATTTTATATGAACATTCTTTACAAGCAATCTCGCTGTCGGAGATATATATTGATTTGGTTACGGTGGCTGGAATTTCCAGGCAAAGCCTGCTAAAATTTTACACTTGTATTTTAGAGTGGTGGGCCTGTCGCCTATTTTCAGACCCACCTGTTGTGTATGAGAAAATAATGTCGTATTGGATATTTTACAGAAAGTTTCTGGAAGATGATGAGGAATATAAAAGACAACAAGAAAAACGAGAAACTTCACCAAGTTATCAGGAAGAACAATTAAAGTTGAAGGAAGATATGAAACATGCAATTAGTGTGGCTGATATAAATGAGAATGATGAAGATGGGGAAGATTTACTTGTTAAGCGAAATAAATCCAAAAATGAAAAGGTAAATGAAAGTATTTTAGATAAATCTATTGCACAACAAAATCATGACGTTATTTTGAGAATTAATTTATTGAATAGGTTGAATTTTAACGAAATATCGGACCTCCAGACCTATGCATATCAAGATGGCGCACAACCTGAACATAGTATGTGTGTACCAGTTAGGATTCAGGTTGTGTGACATCTTGGTAGGCATACTTCTGGAGCACCGAAATATCAACAGGCATTCTAGTTACATCAATGAATTTTTTTATACGACATTTTTATTCGTTCTCTCATCTCTCTCTAAACAAGGCTCTGTGACTGATATGTAAGAAGCTTCCTTATTTTGGAAGAATCCAAATCCTTCTGATTGGCCATTGCCTACCCCATTTATCACCCATTGATGTGGTGGGGAAATGGGATTTGAACCCAAGGTTTTGTGTCACAAATACATGAAATGTTCAAACCTGTTCATAATATTCTTAAAGGTTATTGTGAAAAATAAATAGCGAAATGGTAAAACCACTATAATTGGACCTCCTGAAGTATGCGCACCAAGATGGCGCACAACCTAAACTCAGGTTAGGATTCAGGTTGTGCGTCATTTTTTGCGCGTATTTCAGGAGTATCCTATAACTTTATATATGCAAGCCTTCGTTTATGTTTTTATTTATCAATTTTTGCTTCTGAATATCAGGAAAAAGAAGAAGAAGAATTTCGGAAATGGCTCAAAACTCCCGAAGGCCAAACGAGTCTCAATGTGTTAGATGATAAAAATAATGAAAAAGTAGCAAAAATGAAAACAGTTGTTAATGAAGTCAAGCCACTGAAAGAATATTGGACTGACCCAAAACTTGATGACGGGGAGAAATTTTTAAGAGATTATATTTTGGAGAGAAAATACCTGGATCCTAATGCTGACGGAACGTATGCTTTTTTATTCATTTGTTTGGTTTTCTAGAACTAATTACAAATTTTAGGTATAGCCTAAACTTATTTTAATTTCATCACATAAATCAATCTTATAGCAATGTAGCATATCTTTTTTGTATGTCTGTGAGTGTTCTTGTTGGGGCAGGATTTTCAAGCACCATTTTTTGTTGTCGATTTGAATTTTGTTGAAAAAATGTCATCGCTGGACTTCTCGTTACCACACGAATGTTCTTGTAATTGCCATTACTGGCTTCCCTTTTCATTTTATTCTTTGCATATGGAATGGATAATTGAATTTCTATTTTTCTCCCAAAGTTGGACTGGGTAACTAGGCAACGGCTCGTAATTCACAGTGTGATTGAAATGTCTTATCAGTTTTATTTACTTAAGTGATAAATATTAAAATCTGAACTTTTATTTAATATATGTCAAGGTGTTCTGTTCGACTAACTATTTATTCTTTTATGCCTTTTTCACTGCTGTATGATCTGCATGTGTAAAATGCAAAGATACTGTAACAAGAGTTAAGATAACTATTCTAAGCGATTCAAGAGTTTTGCCGTACACTAACACAAATATATCTGTGTATAGTTTACTCAAATTATATATTATAAATGGATAATTTGATTGGAAAAAATAATTTAATCCTCTATTCTCAAAGTCGTGTATCTTTTCTTAACAATACCACGATAATCTGACAAAACTGCCATTACAGTTTTTCAAACTTTAATTTTAATTGAGTTTCCCTAATTAATTCTTAGGACTCCAACCTATGATGAGATTATTGGTGCTGATTCGGATGAAAATGAAATGAGTGATACTGAAGATGAATTGTTTGAAACAAAATCGGAAAATTTTGAAAGAAAATATAATTTCAGATATCAAGAAAATGACCAAGAATTAGTAAGTTACTTTCAATGATGAAAAAAGATAAAAGTCAAATGCATGCATACATCAATATTTTTGTTGTCCAAATTTAATTTTCCCTGAGGGGTCGAGATTTTTTACAACCAAGAGTCGAGAGTAGGAGACAATTGTAAATTTTTTCCCCATCACACTGCACAGCTTGGGCCTAGCTCGGGTTGCAAATGTATGAATAAATTGTACTGAATAGTATTAAATGTAACAGGCATCTCATGTGTTTTGTAGAGGGTTAAAATTAATATAAGGTGTTCTCTGGTGTTTGTAGTCAGCAACTCTGGTAAATGTTTAAAGCTTGATGTCATATACATATAATGATATATATGAGCAAGGTGGCCTAGTGGTCAAACCTTAGACTTTTGACTTATCGATCTTTAGAAACGCATGGTTGATTCTGCTCCAAATTTTGCATGTGCATTCATCATATCTCGGACCAGAAGCCTATTGATTTTAGATGAATTAAGTCGTCTAATTAGAGAGTAATTAATTAATTAGTGATGGGACACGTGGTGTCACTATAGAGTCATGAATCAAGTCTTTGGTCTCCGACCGATATTCTCGTTTTTTATGTTGTCCCAGTTTAAAATCTTCGGTTAAAATCCCATGATCACCACCTTACCTAGGGTATAAAATTGAGTAGACAAATGGCTGGCAAAAGCTTTCACTCTTTCCAAAACAAATTAATTCCTCTATATTAGTGGTTGCTTATGTGGAGCCTTGTTCAGAACGCAAAAGGCTCATAAATACATGGTATAAAAAACATATACCTTCATATAAGTGAACTATGGGTGTGAAAAAGTTGCACCACTCACTATTAATTCTTCAAATACTCCTTTATAATGTCATTGACGTTCAACAGACTCAAAATTATGGGGCGTTTCCATCTACTACACAGTCTCATTCATCCATCTTATGGTGATTTAACTTCATATACCTCCTAGTCCTAACCATTCGGTTTGGTTACATGTACGCATTCGCATTAAAATCTTCGACAATTCCTGTTTTCAATTAAAAGATCAAATCATATCCAAGAACTATTGGAACTTCTGTGAGAAGAAAAGAAGATACAAGAAAAAAGAAAAGGGATGAAAAGAAGACAAAAGATGAAGAGAAGAAAAGAAAAAAGCAGGAGGAATTAAAACAACTGAAATTGCTTAAGAAAAAAGTTAGTAAAGTATACTTGTTTTTTTGCAAAGTTTCATGTTGAACCGCTGGCACAAGGGACAAGGCAACAATCTAGTTACCGGTAAGTTCATCAAATTATCAACAAGACAAGAATATTTCGTTATCGAAAGCTATAAATGGGTTTCCAAGTTTCAAGTCCAATTTGTATTCGCTACACTGCTACATACAATTCAATTTTCACCAGCTTTGTTTAAGTTAACAGGCAGATAATAAAGATATGCTCACTGATTTATGCATTATATGAAAAAGAAAATGAATTTATATTGTAAGTCAGTCACTAACAAGCAAATTTGTAACATTCCAATTTGATTTTTTTTATATACAAAATTCATTAACGCCTTTCGCTTATCTAACGATATGTAAGTTGCTACTCAGTATTTGGAAGACAGCAAATCTTTTTGGTTCGGCATTGTTTACCCAATTTATTACACCCTGGGTGAGGTGGGGGACATGAGATTTGAACTTGAAATGTAATTTGCGATGTCAACACATTCAAGTTTACACTTTAACCGCTATGTCATCATGAAATATGTATTGAATTTAAACCATTTTTATTCCTCCTTGTGTTCCAATATGTTATTTTCTGGGTTAGACAGTTTTCAATGGTATGAGCTCAATTATTTTACTACTTATTTACACAGGAAATTCTTGATAAAATTCAACAACTACAAGAAGCTACAGGAAATAAAGATTTGCAATTTAGTGAAACTGATTTAGAAGTAGATTTTGATCCTGGGGAATATGACAAGAGAATGCAGGTATATAATGCTTAATGATAGGGCAAGTAACGGGGACTGAAATGTGTAAGGATTCGATAGCCAATGGATTTGACCATTTTGTGATAATTAAGATAGATTAAAACAGATGAAACAGAGTAATCATTTAGGAGATATGTTCTCTCATGTCAGATATGGGAATTATATATGAATTTGCTCTGAATAAGCAAAACTCTGCTATACACAAGCAGCTACTGCTAGGTAAGAGTCTATTACTGTTTGGCAGGGTGGGAATTTTTGCGGTTCCGCATCGTGTACCCAATTTTTAACACTCAGGGTGTGATGTGGAGGTGCGATTTAATCTTGAAATTTTGACCTTTGATCCCATCATATTCTATCTAGCCTGATGGGTCCGGCGCTTCAACCACTAGCGCACTGCTCCAACTGTTTAGCAATCCCGATGCATGGACTCTGACATTAGCGGAAATGTCCTAACTTAAGATTTAAACTACAGACACTGGGCAATGATGTTGTACATAATCATCCTCTCATTACTATGGCATAACGTGATGCGCTAACCATTGAACTAACTTATTAATATTTGATACGTTTTTTTTGACAAATGGTTCAAATGGTTGTCATAACCAACATGTAAAATGGAGCATGATTTTTGATTTTCAGCTTAATAAATATCATACCATAACTTTTTTTAATAGGAAATATTCAATAAATATGACAATGATTACGCTGTGGAAGAAGAAAAACCTGTTTTCTCTGATATTGAAGAAAATGATTATGATAATTACTGGGATGAAAATTATTATGAAGGTGAGATTCTTGACCCATACACTTGTGTATCTTCCTAAAATGACTAGTTGTTCTAAGTAGGCTGCTTATGTCATTTTTGTAGTTTAATTCATGAATCCCTCATGTCGGTCTGTTTTGAAAATACTATTCATATATATGTCTCTGTTATTCAGCAAATAAGTTTCTCTATATCTTATTTGCAGGTGATGATACAAATCCAGACTGTGAAAATCAGGATTTTGTTGTAAGTACTAATTGAAATTTAATGACCCCATAATGATGTTATTTAAATACAACATTCTTCTATTTTTTTTTTCTTTACTTATAGCTATCTTTATATAACGGGATTGGCTGCTGGGTGAGAGTCCTCGGCCATATTATTATGTCACTGTGCCATTTTTTAATCCCCTGAAATATGAAATTTGTAACAAGATTCTGTATGGATGTCATTTATAATGTATGAGAATAAATGTAAAAGGGAGCATATTTATTTTCATCCCATAACATCATGGTTTCTTTTTATCAAGATGGATTGTGATTATGATCCAGCAGAACATCAACGTAAAAAAGAACAGAAGAAAAATAAAAAGAATCCGTTGAAAGATGCTGCTTCTGACGATAAAAAAAGAAAGAAATCTGCATTTTATGATTCAGTTTCTAAACCAAAACCAGAATTTGATCCAAGTAGGTTTTTTTAAACATTTTCCAAGAGCAGGGGTTCAGACAAAATGCTTCTGCGGTCGTAGTTTCCAAATCCCTGGATTAGTGTAAGACTGGTGCCATTCAAGTTAATTTGATCGTAGATTATATTTTGAGGCGGGACGAGTGTTTTCACTGAATTTTTAATTCGACTGAATGAAAGCTCCAAGGCAGTTGTCTATGTTGCTGAGAACGAAATCTCTGATATGATAATCATCAGAACTACAGCAGTAAGATTTGGCAAAACTCTTGGGCACAGTGGACTAGAAAACATTAAACTCACGTTAAAGGCATCACAGGCTAATATCGGGGTCAAATCTCATGCTCGCCCAGGGTGTGATAATTGGGGTAGGCATTGGAAACCCAGAAAGATCCTGTTCTTTCTAACTATAGTAGCTCTTTCCCTGACAGTGTCTGCTTGTGGAAGCCATATTCAGGGAAAACATGTATAAATATGTTGTATGAAAAAAAAATTGTCCTATCTTACTTATTACTGTTTTTTCGTTACAGATGAAAAATCATTCGAAAAATATCTTGATGAATATTATGCATTGGATTATGAAGATTTAATTGGAGATTTGCCTTGCAGATTCAAATACAGACAAGTCATTCCCAATGACTTCGGCCTCTCTACTGATGAGGTGAGATTCACTAATATTGGCAGATAATGAAACAAACCATTGATGGATGGATTTGTTGCATTATGTTTTGTATGATATATAGGGAATTATACTAAATTCCTTCCCAGAATAGTTAAGCGTTACGTATCATCAGCCACTTGCACATCTCCTTTTTCAGAATAAAGGTGTTAGAGTGACCCATAAAAATACTACCCAGGCAATGCTCTAGCAAAAGTTCGTTAAGATTTGATTTATACGAAATAACCGTCATCAATTCTGAGATCAGCTGCAGCAGTACTATTAAAATAGAGGGTAAGGATATGAATTCCTTTGCGTGGCACATCCAAGGAACTTTTTGTATGCTATGTACTATGCTATTTGTATGCTCGCGAAGATTGTTTTTATTTATGATCGTTGACAATCCAAATTGAATTTTTCAGATTCTAATGGCAAGCGACCGAGAGCTCAATTCATGGTGTTCGTTAAAAAGAGCAGTTCAGTATCGTAAAGATGAAGATGAACAATATGATATCAAAAAATATAAGAAAAAGGCGAGCAATGTCTGGAAGAAAGCAAGAGTTCTGAAAAGTGTTTACAAGATGTTAGTGAACAAATAATCTTGATAATAAGGATGAAAAATTAACAAGTCTTTTAAACAACTCAATGTTGTGTCGAATGATGGATGCTGATTCTGATGCTTTAAAAATAGGATCTCCTTACATTACATATGCTTATATTAGTGGATGTTTGGATAAGGCCTTGTTCGTTGCGAAAGGCATAAGAAGCGTTATATAAAAAAGTCAAGAGCCACAGAATATGAAATTAAATTGATGACAAATTTTTGCTAATTATCAATGTTGAAAGACCATTGTTTTTAGTTTACTCCCCCACGAAGTAAGTATGTCAACCTGTATATTTAACTTGTTCCTCATCAGGCCTGGTGAAGAAGAGGAAGAAGGAAAATCATGTACAGCTGAGAACAATAATGATCAATCAACAAGTAATGAAAATACAAAGAGGAAGAAAATGAATTCAAGGAAGAGAAGAAGATTAAAAGAAAGGGCAGAAAAGTGAGTGAACACAAAACATAACTATTTTCCCATTTGAGTAGGGATAAAAAAAACTTGGTGTTCAATAGATACATGAATTATTAAGTATCCACTAGCATAAAAGTATACGACAGTGGTTCCTAATCTTTTATGGCTCGTGGCCCTCTACCAGGGGCTTTTAGCACTCATGCCCCCCTTGCTCATTAATTCGATGGTATTTATAGATTTTGATTGTTTGATTTTAAATACCATTATGTTCAAACAATTCATGCTTGACAAGGTGAAAACACCCTGTGAAATTAACTTATCAAACAATGAAAATAGGAAGAACGGGAAGTTTTTTTGTATAGGAAAATCAGTTTTGAGCCTAATATTGTGGTGCCCTCCGACTGCTATGTGGCCCCGGTTGGGACCGCTGGTATAGAGAATGGATAGGGAGCTAGTCATGTGTAATCCCAATTAAATTATAGTAAGATTGCATCTATGCCACAATTTGCTCATATAGGTTGACATACCTTCTTGTTCAAACAAGTGAATATGTGTATTCATTCTTTCTTTTTGATGCAAAAAAATTCACAATTGATTTGTTCTTGTCTCCCATAGTATGTGATAGACTGTTCGGTCTTTCTATCACCATTCTTAATATGTACAGACAGTGGCTTTCATGTAGGAAAAAGTTCATCCTCCGTATGTATACTCAGTGCCAAGTGTCTGGCCAGATTTTTTTTTTAATTATCACTCAAGAGTGTATTTATAAATAATCGAATCCGAATTTTCAATATAAGGAAACCATAATGACTTCGAGATTTAATCTGCAATGAGTACAATTTGACAAAAACCATATTTTTAATTTGTACTGATGGATAAAACTGGACACTCTACTTCCAATTGACTTGAACACCTAATTAGCTGGCATTTTTACAGAATGAGGTTACTAGAAGATGACAATTCTGAACCACAATTTGCTGAGAATTCACAAGAAAAGTTGAATGGCAAGAGGAATGACTTGTTTGAAACAAAGAGAACAAAAAGGAAACAGGATTATAGCGCAAATAGAACTTACGATAAAGTTGCAAAACTGTCTGACGATAGATTGAAGGCATATGGACTACAGCCAAAGAAATTTTTGAAGAAAATGAAATATGCTAATATGAATGGTAACAGTTGATTGAAATTTCTATTTGCTGTGAATAAATTCTCAATTTAACTGCTGCCAGCGATGTCTATGTTACTCTAGTACAGTTAATAGTAAATGAACAACTAAAAGTGCATATGCACCAAAGCCCTCTCGATTACTAAATATAGGTCCAGGTAATACATGTAGCTGGAGTATCTGATTGCAAAGGCTCGTTTACATGAATATGCAAACACCATGAATGATGCAAAAGCCATTTTTGCCTGTGACATGAGGACATATTAAGTGCAACAATTCACTTAGTATATCCTGGTTGTACAAGTTGGAGTAAATATTAACTGGATGTCAACAATCTCTGTGACATCCATAGTGTTTGTTGACTGCATTCGCTTCGCAAGTCTGCTTTTTCGAAACTTTTATTTAAGTTAAGTAAGCTACCTACGCTACCTAAACTAAATGACCCCAGGTAGAAGATGAGTTTTCAAAGTAGATAATAATTAAAGTAAAAATAAATGATATGACAGAAAGATTAGTTTTTTTATGGAATTATCCAGTAGCTTGTTACAGAAATAACTTTAATTACTCTGTGTTTACTGTTGATGCAGAGAAAGTTTTGTCAATGCGTGATCACGAAATAACATGGTGGTTTGATGATACGACCATCTCATCGTTGTTCAAAAATCTACTCTGACCTGACAGTGTAGTAACTAGACTGGACTCAAATTCGGCCTCAACCTGTGACTCTGTGCTTTGGCACCTGCACCCACCACTGTTATAGACTTTACCAAATTGGGAGTTACTATGGCAACAAATAATTAGTGTGGCACTAAAATCATTGTGCACAAACTAAAAAACAGCTGGAAAAGACCTAGAAACCCCTTTTCTTTCACGCATTTCAAACTCAAACAACCTCAATCCAGAATATACAGAAAGCAACTACGGTATTTAGTTGGGTATATGCATTGTATCATTAAATGAATACCAGTCACAAGCTCACAGAACAGTTCAATGATATGGTGAACAAAAGCATGTCATAAAATTAACAGCACAGAATATTAAAATAACGAGACAATTTATGGTTCCAGGTGCAATTATGGCCAATGCTGAATTGGAAAAAGTATGACGTTTCAAATTAGGGCTCCCCATGTATAGTGGCTGTGTGTTTCCAGTTTTGTACACAGCAAAGGTTGAAAAACACAATTTAAGCGTTACATATTTCTCGATTTTTTTCTTGAAGGTCTGTAATCATCAATACCATACAAACCTTGCTGATCTTCCAAACAAAATTGATCATCACTTTGTCCCGATACATTTCTATCAGAGTTCAATATATCAGTACTCGGACTCTTTGAGGAGAAGTCAAAGTATTCATTGTTTATATTTCTTGAAGAGTCTTGTTTTATGAATGAAACATTAGATGATTGCGATTGCTGCATTGCCGACATATTATCCCTTGGTTCATTTTTTATTGATTTCTCTTCCCAACCTATTGCACTGGATGTATCTGTTGTTCGTCCAGATGAAAATGGACTTGAACTGAGAAAAACAACATTGTGCAATAAAGCAAAGTACTACAAAACTTCTATCACATATATATATCTATCTATATAATGGTTTCATTTTGCCACAACTACAATGGACCTTTCCCCGACCTTTGACCCCCGGAAAATTCTTCCTATACTTTACCATTACAAAGTTTTCAGCGCTATTTTAAGAGTGCTTTTGCGAGATGGCGCCAGTAAAATGGGGTATGTGTTTCAAACCATCATTATGATTCATCGCATACAACAATCTGTTTTTCAAAAGTACCAGTAAAGAATTTCAGGCTAGTCTATCACAGCTATTTCTACACTCATTTTTATTACTGCAATTAAATTGAAACTCCTAGGAAGACAGAGTGATCATTGAATTATCTGATTTTTATTTAAGTTTCCGAAACACAACTGAAAACTAACGAATAGAGTTCAAAAACGCGAAAACGAGGTAATGTTTACAACCACGCTTGAAAATCTGTCTGAGTGAGAAAAGTGTCTGAGCGGATGCGAAAAGGGGGCATTGTTACGTCATTTTTTGCATCTTGCTGATTGGCCAATGTCACGAAGTAAACGAGGAAGTCGATGCTCGGGGAAAGGTCCATTCAAATAGCCGCACTGTATAATGATGTAATCCATAGATAATTTTTCCAAGATGGTGGTATTTAAATGAATAATCAGAATGTGTCACCAATTTTCATCTGCATCATAGAAGTTTGAATTCAACCTTGCAACCTGTGGGTTATAGCAGTGTTTTGCAACCTATGGGTGCTTGTTTTTTCAACAAAAAGGTACTGATTTTCTTTTCCTCGATTTCAAAAGCCTGCTGATGGCAATAATTTTTTATATCAGTACGGTAATTAATTTTGCGGCCATGAAAGAATTACATGCCGTTTAGTACTCGATCATATCCTTAGGTCAGAAGATTCCACGAATTGGGTCGCTTGAAAAAAAGGTTGCAAACCACTGCGTTATAGTATGGCTCTTTCAGATTCTCAAAAACTTTAGAATATGCCAGGGGCTTGTAAAGCATAAGAACATTTACCTCATTCCTGTCACTGGAGTCCACTTTCCATATGTTGATGGGAAAGATGTTATGTTTTCAGGCTTCACTTGTCTCTTTACTTCTGAAAATTGATTGAAAAAATATTCAGCATAAACTGGGTTTATTAGGCAAATAGAAATATTCAATCTAATTGGGGAGGACTATTGTTTCAAGCATCATTATTAAGTTGGAGAGAAACTAGACTAGAATAATATACTGCACCTTCAGGCCTTGCATATTTCATTGACGTCAATGTTCTGCCCAGTTTTTCTGCTTGTTTTTGCAGCAATTTATGCCTATTGATAATCTTTGTTTGCCAAAATTTTTCAATGTCTTTTAAGCTTGAACTTCCGCTTTCATGCAATGCTTGATCAAGGGGGTCATAGAATGCAGTTTTTCCTGAAAAAAAAACAAGAAATGATTCAAATGCTTTAACAAACCTGCGGCACGATGACACATTAGTTAAAGCATTGACTGTGTTGGCTTCACAGAATACACATCTTGTGTTTAATTTCCATGCCCACCAGACCCCTCCTCACCCAGGGTGTAAAAAATTGGGTGGGCAATGACGAACCGGAAAGATTCCAGTCATTCCTAACGATAGTAGCTCCTAACGTATCGCTTGATAGCAGTGACCGCTTGTATAGAACCTTGTTCTGCACGTAAATAAGCATCAAATATAAAATTTTCCTAATCATGTTATATTTACAGGGTGATCAGACCAAGTGTAGACAAATGTTTATTAAAATATCTACAATTTAGATGTAAGAAAGAAAAAAATTATTGTGCACGCAAAACGGCGAGAACATGCCCGTTCCGTATTTGGTGGACAGTAACGGGCGATCTCTAAAGACAAGGATTGGCAGCGCTAATGTTATTATTTATCTTCACACTGCTATTTTCTGCAAAATAATTTATATCTCTCTTACATTTATATTGTAGGATATTTACATTTGTCTACACTTGGTCTGATCACCACGTATTCCGACTACACCACTGTTTCTTCACAAAATATCATTGATATAAATTCGCACCGTTGGCATAGCAACAAAGTCATGAAAAGGAACATCCTATTTTACATTGGGAATGATGATTTTGAAAAAAAATACAATAAATTAAAATGTATTATGATGAAAATTCATATCTATTTTGCATGAGAGGAAAAGGATGACGAAATATCGAAGTGTGCGACAAATGAATATTTCAGATACATGGATTTCACTGATATGAGAAATCAAAAATCGACCAGCAGTCATTTGAACCACTATGAGATATAATGGTAAGTAACCATCTAATGTAGGAATTCTCAGAATTCTATGGGGCCATGAGTGAAATATGGTCATCTCCTAGAGCAGTGTTTCCCAACCCGAGTCCGCAACAAGCCAGAAATTCACTGCGGGCCGCAAACGTTTTTGCAAAAGTTAACCATCAGCCAAGTTACGATTTACGTTAAAATTCACATAAAACATAAAAAGCAAGTTTATTCACATAACATTAATCAAGTCAATTATTACTAGTTACTGAGTATGGCTGGGCATATATTCGAATATTCAACTATTAGATAAGCAATTCACTATTCGAAAATTTGGTAACAGGTGACGCGACAGGTCAAAACGATTGAATTTCACAACTCACTTGCGAATTTCCGACGAAAATCCGAGCACACGCGTGGTGTTTCTTGCGAGTTCGAACAACAAGAAATAGTTTTTTTTAGCAGGTGTCAATGGTGGCAACCCAAATTTTCTAAATTAAAAAGCGGAAATACAAAAAACTGAAAATAAAACGGAGAACACCATAACTTTTGTTTTATGATTGTACGCGACCGAATAAAAACGCTTCTTTAGACATTGCAAATGGCAAAACTTAGGGTGATACTGCCATACTGTAGTATATGTACCAGGGCATTTTCCCTTAGGCCTCCACATTGGTACGTACAGTACTGGAGCGTTGTAAGTGTTGTAAGAACAGCTCAGATTTGTTGAATTCACAAAAATATGAATCAAAACAAAATATAATCGGGCACATTGTCATTATCATGCATTTTTGATATCCACGGATTGTCATGATATTTTCTGATTAGTATTGCTTTTATTTCGTCAACACAACCGCAGATTAAAATGATCACCATTAAATTAATAATAAAGCAAGGTGGTATTTTTGATTTACAAATATATTTTTAATAGGTACTAAATCAAGTTGTAATTTATAGCAGATAGTAGGATTTTTCAAACGACGATAACAAATTTGCAAGATCTCTAAGAATAGGTATCAAAACTAAATATAATCGGGCAATATGTTAGCAGATTGCTGTGACATTTTAAAGAAGTAATGCTATCATCTTGACTCAACCGCGAGTTATCATGAACACAATTAAAATAGAAAGACGTTTTAAATTCTCGTCGTTGTCATGGATTGAATATAGGGCGACAGAAAAGGTATTATACACTAAAAAAATCGTCTCTGCTTACGGGCGCGTAATTGCGGCGAAATTCCGATTTTGAAATTCTTTCGAATTCCGTTGTGTTTGGTTTTATTGCTTCTTCACACAGAGTACGGTTGCAATAAACGCACTTTGAGTCCGCGATGGTTTTCGCCGGTGAAAAATTAGTACGCGACCAAAAAAGGTTGAGAAACGCTGTCCTAGAGACTTGTAATCTCCAGTATAAGATTAATAGGATTAATTAGAGCCAACAATCACACCAATTACCTGTCTGAGCCTCAATGTCCGCAGAATGTCTCAATGATTTTGAGAAACTTATTAAATATGCTTCAGCAACTCCAGTCAAAACATCGAGAGCGGATGATGTTGATTCAACGTATCCAGTATGCACCGCAACTGTGGCGACAGACCGCTTCAGTATTCTGGATGACGTGGCATCATCCATTTGAGGAAAATGAGAGGTTTTTGTTCCAAGTCTGAAAAACATACGTAACATTTATGTTTCTAATTATTTTCAAATCCAAAGAAAAGAATAATTTGTTATGCTCGACGGTGTTTCGCATCTCGCTAAGCATTAGGAACACGCTCTCTACCGCACATCTGATTAACCTGCGTGGGCTTGCAGGTTTGAATTTTCTGGCGGGATTGCCTGATGTAGGGTGGTTCACGTAACTGCTGGCTTCTTCCACCATCAAGTCCATGCATCTGAAACAAACAACTGGCTAACTAATCTCATAACCAGGGGTAGAATTCTTAAAACAGACCTAAATTTAGATTGCTCTTTTGGAGCAGAAAATAAAAAATTTTCTTCTGTGTCACTTTTCCCAGATGATGATGATCGACTTCTTCTCGTTATGGAACCTACTGATTTGGAATTTTCTGATTCAAAAGGAGGAGGAGATGACAACTCTCTACACTGTATGCTGAACCCATGAATAGATCGATTATCGAGCCTTGAAATTAAATAATGCACCTGTGAATTTGAATGGAATATTTATGAATGATAGACAACTTACTTTGAATTTTTAAATATATTTAGGTAAATGAATAATCTCATATTATAGTAATAAATGAATAGTCTTATACCATAATACAATCTACATATACCATTTCATAACATCACTGACCCACATACTGGTAAGCCATACTGGCAGATAAGGGAAGATCATTGATTACTAATTACATACCTTTCTCATATACTTCATGAGTTTTATGGTGTGAGCAACAATTGGACATTGAGGAACATCAATTTCTTTCGGTGGAGAAACACTTTTCCTGTCATGATTGTATAACGGAGGAGGCTCAGATTGCTGAAATATAAACAGATGCTTTGTTTAAAAATATTTATAAGGCTGGTACTACAGGAAAAAAAATTACACACATAATATCAAATTAGCATTAGGCTCTATATTAGTCTTTTGCGGAAAATTTCTTCATAAGACTCCCTGACTGTGGCTTCTCCTATGATCTAATTGGCACACCATTTTTAGCGTTGACACCGTGTTTGCTGTCATTGCTCTGGCTTCCACTGCATGAGTCAACAGGTTCAAATCCTGTAGATAATAACCACGATCAAGACAGTCAATTTACTCTTAGCCCTCACAGACTGGTTCACATAACTGCTGACCGCTTGCTCCGCCATCGATTCCATACATATGAAACAATTACTGTAAAGGTTAACTATTTCCAGAAACCTGACCAGTACATTCAACAGGTTGTGAGCCAGTGGTTCACCATACGATTAAGCACTTTCATCGGGGCTAGTTCACTAAACACCGTCAAGTAGTTCTAGTTGGCGTGGCATAACCATTTTCGTATGTCATTTCTAACCTCCACCTGATTACGTCATCTAAAAATGACATCACTACAACGTCACAGTGACGAAATAAGGCCCGTCAAAGTATACGAATCATCGTCCAAACTGCGCAGAGGAACACTCAAAATCAAGCAAGCTATTTTTCTCGTTTTCTCATCTTACCGATTCCGTTATAAGATAGTTCGCTGACGTTAGCGAGTTCATTATCGTCGGTGGAGATGCCATTTCGGGCGATCGTAGCTTTTCTTTGGCAAGCTTTATGGCGTGATTGTGATGTCAGATGGTGTAGCCAGGTGGTGGTTAGGAATAACATACAGACATATGCAAAAATGTTTGTGCCACATCAACTAGAAGTACTTACAGCATTTATAAACATGCGCCCTTACATCTCCCCATCTCATCTCCAAGTTTTGGCAAAATAATGTATGATCATTCTATTCAATGAGATCATATGAGCAATTCATCATCTTATTACTGATACTGTGATATGAATCTCATGAAGAATATATAGGAAAAATGTGATATGTATGAAATAGCAGAATAATGGTTCAAAGAACCTTACAAGATTATAACATTAAATAATGAAATGGCAGTTTACAAATATCAGGACATCTTCGATATTTAAAGACTGGGATGCTTTTTCTTAGTTATTTATTATTTTCGTACAAAGCGAATTTTCAGTACTGCAGTATGGTGAAAACAAGGAATGACGATTTTTCGCATTCACTGTTCTAAAGGTTTTCGGTACAATTGGAATGTTTGTTTTATATAATTATTTAAATGTTGGGGACACTCTTGGAATCAGAGAAGTTTGTTGTATGACTACTTCCACACTCAACTATCAGACTGTCTTTTTGTTCCCTCTACCAGTTCTAATAGTTTGAAAGAAGAGATAACACTAGAACAGGGATTGTTTTAGAGATGTTTGGGAAGTATTAAACCAACACCATACTGCCATACCTTGCTGATGACTATTATAATGAAAACTTACTTCGAAAGCTTTAGGTTTTCTCATTTCCATCATAGACCTGGTAAATTGACCAGAAATATCTTGCTGTGGCATTTTCCCCCATTGAAAATCAGTATCTACAACATTTGCAGATTGCCTGCTTCTCGTATCTTTGCTATCAGCGGACAACATCACCATTAACTGGGCTGTGCTCTTGAATCTAAGACAAGCCGGATTGTTTTGGAGTAACAGAGCAAGCACAGTCTAGCTTTTATGGCTGCTACAGTTATAGCATGGTTCTGGAGGTCAACAATACAGTCAAATAGAGAAGTTCCCCCACAACTTGCATGTAACTTTCATGGGCAGAGTTTACTAGGTTGCAAGTAACGAAACGAAAATTTGTAACCGTTGGGTGGCGTCGCAAAGCTAGTTGCTCTCCATGCCCTGTACAGCATTGTCCTTCATAAGTCATAACCCAACATTGAAACCAATATATGCTGTATGTAAAAATTAGTCTTACAATAAACGCCCATTCTTCGTTTTTACTAACATGCCTTTGTATTACTTGAATCGTTGTGAGCCACGCTACACGCGCACGATTGCTAACAGCTGATAAGTTGACACGGTCTGCTTGACGTTGTTATGGGAACCAAGACGCATCATCCTGCTAATATTTGCAGTGATTACAATTTACAGCGACTGTAGAAAAGTTTTAATAGCAACTTAATATTTGCCTTATTTGTTGACATAACGAGTTTCATTGACGTACCATAGACTAGTTAAACTTAATCAAATAGCATAAAATTGTTCAAAGCAATATTCTCTCATTTAGCCCGGTTGGAATGCCATAAGTTACCACACCATACGTACGTTACCGTACAGCGTTACGTTATGCCTGTACAGAAAGAATCACACATAGACTTGTGTCATAGCTCAGTAGCGTTAGGTCCTTTTGCATAAATTTAAAAAAGTTTTCATGTCACGTTCAGGACAGCTTCCAATCATAGTAAAAAAACAGGAAAAATGGAAAACAAAACCACATAAACCTAAAGTTACATTTAATGTGGAGGCAATGACCGATGAACTAGAAGAATATGGTTCTGATGATGAAGACCAGCTGGACAATTTCCCCTTTTATGTGAATAAATCTGGACTGCCCATAGAGAAAAAAACATGGGATCGGATGTGGAGATTCGCTTGTAAATTATATCCGGATGCTCGATCTGAAATTGAAAGCATCAACAATTCTGATGATGTCAAAATTCATGTGAGTGCATAAATTAGGGAATTTGTTAATCTACAAAGTAATAATTATTCTCAATTTATATATTTATTCTTAACAATTTTGTCTGATCGACTCAATTTGAATTAAAACCTAAAAACAGTGAAGTGACTTTATTATTATTAATAAATGAATTGTTCATCTATAAGTAGTTTTGGTAGACAATAATTTTCCAACTACTGAAAAAATCAATATTTAAATATTCTTATATTGAATACATGTCATTGTTATCTTGTGTTTTTTTTCCACTCTAGGTTCAAGCACCCATTCTGCCAACTTTGCATCCTCAGACTTCGGTTTTTCATAGAATTCGACAACAACAGAATTACATTAATGCATTACAGTACAATCATACAGGTAAAAATCTATCATAATTTGTAGATGATGATCTATGATAATTTGCTGATAAATTGTTTTTATTGTATTTTCCACAATTTCACAAATCATTTATGCCCTTCACAAAAGCCATTTCAAATAATAGAAAAAGTAGTATCAAGATTACTGTGGGAAAAGATTTTCATCAGTTTCATATTCTGAAAGTACATGTTTATTGCAATTTTGGGATACTTCAAAATTGCAGCCCCAGTGGCCCCCTATTTCACTTTTTGACTCTTTCTATGATGTAAGCAATAAATATATTGTTTATCTGTTCAGGAACACAATTTTTCGAAATTAGGAAAAATCGCCCTATAGCTGGATTGCTTGACACAGCCAGAGAAATGACAAGAGAGGCGCTGCCAATAAAATGCTTAGAGGCTGTGATACTTGCAATGTATATGCTTCATATTATTTATATTCAAATTTTTGTTATATCAAGATAATTTGCAATTATTTAATCAGACAATTTCATTCAGATATTTGACAAACACTCTCACCAATGTTGAACGTTTTCCAATAGGATTTAAATCAATTTTTGATGGTAATCGATATTATCACATTGTACTTGGATTGTATTATAATGGAAAATTTGGTGCAATGGGAATCAGCAGACGCAAGGATTTGATGGACAAACCTTTGGTGTTTAGAGTAAGCTTTGTTTTCTAAAGCAGAATAGTATTTTATTATTATCACTTATCTGTACCATCACAATCGCATCAGTTTACGATTGATTTTTCATGGTTAAAATGTCGACAAATTCATGTTTACTGTTTATTTTTTTGTGTGAAAAATCAAAATTAAAATGGTGGTATTGAATGATAATTTAAAATAAAATGAATTAAATCATACCATAACGCTCATTGTGAGAACAGTGGTCAAAATTATCACAATGTTCTGTTAAAACTTGGAAGTTGGTTAGATCACAAGTTGTGATAGCTATGTTCTTAAGAGTCTCATATTAAATATAAAATTGCTACATTTGTACTGATTGGTACATGTTAAAAATGTCATACTGCAATTTCCCCAATCTTACTTAATAATTACAATAATTTCATCTGGGAGCCATAATTTTACACTTTGATATCATAGTTTTATATGCTCATATGTCACATCTCCCTATGATAATTACAACTTTGAAAAAACTGTGAAAGAGTGTTATTATTTCTGATGTTCATGCAATACCTCACCCTACTACATTCATTTTTCAGAGCTTGAACGAACTTATTCAGAATTACAATGCTGCATATGCTAACTGTAAGTGCTATATATAATTTTAATGCAATATCCACCCAAACTTTGATCGTAGAGTATATTTGTACAACATAGAGTTTCTTTTTGTAAAGTATTTCATAAATTTTTTTATCATATATTCGTTCAATACTTATTAATGCATGACAGAAAAAATATAATGTGATATTCTTAAGGCCTAATTTTAGTAGTTCAATGATTCATTTATTTTGCTATAATCTGACATGTGTTGTAAAATGCAATAGAACATTGTATTATGACATTGTCATGATTAAATCTTTCCTAAGATTTATGGCAAAACAACTGCTATTTTAAAACGGTGTTTGCAAATATTTGCTTCCAATTTTTAATTTAACCATTGTATCAATTCATGCATTTTGTGCATATTTTTCTCAACACTGCATATGACGATGGCTAATAATTAGTGCAACTCACCATATAGTATCCAATTTATCATTCATAGATGGACATAACCTAAAAAAGGTTCGACTTGGTGGAGCTATATCACATGATTCATGCAGTCAAGAAAGAATTATATGGACGGTAAAGTATTTTTTGTTTCTAATTGCCAGGGAGAACATGATCTGTTATGTGTATGATCTTAACCAATTAGTTCACATAGTATTTGTATATTTATCTAGGATGTGCGAAAATAAGAGGTAGCCTTATGATGAACCACGGCCTCTTGTCTCGTTATCAGTCCACATCAGGGATAGGAATAGTTGAGCTACTATTGGCTTCAGAATTTAGATGCATAGACATGATGGAGGGTACTGCAACCGATCAGCAGTAATGTGAATATGATGATGATGATGAGTCCAGCAATGGTCACGCTCATACTATTTCCTCCGAGGTTAATATATAGGAGTACGTTCATAATCTGAGGTGCGATGAAAAGAGTGCCCCTAGCACCATGTGCCAAGCAATGAGTCACTTAAATTGTATATTTTAGAATCTGGACATTGTAACAAATAGTTAGGTCAAATTTTGTATACTGTACGATATCAAACAAAAGCATTTAATAGTAAATTAAATATATGCTCCTTCATCACTTTATTATCACAACAGTTTGTCCGTATATATTATTTAGTCACAGTGGTAATTCATTTCATACTTTTTATACAGGTATTTAACATGAGTATGCAAAAAATATGTTCTTCGGAAGGCCAAAAAAAATTAGATCGATTTACAAAAGATTTACGATCACAACTTTCTTATCCCATATTAGCAGCAACTTCAACATATGAAAGATCAAAGTAGGTTTTAACAATTCATATTAACTGTGAATAAAATAATGTAATATTTTAAAATGTAATAATTTAAAATTCTTACTTCTACAAAAATAAAAATAATTTATCCAACACTTGAACTTGTGTTTGTGTATGATTGTATCCAAAAAATCACTAATCTAGTAGACTTTTCACAAAAATCATGTCTTCTCAAGAACATGCTTTACAGCACTAATGTGATGGCCAAAGTTAGCATTTGAGAGTGTCCAATAAATTTAGTTCTTCCTATTTGACACGCAATGTGGTTATATCCTTCACTTGTGGTTGTTCTGGAATATGAAGTCAGTATCTGATATTGAATGCCAAGGAAGCTCAAATCAGAAAGTAACGAACTTGTCAATCTTATTCTAATTATACATTTTAATGACTACACTTGTATTTTTTTGAAAATAGTACATAGCTTCTAAGACTTTATGTACTTGCATTTATAGGCAACTGCCTCTTCCACCACGCAGAGAGAAAACGATCGCTGCTAGCTCCTTGAAAAATTTAACTTTAAAACCCAAAGAATCAGAAGTTAAAAATGACAAAAAAGGAGTAAAATCAACTTCTGGTGACTCTCATACAAGAAGGTACAATATGATGAATGTTTATACTACAGCATTAAATGAACCAAAGTTCTCTGTGTCAATTAGTTGTTTCAAAATCTCATTGAAGGATTGGTGAAGGAGAGTAGGTGTCAGAATTATGTATATATAATTGTGTGATCATGTCATGAAAAAATCATTAAAAAAAAACATAGCTGAAAAAGTTAAGGATGGATGCGATAAAAATGTTTTTTTTTTTCTGTTTGTTTTGGTTCTAAAACTAACCATACGTTTTATGGACTTTTTATTGCATTTTACCACAGATCTTGTGGTGAAATACAAAATGAACTCATTCTTTTGTCCTTCATTCTGAAAAAAAGGGTAATGCTGTGTTTACTTCTACTATTATTTTTGTTATGTCATTCATGTTATGATTCCAACCATATTTTCAGCAGAAGAAAATCACAGCCCACATCACGAAAATATCAAGTTCGAGTATGAAGATTCTATAACAAAATTGTTTACTTATTCTAAAATGTTGATGGTATATTTGCAAGTGCTGGCTAAAAATGGAAAACTGTCCAGACCGAATGGTTTGCGTTTCAGAATTATTTTTAATACTTTTAATTGAATCATAATACAAACAAAGTCAACTTTTTATAAAACTTTATGAAATATCATTCACTTTTTCATCTCATTTTTTTTGCATCCATTGCATTACAGATGAAAAAATATGATGGACATATTGACATATTATTTATTTAAATCACCTTCATATAGTAACTACAATACTTGCAGTCTGTTGGCAAAAAACTACTATACTGTTTTATTAGTTGTGCACGCTGGCTGAAAATTAATATCATCGTAATTGATTTTACCTTAGAATTTATATCCTGAGCTATTTTTCCTATATTTTATAGACTGTGAAAATACCATTTTTGTTCTTCCACCTGCTCCCTGCTATAGATGCCAAATCAATATGGGTAGTTATGTACCGGTATTGTTGCTTGTCTTTATTCTGCACTTGATTATGCTTTTTATATTATGGACAAAAATTACTACTTGATGAAATAAAATATATGCAATTGGAATTGTCTTGATGTGATTGTTGTCAACCTTATCTTACATGCCACACCAGCGATATTGTTAAAGTCGGATCAGGATTCCGGAGAAGAACGGGGGGAAAAATAACAACGAATTTTAAATAACAAACTGTTTTTTTTTGTTTTATTGTGAAGGTAATCATGCCAATTTGAAATTGAGTTTTGCTATTCTGTGTATGTCAACAGGACGGACGACATTATAGTAGGGGAGGTTTCATTCCGAATTTAACATCACCGTGACGACTCATTCTCATTTTGCTTCTTCGCTTACCTTTTTTTTATACTACGGATCAGAAACTACAAATCTGGAATCCAGCCCAAATGTCTTCATACCCAGACTATGCCGACGGGAGTTTTACGGATCAATTCTCTTTGCCATAGAGATCACCATTTTATATACCACATAAAGAGGTAGTCTTCCATTCATCACATCCGCTATATGTGGGATGGTATAATCTAAGTTGAGTTTTATGCAATCAACTGGGCAAATTTTTATACTCGTGCTGTTTAGAGACCGAAATTAATGTCCAGAGTATAGAAATTTGATTTGTTGGGTCCGAATTTACTTACAAACAACTACTTTTTCTTTTTGCCAGCTAGTCCAAATTTCATGGTAGTTGAAAATGAGGAGTCCGATGACGTTTCTTCGCGGCTTCTTTTATTTGCATAGTCTGGTTTGTCGAGATTTGATTCAGTTATGTCCACGGTATTTGGTTGTGATTTATTATATTCAAAATTGCTTGTGCAGAGGATGTTTCATCAGGTGTGGTGCTGCAGACGGAAGAAGTTGATATGTCCGGAGCCTGGATGTTGTGCACCATCACTCTCACATACGGGTTACTTTTTAATGGAGGATGAAAAGGAGTGTGCCTATCGTCGACGTTTGTTTCAATCTCGACGAATGCCTTGTTGGTTTGGGCAGCGGTAGGTTCGGCGGTGTTGATAGAAGGCTTAAAACGCTCCTCGCATCTTCGCACTCTGACCAGTTGCTTATTTTTTTTAGATCATCGGAGTTTGAGGAGGATGAGAACTCATGTACTTCCGACACGAGGTTAGATTCTAGTATCGCATGGCTTCGCTTGTTGTTTGTTGTGGTGTGGTGCGAGCAGTTTTCTGGAGTTGTTACAGGTTGTAAGTCGTTTTGGTTGACTGTGCTTTGTAATTACGGAATTTCCGTATTAGGTTGTGCGTAATTTTGTAATTCCATTGAGTTGTTTAAAGTCGCTGCGATTATGAAGCATTTTGGATGTTATTGCTTTGTAATTCCGAATGAGGTGGGATGGTTGTCTGCAAACGGAATCGCTCTCACATTCCATACGTCTTACAACTCTTTCCATCAATCATCAAGTAATCCGGTAACCGTTCCTTTTTGAAATTTTCTATAAAAAAGAAGTGTATAGCCATTAGAGATAATCGTACCTCTGTACCAGTTTCTGGTGGTGTTCCGCACTTTCCCGCACTGCAGTCTTTCGATTGTAGCCACAGCCTTTTTGTAGGACGTTTCTCCCGGTATCCCTCGAACGGATATTCGGGTTGGTGCTTCGGTTGGCAGTGATACCGTAATATTACCGTCTGAAACTCTTATTTGACCCTTTGTGTCGTGCAAGAATTGCTAGCGGCAGCTGGAGTTGGGTTTTTCGGTGGCGGCAAAAGTGCATATTTTATATCCACTGACCTATTTTTCTCTCGAAGAGTCCCGTGATGTTGTCGACGTAGTCGCGGGACGCTGAGTTGGTCTTCGGGATGTCAAACAGTCGAGGGAAGTCCAGGTCTTCGGTGGTAGTCAGGAACAGTTCCAGTTAACAACACAGCTCACGTGTGAATGAAAATGGTTAGATATCAGATGGTTTTATTTTAAATTGGAGTTGTAGCTCACAATTAGATATGATGAGCGATGTGCTATTATTCACTTGAGCTGTCGGTAAGACATTTATAAATTACTTTGCTAATCGGCAACATTTGATCTTTTATGGAAATATATACAGTTCACGGGTTACGGTGATGTTTGGCCACGCTGTTAACACACTATTCATGTTCTTAATGACAAACGCCTCTGCTTTTACCACTCCATTAGTTTTGATACAAATTCGTCGTTACAATGTGGCATTGATTTCAGAATGTAATGATTCATTCTTTTGACATGCTTTGTCCCTGCGCTGTTTACAAAGATTGACATAATTACTATTATTATTGTAAACAAATGCTATGTGTTTCCTCACATTTACGCTATATATTTATAACATATCCGTAGCACCATCTAAGATTTCCCACAATCCAATTATTACAGGTCGCGGAAAGGATATAGTCGGATTTAAAACGTCATCACAAAACGGTATGGCGATTTTGACTCAAATCGTCTCTGTGTTGCTGGCCATGTATGAAGCTCGTATTATACACGTATATGACGTTCAGAAGTGATCAATCAATCGTGATCAGGGGATGTATAGGAAGGGAATTCGATGCAATGATGATGCATTCCAATCGTTTTTCTCCAACGTAAACTGGAATTTGTTTTGTCATATGTTATCGTTAATTTAGTGTACGAAGATAAATAAACTCAGACTGTTTTACTAGGCAGCGTGAAGAATAACTCTTCCGGACATGACGAACTTTACCATATACTGTTGTTTGTGTTTTATGGCTTTGGCAGTGATTACAGAACTTGCTACAAGTAAGACGAAGAGTTCATGTGATTTTTTTAGGTCTAGCTCTCAATTTTTCTTTTCAAAATGCGACGATAACGTTAAATTAAAATACACCACATTTGGATTCTGAATATATATAGTATATATAGAACATTTATGTTTACGAATAAACAGCATTTTCCAAATGGAAGTTCATCTTGAGGCACATTTTAGATTATTTAATAGACGGGAGGCAAAAATGTTATCGTTTTTTCTCTTGAGTTCAGTGTTATTTATGAAATGACCTGTGACTTCGAAAGTTGATTTTAAAATGATAACTGAAGCCATTTTTTCAGTTTAAGGGAGCTAGAAAAGTTCAGGTGTTCCAGGTGTGTTTAATGTTTAGCAACTTTGCAGGATCTTGTCTAAATAGCCAATAAAGAAGCCGCAGATAATTACGGGTCTTGAAAGGACCGGCGGTAAAAGTTGATAGAACACAATCGGCGACTTTTCTCAATCACGTAGTCATTTTGTAAATACTTCTCTCGGACGAATTACAAAAAAGCACACAAACGAACAACTTCTATCATTACATTACCGGATATACCACCCGTAACAATTAGGACTTAGTATAACAAATTTATTAATTAAAGGCTTACAATGCCAATATCCCTAATTCATGAACTTTTTTAAACTATATAGTTGTGAAAAACGGAGAACTTATATTATATTTATATCAAAAGTGGTCTACTGAATGTTGTGGTACGACGTGTATTTCGCAAATTATATTTTACCGCCCTTTTTTGCGCAGGTTGCCACAATGATTATCACCAAAAACAACGATCTACCAATCCTGATGGAACAAAAAAGAAAAGAGAAATCGCTGGTAATACAAGCCTTACAGTGCAGGACTTTTTCCCTGTTTGTTTGGAAACCGAGCTAACAGAAGACGAATCTTATTCAGGAAAGTCATTTGTCGGCGCTATCAATTTTGTCATATTTCATAGTTCTTGGTATGAATCGGTCAACAACACAATTTGCGAGTAAGTTTTTATTCACATTCTTCAATATTCAGGCATATATGAATTGATGATATCCAGAATGGTAAAGGAATAACGACAAATTTGTTACAGTCGGTTTTATTTTTAGGATACAAAGTACTCGCTGATAAAAACTAAAATTGGATATTTGACGTGGAATGGGATCTTAAAAACTAAAATGTCAATTTGGTAATTTCTACAGAGGGGGGAACGACACTGTAGAATGTTGGATGACAAATCTGGCAACGTTTATTGACGGAAATTCTCCTGCCTTCCGCGCAGCTCAAGATTGCGTCATCGATTACTACGAAGTCTATTACGGAGTATCTCTTAATATCACAGGTTTGTTAAATCATTCTGTTTCCGGACAGAATCCGGCAGAAGATTAAATAAACTTATTGCTAGAGATGTTCCAATATGAGAATGATACAAAAATATAATTAGTTTAAGGTTTGCCTAAATACTTTATACAAGGCTGTATCCAATTTACTAGCGACACTACATTATCCTATTCTAGCTACGTCCACTTGTATTTATATCTTTGGAAATCTCGTGGCTGTGGTCGAACGATGAAACATTTATACAGTCGAAACCCCGTCCCGTATAGTCGAAACTCCTTTTCACGCTTATTGCGCAAAATTATGCACCGCAGTTTTATTTCAAGGTCGTATTACTTCCTCACCACGTGCGATATTTAATCGTTTGCTTCGCGGTCTATGGCATTACTACATATTCACACGATAATTGTATCGGATTAATCGTTTTTACACAAGTTCGTGTTTCTTTCCTAATTGTTCCAGAATATCCAAGTGGCACTCCATACAATGAATCTGACAGCTGCGCTGATGTGGATGTAAACGAGTTTGAAACGGAGTTTATAAGTGATCTCAATATAACTGCTTTGGAATATGAAGACCTAACGGCTACCGATATCGACGATCTTCTACAATTTATCCAGTATGACATGATTTGCCCGTGAGTTACAATTTGTAAAAATTTGCGTCGGTTTTGTCGGTAATCGTTACATTTACTGCACTGAATATTACCTAAAGATAGAATATTTGTCAGTCAACATCATTCACACATTTCGTCGTTCTTTCGCTTATCCTTCCTCAATATTTCCGATCCTCTTTCTCTCTCTTGCTCTTCTTATGTCACAAAGTTAAATTTTCTGGTAAGCGTAGAGATTGCACCTGTGACGACCTGGATAACAACGACGAATATTTTGAAACTCTGGATTTTGAAGACGGTACTTCATGCGGTGATTGTTGGTCATCGAGGTTCGCTACCGGCATTCGACATGACTCTATTCTCCAGAAACCTGCATCTAAACTTGCAGCAAAAAAATTGGGCCTGAAGCCATGTAAGTAGGCCTACCGATTTTTTCATTGTTTTATTCAATTTTTGTTATCATTATTCTTATTATTTGTATAAAAAACAAAGAAGATACAAACGGCTTAAATAACTTTCATGTTTCAACTAGTTTTATGATAGCCTGAGTAGGTCAAGTAAAACTTAACAGAAATATATTTGAGCGAGCAGAAAGACAGGACACGACAGGAAAGCTATTTATTCATAGGCAGTCCGTAAAAGTCTTATCTTATACCAAACAAATTGAATTTTGTGTTGTTTTTCACACAGCAAACATATGTCCTCCGAAGGATATTGACTTTTCCTCAGAAAACATTGTTACAAATATACTTGGAATAAACGTCACATGCGGAATACAGAATACTACAATAAGGTACATACGATATTTCAATACATTATTATACATTTTAATCGTGCTGCTTTGGATATAAAGCTACAAATACCTTGATCTCGTTATTAGAAGTAAGACGAAATAAATAAACACTGCACGCCATTCACACACTGCAATCAAATCTTCCATAGTGACGTCATCGTTAATATAAAGGGATCCATGAAAGCAGGAATTCGCCAGGATTAACATAAAATTTCATTCTTGGATGTTCTTTCGAATATTGGTTTAATGTTTTTTCTTTTAGTTTATTCTATTTAAAAAGCGGGGTTTCCCAAAAATGTGAAGTTGTACATCGGGAGACAACCAAATATTTCAATATTGGCACTGTACAGTACATATGTGATTCATCCCCCTCTGTAAGAAATTTGATCGTGTAGGAAATTTCATAAGCATATTGTATTTACTTTTTAGCTTAGAATCTTGCGGTTTAGCTGATCTTGGATATGTAGTGGCTCAAGAAATTTTTATTAACGACCCCACGAAGGACACAGATCCAGAAATTGTGCCACCGGAGTGTTTTCCAAAACTTAAAAATAGAAATGGGAAGAATGACAAAATTGCCGTTTTCACTTTTCCAAAGCATGAATGCTGGGCACACGAGGACGTGAGTATAATATAATTCCCCATTTATGTCGTTTCATAATGCGCTTTACAAAGTGAGAAAGAATAGAACTTAATTAAGATTGCTAGAAGATATTGACCTCCAGTTAATCACTATATCGTTCGGTAATTTACTCCCGAACTAGCGACAAACAACATAATATGGTTATAATTGTTATCAGAGCGATACAATTGCTTTCCTAATTTATATTTTCTCACATTTTCTCAAGTACAATGAAACGCACGTGACATACACATATGCTATAAGAAATATGGAAGCGGAAGATTTATATTCAGTATCAATAATAGACCGGCACGTTGAACTTGATATCAATATTTCTTGTTCACATCCAAATGGAATTATTTCACTTCCATTCCCTGTGGAAACATTGACAAGGTATATTTCGATCCAAATGAGTTCAAATGTAGACCTTCTTATCAACACATTTCATCATTTAGTGTACTGATCTTATCCATATAAATCATTTATACTGTTCATTTTGGACCGTAAATTTTCAGTAAAATCATGGATTCTAATCAATGAATTTTATTAATATATCAAAGTTTTCCATTATACTCAGGGACAAATTGTAGAATAAGCCTCAAACTTGGCGTGAAAAGGTATTATATATATATACAAAGCTATTGCTCGCCTCTCGCATTGCCTGAAATCTCGTTTGTTCTGAAGAATACGGGAATTTGTGCTAGTGGGATGGTGCTCGAAATACGATGTTTGCTCATTGGTCAACCATCTTGTATATATATCCATACGTTAATTACTGTTTTGTTTGGAATTGGATGCAAACTGAGTAGAAGATAACTTTTTATTAGAATATTAGTTGTTTGAAGCTAGGTCAATTTTTTTGTATAATTTCAGAACAGCATCATTTCAATTATCTGAGCACTCGCAACCAGTCCAAGTAAAAATGGAAGCGTACAAGGATTCTCATTTTCATATACCTTACAGTGCCGAAAATGCAACCGTTGAGATACCCGATAATATTTGGATTAGGTTTTCCCACGACGGCGACGATTCTATTTTTATTGAGGTAACACTCAATATGATGAACTAAACATTTAACTTTTAAATATAGTAATACCATTTTGTGCTACACACTGGCTGCCTATTCGTTTATATATATATATATATATTGATTTGTCGTGGGGAGAAGCACATGCTATTCATCTGTTCGTGAAGCGACAAGAAAATGTCTGTAGTACTTTTCATATATAAAAAATATATTGGTTGTTTTGGAGCAGAGAAACGTAAGAATGATTAAACATATTAAATCAAATATTTTGAACTCTCCGGTGGAAGTTAATAAGCAGACACAGGAAGTTTATATATTTATATAATTAGGAATAAAGATTGACATAATCTGGCAAACACAATGTCTGTACAACCAAACAAAAAAAAACTTTAGCGATCTTGAGACCTTTCCATTAAAAATCAATAATCAATATTACCATCATTTTATTTTATATATTCAGGTTTTTGACTGTTGGATAACTCCGACAGCAAATATTGGGGACGAATACGCGTATTTTGTCGTATACGGAGGGTGAGAGAATTTAAAAATAACTATCACATTGTCTAGAGCAGGGATACTCAACTATTTTCACAAAAGGTCCATTTATGTGACTTCAAAATTACTGGGGTCCGGACATTTCAGAAAATTTATTTCATAAAAAAAAAATAAACTTAAATGCAATATTAATTAAATACAAGAGTAATGAATGGCTTACAAATATGGATACAAATGTCGCAAATCAGTACCAGTACGGCAACTATGGATGTTTCGTTTTCCTTGATTATTTCCGTAACAATGACCAATCAGCAAAAAGTCAACGATGACGTAATAATTAAAATTTTTGAGGCCGCTCAGACACTTCGTTCGCTCAGACTAGTGGTTCTCAACCTGTGGTACGCGGGAGCTCTTCAAGTTGTACGCGAGCAACTTTGAATTATTGCAACAATTAACCTTTCAGTTGGCTAAAATATGCCGGCAAAGCTGTATCTTCCTTACTGTATGTATTCGTTGAACAACGTTTATGAATGTTTCCCCGAGCATCAGTTTCCTTGTTTATTTCCGTAACCATAACCAATCAGCAATAAGTCAAAATGATGTCACACGTAAAAATCGTAATTCCTGCACCCGGCCCCTCAAACAGATATTCAAGCATGGTTGCAAAAATTTCATCGTTTTTGTAGTTTTGAGTGATATTTGTCAGTTTTCAGTAGTTTTCCAAGAATTCCAAGAACGCTTAATTGAGCGTGTAAGAGGCACGTCGTTGTATATTTCAATAAAAATAATGGTTTTGAGCATGTAAATCAGTTTGTAAGTGTCAACTCTCGGAAACACTCGCAAAATACGCATCCAAAATTTTGCAATAGTAAAGTATAGGGAGAATTTTTATGGGGTCAAAGGTCGGGAAAACATCCCATGGATTTTTACATCCTGTGTATGTTAAAAATATCAAAATCATCTGAATCTATAAAACGATGCTTGTGCTGCCAAAATAAACAAGCAGGCGCGGTCCAAATTGAAGGGTCGAAAGGTCCGGATTCGGACCGCGGTCCAACAGTTAAGTAGCCCTGGTCTAGAAGCACAAGCCTGTTTCCCTAACACGGAGTTCTCAGCCCAGTATTCTTCACTTTCCATTCAAATATTTAAAACTTTAGGGGAGTATTCACCCCCATATACGGTTGATGCAGTGTCCCGCGGGGACTCGTTGCAGCCTCTTGTTTTGAGGCTTCACATTCATAATCAATTTATTCAATATTTACGTTGGCAACATACAAGTTTACTCACATCACGCTTATCGCAACTTGAATTTGTTCATGTTCCTGAAACTTGCACGTTACGACGAATTATTCAAACAGGTGCCCAGAAAAAGAGAACAACGGTACCGGGACGAGGGACGCCGCGCTACAGCTGCGTACTTGTGTCAATACAACCGCGAGCTTCGGCTTCGCTTCTTTTAAATGGAGTGGGTTAAATCCAGATATTTATACGGATGATAACTCACTTCATCTTCATTGTGAAATTATTCTTCATCGATGGGATAATTTACCTTGTTATAATAAGGTTAGTATTATAACAGAATAATGCATTTTCGTTATACACCTGACGGTAGGCTATAAAATACCGAAAATATCAAATAATTCCCCGTATACTGCAACAAAAAAATTGGAAGCGAATGTATTTTAACAGCCAGCTACGAGCTTGTCCAAGCTTGATTAGTGTTGACCAGTTTTGCCAGAGACCGTTAAATTTAGTGATATTTATAGCAACGTGAGCTGTGCTACTTACTTCTATGGAAACTAAGTAAAGTAAAATTATCTCTTCCAATCATATATAAAAGCATGTTTATATACATACAATTTGCTATTTTTAAACAAAGTTCAATAAAACCGAACTTCTAGAAATATATGTATTTAACTTCGCTTAACTGCTTTGATTTATACAAATATTCTATTTAGTATTTAAGTTAATTTTTAGTCTTGTTCTCCACCACCTACTTCTCGAAAACGAAGACGAGAGGTTGAGAGATCAGCCGTTGATTTGCAAATGGGTCCGATTATATCGACTCTCAATAACTGCCCCAATGTAAGTATACAAGAATAGAACAAATGATAAATATATATAATTTAATACTTCAGAACGGGTCTCTGAGTTTATCATATCGTCCACAATAACCTGTGAATCATTTGTATAAACCCGTGTGCACGTGGGATGTATACCATTAAAATATTACCTTTCAGTTACTTTATCTCACCTCGCATGATTAATACATAAATGACCAGTAAACATAGCTAACGGAAATAAATTTCCGACACAACAAAAAGAATGTGAAGTTATCTTTAACAGGGCAGAATAACAATTAGTGATGATTCGAAAAAAAAATTATTGAGTGGTTTAAACATTAACTATATCAGCGACAGAGCAGTGTGTAGGTAGGGGTATATTTGCACTCTTGTTGGAAAAGAAATAAGTTTCTTTTTCTGAGCTTCAGTTCTGGAATAAAGATCGAAATTTTGAACGAGTGGAAGTCGCAAGTCCGAGTTTTATTTTTGGAGTCATACTCAAAGTAGAAATTTCCAACTTTCATGACTCTGCTTCTAAACCGACACATCTTGTCATCCTACATCCACTAAAACCCCTTCTATACATATGGCCTGTATTCTGCACATGTTATAATACACTTTTTAGAACGAATGCAACTGTACCCAAAGATGTTTCGGCTGTGATGATTACGGCAACTCAAACTGCGGTTGTTTAAATAATTACTTCTTAATGGACGACGGAAGAACGTGCGCGCTACTGGATGATAGTTGGTCACACGAAAGAGCTCACGGATAGCATTTATCATTTCTCCAAATAATGCAATTCTCACCAGAACTGTGCACCAATCAAATACAGAACGGTTATGATGAGGGAACAATCGAACATGTTAATGACAGATTTCTAACGGAGAAAGTCACCCTGCACTCTGTGACGAAGAGACTGGCATTACGACTATTTCCCTTATTTTTTGTATCATAAACCTCGCGTTATTCTGATAATCACCAGAACATATTTTCTTCAGTGCCCCTTCCCCCATGGACATTATCGAGTATAAGAACAAGTCATTCCTTCGCCGCCTCACCTATTTTTCTACTAGTATTGAAATTTGATTAAAATAAAATATTTATAAACTATGAACTAAATGATTAAATGCACTTATATGAGATGAGTCATTCCTGATGAGCAGGAAACCGATAAAACGACTTTGCCGTAAGATCAACCACGCCTCATTACTAGTTCAAATCGGGTTTGGGAATAGTCAACCAGTTATTTGTTCAGTTCCATGGACTTGGTGCTTGGTTAAATACTCAGTGATATTTGCAATTAAGCAACAGTGTTTTATCTCACATTCGTCACCTGCAAATATGATTACTTTTATGTTTATTACTTTCTAATTATGGTTTGCAATTTCAGGGTAAACAGCACGTGACCACCTTTCGTATGTCTCCAAAATTTGATTTATTTTATCTGAAAATATATAGAAACAGCAAAAAGCAAGACTTCCTCAATGAAGTATGTTTAATTAAAACTAATAAAATAAAAATGAAAGCAAGGTGTTTGTTTACATGTATATTCGAGTTGTGGTAATTTGAACCAATGAAAGTCTGTACAAAACTGAAAATTACTGAAGATACATATTACCTTTACAGCGACCTGTAGGCAGATTGATTAAATTTGACGAAAACGCAAATGGTTTTAAAATTGTTTTTTAGAATCTTGAATAATTTTTACATTCATCTGTAAATTGACCAATGTGCATTTTTACCCATGTAAGAGCAATTAATGTTGTACTGAAGTATATCTAACCATTGGAATCTTAGTTATATGAACCGAATCAACATTATTGTTTACTTTACTTTGTAAATGTTGATCAATGTGACCAATTTAAACACTTTAAATCATTTCAACTGTGGTGGTCATGCGTGTGAAGTAGGTTTAGAGGTAAGAACCAGATCAGGTGAGATAGCGATATAGGTCTATTTATATACTAACAGCATACTGTATTTGTGCAAATCGTCACTAATGGATCTTGGCAATTTCTTTACTTGGAATTGCTGCTGTGAAAACACTGCGCTCGAGGAATTTTGATGTAGTGACTTATGGTATGCAGATTTTAGAAGAAAATACTTTACTCTGATTAAAGCGACATGTACTATAATGCTTTTTATATTAATATTACCTTGTTGTTAATATTTTCTTCTCTCGAGAAAAACGCTTTTCTCTAAGACTACTATTGGTAATATAATTGTAAAAAATCTGATTAGGGTTTTGCTCTGCCTTATAAAATGTGAAAACGTTAACTAAGATTAACAGAACTTACTCAATGTTATTTCTATGAAATTAGTATGAACTGAGAAAAGCTGATAACAAAATAACTTAGCACGTGTAGACCACCCTTTGCTTCTGACTTGCGTAGACCGGTCCTGACTATGTTGAACAATAACAGCGACGGTCACGTTCAAAAACCTATGCGGAACTTACTAATGCTGTCAACTTCATTTCTGTTTATTTTTTCCGCATACGGAGCATTAGAAGGTATACTCACTCACTGAATACATTTTCTTTGTTTTTACTATTGTTTTTACTTTCACGCATCCAATTTATGATAAAGAGATCTAAATATTATTATGACTCACAAAAATCTATTGAAACTGACAAAGACACTTTTCGCGAATAAAGTAAACATCGACTGACCATTCCAACCTACGTTTATATATATTTTATTTGTAGCTGCACAGAGCAGTATCAATGCTGAATTGGGAGTAATTTCGTTGTGCGCTGTTTATGCTTCTTACACCGTATTCTCACTCCTGCTACCTCCGCTGGTAATCAGTCAATTGGGGAGCAGAAAAAGTATTGCAGTCAGCGTTATAGGTTACGCTGCTTACATTGCAGGTAAATATACTTATGATATTGTTGTACGTTTTATAAATATTATAATAACATATACGTAGAATTTTATTATTATTGATATATATATCTTTAGACGGCCGCGAGGTATGCGGATAGCGATTTTTAAATATTGGGGATATCTGGTAAGTCATCGGTTCCAAAACTTTTAGTTCGTGATCAGGTTGTCAGGAAAAAAACTCACTGCGCGGTTACACTAAAAAAATGCTGCTTCAAAATAAAACTCAGTTTTGTGATCGTTAATGTGTACTTTGAGCCCTGTTTGTAAACATGTCGGATTGAGAAATAAGAGCAAAACGTCAACTCTTCTCCCTCATCTTTGCTCGATTTGTCTTGGAAATGTTGAAAATATCACTCATGTTGGCTAAACTCAGTTCAGCAGATAAATAAAATAAACTGCATTTCGCAAAATTGCAGCAGGTAGTGTCTACCAATATTGTTACGTAATAATGGAAACATAACCTACGTATCAGAGAGTGAACGACATGGAAAGGTAAAATGAATTTATTGATTCATAGACACAGTATTTAAAATAATAAAAAGCAGGAAAACATGTATAATATATAAAACATTCACTCATATTTTAGTTATTTAACATAATTCTGTTAATTTTTGCCGTGAAATTGCCGTGATAAGCAATCAATATGGACGGACATGTTCTCTTTTTTCAGCTCATTTTTATCCGCGAGGATGGACTCTAGTTACAACTGGAATATTAGTAGGTGCTTCTGCTTCGGTGCTGTGGGTAGCCCAAAAAGTATACGTCACCAACTTAGCTTTCAATAATTGCGGAAAAATTAATAAACAGACGGAAAACACCGTTGGCTACTTTCATAGTATATTCATGGCGATATTCTGTGCTCGTGGAATCGGATCTATCATTATGTCAATATTACTCAATCGAGAAGCAAAGGTAGTTCAAAACGAAGACACTCCATTTTCAAGGTATACTTCCAAATTAACACTTTCAGCCGCCTTCACCTCCAGTTTTTTGCCACGAATATATGTAGATGAATAATTCAGCTCATTGTTTTTCAGGCTGATCCAGCCAATATCATTTTGGTGTAACATAATCACCTACTTCTTTCTTGAAGTAAAACGTCAAAAATATGTAATTGTAGTTTTGTGGCGATCACAGAACAATATTTTTATTTACAGCAATGCATCTTCAAGACCTTGAACAACAACAAATTCAGCTCATTGTTTTCAGGCTGATCCAGCCAATATCATTTTGGTGTAACATAATCACCTACTTCTTTCTTGAAGTAAAACGTCAAAAATATGTAATTGTAGTTTTGTGGCGATCACAGAACAATATTTTTATTTACAGCAATGCATCTTCAAGACCTTCAACAACAGTTAAAATACTAAATTTCAATACCACAGAGAATTTTCATGAAATATGCGGAGATCCAGCTAGTCGGCAATGGGAATCTTCAGACCCAACTGCTGAGACTAAATTAGACGTAAACATTGACAGCACCAAGTTGTATATAATGTTGTCGGTTTATATCGGATTCGTTATAATAGGATTTGTTTTATTGCTTTGTATTGATGAAATGCAAGAGTTCAAACTTCCTTCCGATCATGCCGAACAGATTGCTATCGACAATGAAGCTAATAAAAAATCAAACAGAAGCAAGGTATGTATACCATGTAATGTATGCAGTTATTAACTTGTTGTCAACTAAATCTGGACCCCGTGTTCGGTATTTAAAATATCTTTCAATTTTAGGTAACAAGACTAGAATTTGTATCCATATATGTATCGTCAACACAAAACTTGATGAAACGTCAATTATTCTCCAGCTACGCGCGTTTCTTAATTAATGGCCGACATATATTTAAACTTTAAAGTATCACAATTCCCAAATATATGAATACCATGATGACAAGATGAATACGATGATATAATAAGAAGCGATCAAAGTGAAAAATCTAACAACTTGTTTTATTTTTTAGATTTTGTCAACCGGTCGATTGATGACGTCTAACATTCAAATGATATTTCTCATACCGAGCTCGATACAAATAGGAATGTATGCTGCTGTTCCACTTACATTTTACATGAGATTCTGGGTGACCTGCTCATTAGGTAAAACGGTTGAATGTTTATCTATAATTTTTTAAAATACATTAGTCTACAACTCCGCCAAATAAGCAAATATAATATTACGCTACACAGGTGTTGATTACGTCGGATACGTTGCCTTCACGTACTCATTAATGTCATCAATAATGTCCTTAATTGCTGGCAGATTGCTAAAATACTTTCATAGGAAGACATTATTCTTTATTTCTTGTATATTGGAAATAAGCTGCTCACTCGTTGTCTTGCTATGGACTCCAGTGAAAGAGGTAAGATAACATTTAAAATTCAGTAAACAACGTTATGATACAATAATCGTCACAAACTTTATACGCCAGTTTGAAAATATCACATCAAAATGATTTCGACGTGGGAATTTGATCCGTTCAAATATAGCAGCTTATGAAGATAGTTTTTGTTTTCCATATACAGACCTCATACTTCGCTAGCACGGGTACATTTGTTTCATGAGTAATCAATTGTAAACTATCCGATTTAGAACTTGTAGTAGAGCAAAGCGCTTTCCAACGATAACGGCTTAGCGCTTCCGAAATTCAGTTATCTGTGATATGGCGGTGTAAGGTAACTCACTCGATGAATTCAGAAATAAAATATCATGGCAAAAAAAAATCTATTTTATGCCTCGATGTGCTATGTCGGAGAAGTGCGGTAATGTTTTGGTGGATATTCAACTCAGATACATTATTTTGTTATTGCTATCTTGTTATTGTTGGTAACCAATTTTGCAGGACGGCAACATTGCCATGTTTTTTGTATTCGGCGGATGGTTTGCACTGGGATATACATTACAAAAGTGCATAATCACAACTGCGTTCAGTTTATTTTTTATAGAAGATCAAGATGCTGGACAATCAGCGTTTGCCTTCTGTGAAGCTCTGGGAAGTGCTTCTGTGTTTGGATTGGCACCTTTTATTACGTTTAAGATACAATTTTTCATTACAACTACAATTTTATTATTGGGATTTCTGGGGTATTTTATGGCTGAACGCATACACTCGCGAATAAGCAAGATAAATGGCAATAAGGTAGAATTGTTGTTCTCGCCTAATATTAACGTCCAAAATTAGAAGAACAATCCAATCGAGGAGTCTAATTCAAATCTTGATATGTCTTGCTTGGACCACAATGCAGCATAAACAGCCAAAACGTGCCACAAATACGATCAACAATACTTGATAAGTATATCTTATTACGCTACATTTACTTTGTCAACTAGTTGCCGTATTTTACGGGCAATACGGCGAACCGTATTATAAGGCACACTGTCAATAAATTGCTTACATTGGGTTTTATCCATACATAAGCCGCATCGGACTATAAGACCAAATAGATTTCAAAGCAATACCGTACTGGATTTAAATGTAGGCAATAAAGCATAAATTACTACCTGATTGATTTTGAGCAAAAAGTGATTTTTATGGTCCCTAAAATACAGTACTTACAATATATAAGTGTACGGGAATCCAAGCCCGGCCAAGAGGTCAACATGTTGGAAGGAAAACAAATAATCTCACAAGGGGACTATTTCTCTATGTATTCATCATTTGCATAGATGTACTCGCGCGTGTCCGTGTTTATTTATTTTTTCAAAGTGACTTCTACTGGATTTCCCATTGGTATTTGTGATACTCGCCCTTGCAATAGCCTGCAATATTTTGTTTATTGCTTTGTTTCAATATAGTCGGCCGGAGTACTTATCGTGACAACACGTATTCCCTCGTTGTAATTTATTGGATCTTTTGTACGAAGCCCATCCCACTAAGGCAATATGTGAGATCTGAAAAAAATCCTTGCCACGGTATTAGATAACAAATTAAGAATTATCCAATTAGGGTTCGCGTTAAAAATGATTTGAATTTCCGGCGCAATCTGCATTCCAAGCACTCACACTAACTGGATAATTGCTATTTTATTTTTATTCTGAGCGGTGGCGGGGTTGTTTTTTGTGGCGACTTGTATAAAAGATCCAATTTGTTTTATGGTTCAACTTTCTAAGTAGTGTGTCGTTTTTGAAATGCTCTATAAATATACAGTCAATCAGCATACTGACGTACTAGCTATTTGATGACTCGTTCAATGATTTTTGATAATTCTTTTATTTAATTTTAACTCCCAATGAGTTGTTAACTTCCTATATATAATTCTGAAATGATCAATTCGCATGGTTCGTGGTTTGATTATATTTATTAAAAACCGCCTTTCCGTGTCAAATTTTTCATAAGAATTTGTTTTCAATAAATAAAATATTGCAAAATGTCCATCTCACCATTTTTTTACGCATAATAGCATTAGGCAACTGCCACAATATGCAAGCAGTGAGCATGATGCTCGTCGGGTACGGTCGCAATTTCGGGATTCGATTTAAACATTCTGAAATCCGGATTTCTCCTCATAATCTTCCAATTTTCGCGATTGAAGCAGTTTAAAAAAAGTACACACATAAGCTGAAGTTTGGAAAGTACACGGATTTATTTTTTTCCTCAATATTGACGCATAAATGGTACTGCGTTAAAGCTGTTTTTTCGGCGGCTTCGGTTTTACTTGTAAAGTAGCCTATAGCCTGATTCTAAAAAAGCAAACGTTTTGAATATATAGTAGCATTTCTTTCTGCACCATGTGGTAAGTGGGAAGGCTTTACACTATGTTTTCGTATAGCGCTCAACAGTGAAGCGTGGATCAAAATTGTAAAAAATAATAATTTCGACACAAAATACCTTTAGTGAGTTTGCGATTGGCGTCTCCATGGGAGTTATATCAAGTGAGACCTCTTCAGTACCCTGGCTTGATTTTTTTACATTCAAGTTGTAACAATTTGAAAAAATGTCCATCGAAACATATTATTCAATAAGCTCATTTTATCCAATATCAATTCATACACCAGTTTCACTTTTAACTAGGCATTTAACTTCAAGGTCTTAGGTCATCATTGAACACTCTATATATATATCCCGGCTCTTTGGAATTTTCGAAAAGCAGCATTGAATTTAAAATTAGCAGGTAATGCCAGATTGAACGCATGTTTCTGCATATTTTTATGGTTTATTAGCTTTGTACAGTTACTTCGTTGGATCGTTGAAAAGAGCATCTTAAACAAATTTAAATTTATCAAGCTGAGACGTGGTGACATTAAATTCCACAAAATAGCACCTACGAAATTGACCTGCATTTTATGCCAGACTCTATTGTTCTCATTTCTTTTGTCGCATACAACTTATGATTAACAACTGTGTGAAAGAACTGTGTCAAAGAACTTTTACATATATATGTCGTTTATTGTTTACGTTCTTAGAACCTAATCTTTTTTGTGTCGTGGTCCCACCCAACGTTGGTTTTCGACAAGTTCATGTCTCGAACAAATTTTTACTTGTTTCGTACAATCTTTTGTAAAAAACACAAAAATGCAATTTATGCTCTATTCCCATCCCTTCACATCAGAACCTGGGACATGAACGTGCCATAAACTGCCTATTGTACATATCATCGTGGTGCCGCACCTCTTTGTCCTGTGTATTGTACTTGTAGGCTACAAGAGTTTTATTTGTATATTTCACGTCTGTTGTCCTACTATAACGCAGCAGTCCTAAACTGCAGTTATACTTGTTGGGATGCATGTCCACATCTGTGTCTTGGGCCAGTAAGGTCTTGCACATGTATCCCGTCTCTATTATACTGTTTAACTATTATGCAGATACTGTTACATTTTTGAGGCAAATAAACATACATACATGTAAGGGTGGATGCTTTCAATCCCATTCCCTGCTACCGAGCACAATAAAATGTAGAGTTAAAAATTTAAATACTGCTCGTAGTAAATGAGGGTCTCTAACAGAAGTTCAAAGGTACAATTATGGTTATTGTATTCCATCATGACGTCACATCCTCAAAACGAATCGACTCGATTTTGTGACCTCTTACTCAAATTCGAAAAACACCGGACTCGTCCGATCCCTAAAAGTAATAGGTAGTCCCATACACCGAGTATGGCCCAACAAAAACAAGTGTGGGCTGGCCTCATACGAGTGTGGGCTAGCGTCACACGAGTGTGGGCTGCCCTTCTAGCAATGTTAGACAATAAGTTAAGGCTTCTAAACGTCTTCAAACTACTAAATTACACAAATTCATTCTAAATCAGCACCAGAACCGGTAGTTGATGGTAGAAAGTGGCCTCAATAGCCAGAAAAATAGTAAATTGAATTAGTCAATATTTTCCGATAATGGTTTTTTAATTCAAATTTTAACAGATAATACGGAACGATCCAGAAACAATATCACCGAGAAAATAAATTCTATTAATATATTGTACAATATCTCAACAATATTAAAGTTAAAAACATTTTACTGGCTCTGGGCATTCTATGCTTCCCGCTAATGATGTTTTATGTCTAATTTCAACAGCTAATTAAATTGATATATTGTATTTTTCTACATCGGAAAGCATCGAATACATTGAAAAGCGGTATATTCTAGTTAAAATTTGAAATCTTTCCCCTCTGTGGAATGTTTTCATTTTTGCTTATTGTTGAGATTTTTATGATATAATAATATAGCTTTTATATTTTATATTATTTAAGTTAGTTTTTCTTAGTTTTCAATGAGCTGTCGAAATTTCACATAAAACACCTTTATCGTGAAATATTGACTACGTTGAAATACGCTATATTCTAGTTAAATTTTGAAATCTCCCCCCAAAAGGTAAAATGTTTTCATTTCTTTGATATTTTTGAGATATAATACAATAAATCAATTTCTTGATGATGTCATTTTTAGATCGATCTTAATTAGCTGTTTGAATTGGACAAATTTTTATTAAAAAATGTTGGATACGTTTAAAAGCGTTGTATTTCATTTAAATTTTAAAATCTTACCTCCCAGTGAAATGTATTTATTTTTTGATATTGTTGAGATGTTTTAAAATATATTAATATAATTTAATTTCCTGCAAATGTTTTTTACTAGATCGCTTTTAATTAGATGTCAAAATTTGACATAAAGCATATTTAGCGGGAAATATTGACTACGATTAAAAGCGCTATATTCTAGTTAAACTTCGAAATATTTCTCCACGGTAAAATGTTTATATTTTTTTATATTATTGATATATTTTACCGTATAATACAATATTTCAATTTCCTGTGGATAGTTTTTTAGATCGTTTTTAATTATCTGTTGAAATTAGACATATAACATCATTATCGGGAAACATTGAATACGTTGGTTTGGTAAGCGCTATATTCGAGTTAAATATTGATGTCTTGCCCTCCGGGTGGAATGTTTTTATTTTTTCAGAAATTGTTGCGATATTTTACAATATATTAGTATAATTTAATTTTTCGATGATGACGTAAAATATCATTGTCGGGAAATATTGACTATTTCAATTTTCTATTTTCCCGGCAGTTTCGGCCTCTTTCTGGCATCAATTGCAGGACTCTGTGTGACTGAAAGGTTACTGGTCGCTGATTTCAGGATTTAGACATTGATTTATGTACGTTAATTTAGTTGTTTGTAGACGTTTAGGAAGCCTTACCGGTACCTTGCCTTCTATCATTGTTAGAAGGCCAGCCCACACTCGTGTGACGCCAACCCACACTCACTCCAGCATTCGCTGACTCGCGTCTCGTGTGACCTAAAGTCTGAAAGTGACTACCGGTATACGGTATAGTCACTTTGGTGTGACGGCGACGCTAGACCACACTCGTTTTTGTTAGACTATACTCGGTTATAACTCGGCTGTGCCTGGTATTGAACATGCCTGGGATAGTCTATATCATGGGTCGGCAACCTTTTTCGGCTCGCGTGCCAAAATCAGATAAATTTAACGACAAAATTCTTCCGCGTGCCGACCAAAATTAAAAACATACCGGTACCTTTGCTACTTTCAAAGCAAACATAAAAAATAATAAACCTTTTAAACATGTACAGACAGGTTCACTATTTGGGAAAAAAAAACAGTCTGACAAATAGACTTGATTACTTTTTTTATTCAATATCAGTGAGACCTTTGCTGCTGCATTAATGCTGATAGATATTTTATATTGGGTTTGTATTTTCTAACTTTCAAATAAATACACGGACTATCGGTACCGGTACCGGTACTGGTTTCATCTTACAGGTTACTCCTATTACGAGACTTATGAAGTTCATAACTGAGAACAGAGATTAATAAGCATATGTAGATGAAAATATGTAGAATTGTAGAGTAATGCAGTTGCAAAGTTTTTAGGACACGGAAAATTTTCGGGAACGGCATCCCAATCATGCAAGCAATAGTTCGTTTTGTGCATTTCTCTCTTGTTACCTTCCCTAATCGCTTATACTTCTTTTGAAATCATTTTAGAACAGTGAGTTAGCAAGTGACTATAACCAACGTGGGCTGTTCCATTTTTAAATCAAGCAGAAATGACAAAAAAGGGTGGCACAGACGGTCTATTTTATGTAAGAGTGTAGCCAAATGAATGCTGAGTGAATGCCAAATGAATTCTCGACAAAATTTCGCAAGAGCTCACTCATTTGTTACGTCACAATTTATTCTTTGTAGCCATATGTCATGAAAGGACAAAAAGAGTTTAAATAAATACCGGATTGTTAACATTCGATAATGAACAAACGAACACCTATTTTCATCAGATAATTCATAGTCTTAAAACTTTTTATCTAAAGGAGAATGATCTCGTTTCCGAGGCCTCGCTCGCGTGCCGAATAAATGGGCTCGCGTGCCAAGATTGGCACGCGTGCCAGGGGTTTCCCACCCCTGGTCTATATCATCTATGGTCTGATGGTCTATATAGTCTATTATCGGAGCAACCAAGTTTTCATGGAATAACGTTTATAACTGTATAAAGTGAGTAAAATAGTTTGGTTAACCAGTTGACTGCAGCCAGTCTGGATTTCATGGCCTTTTTGAACGAGAAAAGAATTCCTGGCGTGCAATTATAGCTCACGGCGTGCAAAACAACTGTGCCCGTTTGCAACTGACTTCGACATTAGATACCTCTCAATACATCCGCGTAAAATTACCGGTATTGGATAAAAATACGTTGAATCACAGCAAAAATGGACATCTGACCTTTGACCCCCAAACATTATTTCTACAGTTTGTCGCTAGTTTTGAGAGTGTTTGTGCGACTTTGGATACCGGTACTGTTCAGTACATCCGCGTAAAACTATTGGATAAAAAATACGTGAAATCAGAGCAAAAATGGACGTTTAACCTTTGACTCCAAACATCATTTCTATACTTTGTCACTAATTTGTATGTTTATGCGACTTTAAATACCGGTACTGTTCAGTACATCCGTGTATATTGTATAAAAATTCTGCTGAATCAGAGCTGTAACTGGCCAGCGTCGGTGAGGAGGCGATCTTTTCGCCTATAACTATTCTCACGGGATTCCTATCATTCAACACGATATGGTCTTTTTTGGTTCGCATTTCCCGATCAGGCCTAATCTTGCAAGCTAGTATTAGTCGACAATTGTGGAGTTATAATTTTTTGACATCTTCATATTACTGGATTATTGATTTAAAGACCAAACCGATTTACATTTGTGAGCAATTGCAAATTTTCGGCGTGCAAAATGGAATTAGCTCGCGTGCATATTTGTGGAGCGCTAGCGCCCTCGGGCGTGCACCTGCCATGGAATCCAGTCTGGGACCGCAGGATGAGTGTGGACTGGGGTGACTTCTGGTGCTCTGATGTGATAATGGTCGCATTCACCCTCATTCACTTATTGCTCATTTGCTCATTCACTCATTGCCACCCGTTTTTTAATGATAATTCGACAAAAGGCCTTCCGGAAGGTCTTTTGGCCTTCCGGAAGGCCCTTTTAATCAAATAGTTTTGAAACCTGATTTCGTGTAGTTTGGTTTTGAATTTTCTTTAACTTATGGTATTAATTGATTGCCAGTTACTCATGAACACAATCATGGGTTACAATTTCTATAAAACATTTTAGTTTTTTATCACTGACCTATTTACTTTTAATAAAAATTTCAATTATTTGAAAAATTTGAAAAAAATCAATTTTTTAAAATCCTCATTTCTCAGATAAAAAAACCTTTGTGATCTAATTTTTTCATGTTTATGAATTTCTTGTATCATGTTGTTGCACTGAAAAACTAAATTTGCTAACAGAAAAAAGCGCAAATACAATTTTTTTTGTAAATTATAAATTTTTCATCAAAAATTTTAAACGATCAGTTTTATAAGAGGGATTATTGTTTAACTATATTCAGTTAGGTACATTTTTTTCTGTAAAAACCCAGAACACAAATACCTAATACCAAAAAAAACTTCGAAAATTAATACTAACACAAACAACATGATGTATGGGAGACCCTTTCAAAATTTTTCTTGAAAAGGGCCTTCCGGAAGGCCCTAAGACCCGGTATCTGGAAACCTAAAAACCTTCTATTTTCAGTAATTAGAGAATGTACCACTATCAAATAAATAAGTAATATTATTTTAAGCCATGTTATCTGAAAAGAAAGTTACATTTTTCGTTTTTGATGGGAGGGAAGGTGTTCCCCAAATGACAGCTGGGCATTAATTTTCAGTAAATGAAAGACGATCACTCATTGAAAGTCAGCGCCTACTTGGACAATAAAAATTTTGAATTTGAAATGTTTACTCGTCATGTAAAGAATATCATGCAAGATTTAATTGGTATGTTGTCTTTATTAATGAAATATAACATCCAAAGATGAGCATTTATTAGTAGAAAACCCATGTTGCTCTAAATTGACAGTGGTCACAAGAGCGCATTAGTTACGCATCTTAGAAGGATCCAAAGGATCCAGTACCCACATTATAATGATGACAGTGACAAATTTCAAATAAGTTTCTGCTACTTGCAGTCTAGGGATATTTCCAGAGTGCCATTCTCATTTTGTTTCTAGCTAGTTAAAATTATCCTTTTATCAAATCTATCTGCAAAAAAATTTGGAAGTTTGGATGGGCAACTTACTATACAATTAATAAATTCATCCTAAGGCTCTGTCTCCACTTTGCCTATCATTCTCTGCTGTAAGGGGATTGTATCCATGTCTTAATCAGACTCTATGTCTTATTAATCAGACTCTGTCACTTTCTTCGTCTGAGAATGAAAATACATTCATCTCTGTTAGTTCACTGTCTATGCTGCATGCTAAGAAAGCACTCAGCACATTCACTAACTTCCTTTGCTTTCTCAACTTCAGAATCCTAACTCTCAGTCTTTTTTGGTTGCTACCTAAACTGCTGTTTGGTTGTTCTTCATTCATTCAAACCAAAGCTACTCTCTGCATTGTGCTCGAAGTAATTTCCTAAGTCGAATCTTAAGTTCTTTCTATGTTCTCTTCATCTGAAACTCCAGGTCTTAAATCTTTATAGTCTATTTCACACACTGTAATATTATAACACAATTCACAATGTAATATCATAAAATTTCACTCCAGGTTTCTCTAAAAACTTGAAAAGTATCAACCCAGAAACCACATCCAATCACAAATTATAATGATACTGTATGTAGTAGCAATCAATTTTTAAATTTGAAATATCCTTCTGTATAGCTTAAACTCAATCTAAATATATTTATTATGTTAATCAATAACATAAAATGATAATTTGTGTTTAATTTTGGCTTCCCTTCGAAAAAACAGGCTTTCCTCTCAATATTAAGGGTCCACATCGACATATATAACTGATTATTTTTGTAGGGCCTTCCGGAAGGCCCTAACATTTTCTGTAGTAATGTCCAACTTTTATATATCATTAAACATTCTGTATTGCATTTTGTTTCTCAATAAATCAAGTAACCAACATGAAATCATGCCTCGTGCAAAAAAAAGTACCTGCAATTACGAAGAAAATATTTTTTGACACCGGAACAACAAAAACTAATCTAATATTCTGATCAATAAACTAGGTAACTTGCTTATAATTGGAGATAGGAAGACAAAATAATGACTATGTCATCTGGTAATCGCCAGGCTTGCAACTACAACTTTTATTGCTTTCATTTAAAGCCCTGTATTCTTCAATTTGGTCAAAATAGTTGAATAGTGTAAAAAAAACATAGGGCCTTCCGGAAGGCCCTTTTGTCTACATGTTTATACAAAATTTACGACATTATCGAGTGGTAGCAGTTCATTCCAATCACATTGCAATTGTTGTAAATCTATAGAAACTTGCAAAACAGTAAAAAAAAGTGCCTCGATTAATACCTGGGTTGCCCATAATTGCGATTTTTGAAAAATATATAAAAATTTTCATAGGTGACAAAAAGTTCTTATTTTCAATAGTTGAGCAGACTAATAAAAACTATATATGTGCAGTAGCTGTTAAGTGTCTGTAAATAACCTTTAATGAACTATTCAAAGCTGAAAAACTAAGAAGTTTTTCTGCTATATAGTACTGTGAAAATTTATTGTAAAAATGACCTAAAATAGGGCCTTCCGGAAGGCCCTTTTTCAGTCGAATTATCATTAACCACTATCTTATTGCATTTACATCAAAATTAATTCTACAGTTCTAACTGATAACGTAAAACACTTAAAGCGCTTTGCGCAGCTTTCTGCAAAATTGCAGATTAAAAAAGCCCTCATGACTCCAACTGTCAGCCTCTAGGTTAGTCGATACAAAAATACTCTGCTGAAATATGTTAGGTAGATCTGTAGATGCATCTGACTGTGATCTTGGGGTTATATAGATTTTTCGTAAAAGTATTTGTGATGTCCTATAGAATTTAATTTATATTATGAAAAAACCTCTTACGCTAACAAAATTACTCATAGCTTGCGATTTGGTATGTGGTACCGTATATTTTTTAATCCTTAAAGTCTACTGGACTTTATTGATACTTTTCTAACTTCATATTTTCATGGTTTTAAAGCAATGCTATTTTTGAAAATATCCTATAGGCACGATAATACTGTAATAATATATAAATAAAAATCTTGCATGGGCATAGACTAACGTACTACTTCTCCCGCAAGCATGGATAATATAGACAAACTCTTTAGTGAGCTAATAGCCAAGGATGTACCAGCATTGGAGGATCTACTTAAAATGTTATCAACAGAAGCCCAATCAATGACAGAATTTGTGGATACTTTGTTACAAAGACTTGATGAAAATGAGTTGCCAACTGAGGGAGGAGTATCATTACTAGATGTAAAATATCATTCATTATTGAGTTATATCATAGATCTCGTATTCGTCACAATAAAGAAGATTCAGGGAGAAAATATTGCAGACTGTCATGCGAAAAATCGCTTGGTTGAAAACAGGACTGTGCTTGAAAAGTTAAATCCATTAGAACACAAAATTAAATACCAAATTGACAAACTGCTTCAGCAATCGACCCAAAATTTATTGAATGATCCACTGTCATTGAAACCTAATATTGATAATTTAGAAAGCAAAATTGATAACGATGAAAGTGGTAATTCAGATGATGAACAAGAACCTAAGAAATATGTTCCTCCACGAATTGCAGCTTCACATTATGATGTAGAAGATGGAAAAAGCGAGCAAGAAGACCGTCGATCAAGAGAGCGTGCTCTCAAGCGATCTTCCATCATCATGGATCTCGCACAAGAAACTTCAGATGCTCCTTTTGAAATATCAGAGTATTCAGCAGGGAGAAAGCGGGTTCAAAAAGAAAGAGCAGAAAGAACAACTTATGAAGAAGCAAATCTCATCAGGATTAATCTAACAAAGAAACAAAAGAACGCTGAAAGACAGCTAATGAGACGGTCAGAGCTTGACACAATCACAAAGTTTGGCGATATTGGTGTTCTTGAGGGACGTCAGATAAAAAATAATAACAATAAAAGGAAAAGTACTGGAAAATATAATGGATCAAAAAAATGGAAAAAATTTAGAAAGTAAATTTAGGATTATGACAAAAATGAATTTAGATGATAATTCTTGGGTGGCATATTTTCCAATTTTAATAATACCAGCGAAAAAACTCAGATATACAGTGAGCGGTCTTTTTCATCATTATTTCTTACAAGATTTTTGTCTTTTTGTAGCATTCAAAGTTCTGAATTTAATTTGAAAATAGGAAAAATCATATTCAAAACATCGCTTCATGATGTTGATTTGTCATTTCCAGGTTTTTAGTTATAGTCTTAGAATTCATAGAAAGTTGTTATTTGGAATTATAGTGCCAACCTTGTGTCTGTTAATAATCAATTGTTCAATAAAACTTAAATGAAGAATGCCCAGAAACCTGCACTGCAGATTTTTAAATTGTGACTTAAACTTTTCAACTAATGTTTATTTTGAAGCAGTGGTTCTCAAACTGTGAGGCACCCCACAAGGAGTGCATGGACAATTTTTTGAGGGGGCGTGAAGCTAAATAAAAATAAAAATATTTGTTAGATCTTGTCCACCTTATTTTGGGTATTTGATTTCTTCATTTTGGATATTTCCGTATGTTCACGTATTTTCAATATGTTTTTTGAATAAAACATATTTTCGCCTTACTATCTGTCAATTGTAACTTATTGTTACCGGTAGTTATTTTTGAGGTGGGGTGCGAGACTTGATGAATTCTAATAAGGGGACCAGCTTAAAAAGCTTGAGAACCACTGTTTTAAAGCATCATTGGAGAAATTTTTTTTGTTTTAATTGAATTCCACTTACAGTATACAAATTTATTCGAATCTACTTTAGATTCAGTTCTTGTCTTGTGTTTTTGACTCACCACTTCAATATCAATATTTCCACAATCATGAATGTTATCAATTTTTTTTTTTCGTTTAGTGGTTTTGCTATTTCACTAATTAATTTGTAATGTATGAGAGTTTTTATCTAAAGTAACACCAAATGCTTGGATTACGAACAACAGCACGGGCCTTGCGGTCATGGTGTAACAGGACTTTAACGAATTCAAGTGCAGTGAAATCAGATTCAAAAACAATGTACTTTAGCAAAAAACTATCTTTTTCGAATATTAATAAATCCTGCCGTTCTCAATCTAACTTAAACTTTTGTGGAATAAATAAAAGAGATTATTCATCAACTGCAACTCAAGAACATGAAGAAGGAAGAGATGCATCATCTCCAGAAACTGTTCAAATCACATATATAGACCGTGAAGGTGAAACCCATGTCATTGATGGTAAAGTTGGTGACAATGTCATGTATTTAGCCCAGAGGCATGATTTGGAGGTTGAAGGGGCATGTGAGGCATCGCTGGCATGTTGCACATGCCATGTTTATGTCAAGGATAAGTATTATGATATGTTGGAAGAACCAACAGAGGAAGAAGAGGACATGTTAGACCTTGCACCATTTCTTCAGGAAAATTCTAGACTTTCATGCCAAATAATACTTTCTAAAGAAATAAATGGAATTGAAGTTCAATTGCCATCAGCCACACGGAATTTTTATGTTGATGGTCATAAACCAAAGCCTCATTGATATTGAATTATTTGAATACCATTAAACCGGAGTAGGAGTATATAAATTCAAGCATATATTTTAAAATTCTAGAAATCGCAAAAGTTCTCATAGCACATAATAATTCAAGTCACCATGAAATGAAAGTTGGCTATCTAAGAAGCATTTAATCATGTTTCACTGTTTTATATTTACAACGGACTGATCTTCATTACAACGGGTCGCGATGGCCTAGCCCTAGTGGTTAAAGCATTGGACTTTAGCATAATCTAATCATAAAAGGTTGAAAATCACGGGTTCAAATGTCATACTTACTCACCCAGTGCATAATAAATTGAGTGGGCAATTAATGGCTTGTACAGAGCCTTGTTCGTGATGGAAGGATATATATAATGTTGAATAAAAAATATATTAGATTGATCTATTTTAGTATCTTTCTGTAGTTATGGCCATATTAAGCCTTTATTTGGTATATTATTTATTATTGGGCGTAAAAATTGAGTTACTGGTTTTGATGACTAACTAAGGGCTGGAGAATATAATCATGTTAGGTTTTTAAATTGTTTGGGTCGGTATTCAATACTGCGAGTAATTACCGTATTGGTGTAAAATTCACCCAATTATTTTTAATCTTATTGTATATTGAATAATATGCATGATAATTTTAAATGCATAATTGCCATTTTTGTGCTTAAATATAAAAAAAAATTTCTGAATGTGAAGTAATCATCGTCTTGAAATCTCATATTGGAATAGTTTTATTCTCCCCCTTGATCGTCTACTTTTTATTAACAATTTTGTTGGTCATTGGGCCTTATTTTACGATATATTGAGCTAGGGATGGCTAAAAAAAATTCACCATGCTTATTGAGACATATTATAATATTGTTTTTGATTGTGGAATATATTTTAAATTGGGTCATAATCAACAGAAGTCAAAGTATTTAAATTTGGAGTTGTAGAAAGTTGAGAAGAACTGTGATTTAATTAGTACTCTATTTTTATAATTTTTGGAAATTGGGACTTTTCGATCATACTGGGATTCTGTGGAACACCAATTGCCTTACCAAATGAACTATTCTGAATTGTTCCAATAAATCAAGAATTTTTTATATGGAATATACTGTAGTTGGTTTTCAAATCGATTGGAATATTCGATTCGCTTTGTGACATCCCTGCACTAAATTTATCCATTGTATTTATTCTCCCAAGAGTGAGTAAAAAATCCGGTTCAATGTACATATTCAGCTGAATGTACATGATTTTATTATATAAGATTTGCCATTTTTCGACCGCTGTGGATGCAATTGGTACAAAAGAAACATAAATCAAGTTGTTTGACCACCATTTGCCTAGAATCTCTACTCGAAATCTGGACACATTAGGTAGGTTGTACCTTCTTGGCCAATGATTTTCTTACAAATGCTGCTCATGACAGTTTTGCTGTGTTATTTTGATGACATTTGTTTGTAAATTCGAGGTAACAAAGTTCAAACTGATCGATATACTCCCATACTTTCTGTTCTAGGCAGGCCAGAGAGTATTTGATCTAACACAATAATTGTTCCTCATTAAATTGCTTATTTTCTGTGTTAATTTTTCACTTTCTGTTGTTTCCAAACCACAGTTTTAGTTGTAAAAAAGTGCAATGTATTTAAATAGGTTTTATCAATGATTTTATTCCTGATTTTACAACATGGATGAACTTGTTCAAGATCTAGTATCTGCTTTGGATGATTCATCATTATGGAAAGAAGAAATTGATGAACAAGGCGACATGTCGGCCGCAAGTTCTGCAATCGATCGGGAACTTTACAGGAAAAGAAGAACAAGGAAACGCAGAACTGCAAGCACAAGTTCACATCTTGTGTCAAGTATTCTCAACAACTTGGTTGTAGTTAATCAAATTCACAGCCCTAGGAGTAGCTCAAGCCTGGATGAAGCGGTGAAAGACTATGTTGAAAGCTTTACTGCTAACTGTTCAGATGAATCAGATTCCTATACTAATGTATGGAATACTAAGCTGAAAAATGTTGTTTTATCTAGTGGTTTGCAAGACAGAGTTCATCACAAACGTGTTTTCAAACAGGCGACACCATGTAACTGTGAATCAGATTCTCATACAGAAAATGGCATTACTATTCCGGTTTTGCGTAAGCATAGGAAAAAGAAATTGAAAAGAATGACTGTAGACAGTTCACTGCCAGGATTACTTAGAAGTTCTCCTGGTTCTAATTCAGCTTCCTGTAATGATAATCACAAAAATAAACAGCTTAGTAAATCCATACCTCACCCATCTGGTGAGGAAACCCACAAAATGTCATGTAAAACGACTAAGTTGAAAAAAGAACAGAAAACTGCAATTACATGCTTGGTTTGCTATCAAAAATCATGTGATAAATTATTTCATAATCATACACAAGACAAGAATGGTTTGTGTCTTACAAACTCTGGTAATGACAAAGTGATGCAATGTGATAAAGCAAACTTGAAAGCAGATGAAGTAGTTTCATGCCAATGCGATTGTCATGCGAATCTAAACAAAGACGAAAGCAGTATCAGCAGCACAAGTAGTAATTCCGACACTGATTCTGCCAATTTTACACAAGATGATGTAGGTGTTGACGGAGATGATGAAATGACAGACTTTTATGCAGAAACAGATGGGGGTCCTGTTTGGGGTATACCGAACCTATGTGGCATGCGTTGCCCATCTTGGAGCTCAAAAGATGAATCAATGTGGGCTCATCAGGTTATACTACGACCTACTAATATTTTTTTTATTTAGTATGTTATTTGTTGTCAATTGTGCAATGAGATCTCTTGATATCATATGCCCCAGTTTTGTCACTGCAAACCCATCATTGTTACCGAGCATGGCTAACTTATGGTATAAAACATACTTTTGTCCATAAATATCATTTGGTAAATATTCGAATATTCTACCTGCTCGAAAATTTCTATAGGCAGCTAATAATGAAATGTTTGACCGAAATCATTCATATATTTACAGGCAGAAGATGCTGGTATTCCCGGTGGTCCTTATGTATTTGATGAAAAAATTAAAAGATTTGTAACAGGGTCTATGCATATATCAGAATATTCTAGAAGAGGTAAGAAGTGATATATCTTGCATTGTGCAAAATTAATAAATACAAGGTTTTTTGATGACTAATTGGAAGAGATGACTAATCATACCTTGCTGCTGCAAATATGTTTATTTTTTATTTCCAGTTCTGCAATCGACTGATGTTATTTGCCATTTGATAAATGCAAAGGGGTCCTATGGATCATTTTGATCAATCATTATTGGGACAAAAAATCAAATTTCTGTTGACGTACTGGGCCATGAAAGTGTCTACTAGGTCTGGGGTTCTCAAATATTTTGGAGTTATGGGGCCCGTGAAGAAGTTGACTATTATTTACAGAGCCCCCACAATAAAATTATAAAAATGCTAATTATTTGTTGAAACTTATATAGATAATGTCATATTTGAATTACCGCCTTGTTGTTTTGGCGCTACCAGTGGTAAATTTTATTAATGCCGTTATTGCTTCCTTGGACAGTTACAAAATTAGCAAAATCAGTATTGAAATATTTGAACTAATAACTCGCGGAGCCACTAGAAATCTTTCATGGGGCCCTAGGGCTCCGTATGAAGCACTTTGAGAACCTATGTACTAGGTTATTAGCGCTTTTAAAATCTTTCGAATTTTTTCTGGATCTCTCAGTACTCTTTATGCTCTAACATTTTTTGTTGCTTTCAAAAAATGTTCCACTACTAACTTATATTATAGATTGGCAAATATTGTGATGATACTGTTACAACTTCATGACCATATATTAGAGCATTACATTATAAACATGTTCTAATTGTAGGTTTTCATGCAAGAAATAATAGACTCCCTGGAATGGCTGCAAGATCAGTTCGTCGTGGACGAAGAAGAGCTAAAGTTAAGGTACCTGTGAACTTCAATTATAAGTAACTTCGGAATTATGAAATAAGACTTAGCTAAGCTAGGTTTATTATAACAGATTTGTATAAATGATAATATAAAAGTCATATTTCATGCAACTCATCTGAAAGACCGACTCGTTAACTATTCCCATACTTTACATAGGCGAATCCCTAGACTAGAGATGTTGGTTTGGCTTATGGTCATCATATCATCACAGTGAGATATTTTAATCACAGTGAATCATCTAATATTGATTTGGAATCAACTCCAATTTTATATGTTTGCAATAAATCTTACAATTATTTTATTTTTATTTAGAAAGCAAAGGAGAAAAGAGATATGGAGTGAGTTTACTGATATGTAAATAGAAGGATGGTCTACTTAATTAGTTATGAATAAATTTTATGTTAAGTTGCTAATGCATATGAAATTTGCAAATGTAAATCAGCAGTGACTATGTCTGTATTGTTCAAATACCGCCTTTTACATGCTGGAAATCAGTTCAAGTTAAAATATATTTGTAACAATTATATACCTTTAGAAGTAGATTGATGAAATTTTGTGGTAGTTGCAGAAAATGGTTGGGTCTTGTGTTGCGCATAAAACTATTCAATTATTGTGTAATGTGAGCTTTTTGTACAAATATGATTGTATAAATCTTGTTTCTGTCTAGGACTTTTCTTGTTCCCTGAGTGTTCCAATTGTAACAAAGTGTATAAGAGTACACTATGTCAGCTATGCACTATTCAGTTAGGAATATGTTTTTCTTAATTCCATGTGATATAACTTACTTTTCCCAATAGTAATGATTTAGAAATGTGATGTTGCAGAACCAAGATTATTAATATTCGAATTGTAACACTTTGAGTGATTGAAAGTTATCTTTGGAACTCACATTGCTGTTCATGTTATGTTTAAAATAATGGACAGCAAGAATCATAAGTTTTTAATGGGTTCCGTACTGGACTTTGTGTCCAACTGTCCATATATTTGAGCATCGTTCTCTTGTATCTAATGTGATGTTTTGCCATTCAGTTTTCGTGCATCACTAAGCAAGTTGTCTCTGAGTGAGAGAAGTAAACGGATAAAACTGGATGAAATAAAAGAGACGTTTTACAGCCATCAAGGTAATCATAACTATCTCATTCAAACCATCGATAGAAGAGGCAATTGTTTCGGTGACTGTGCTGACGTATCAGTAGAGCAGAAAAGTTGGTTTTTGTTGAATTTGTTTGAGCATTCCACGGTATGTAGCATTAAGATTGCAAGTTTTAGTTTTCTTATGAATCCTGTGTCTTTAATATTAACAGATTGGTCATCAAACAAGTTCATGCCATCTGTACCAACACCACAAGGTACTTCCACAGAGAATATTGAAAATGGGATAAACATTGAAGGATCTGAAAGTCAAAACGTTGAAACAGCTACTGGAAGTTCACACATGCTTAATGAACCAAGATAACATCTACACTCTACTTTCTGTAATGTGTTTTTATTCGGAAAAATCAATCTAGGCATTACTTCACATTTTAGTATCTTATGATGGTCAAACTTGCTTAGGGTTTATTATTCATTTATATACATATAAACATGTTTATTGTATCGTTGTCAAAGTTTTTACGAAGTGACATATTTTTATACCTACACTTATTCCATATAAAGTTCATGTCTCATTTTACCTCCTACTTCCGATATTTATTGGCTGTCATCTTTTGATGACATTCAAGTTTTGGGTCTATGTCTAGTTTACTGTTTTACTTTCGGTGAATTGGATATTTCCAATCTATTTTATTCGGTGGGTGGAAAAGTTTATTGCTGTAATGTAAGTTGGATCCATTCCAAACACGCATACAGTACATCAAAGTATTGTTGTCTAACCAGAAACTGAATCTTATTATTTAGGATTATTCGTTCCATTGTTTCGTGGTGCTTTTTTTTTAAATTTTAAAGCCTTCCATTGGGTCAAATTGATCAGCATCAATTTTTTTCAATTGTAAACAAAATTTCTTTGTATGGAAGATGGAACAATAAGTTTTTATCCGAATTTTTGATTCTGTTACAACCTGTGCTCTTAATACTGTGTTTTCGAAATGCTGCCACAATTATTGTAGTTCGATTATAGCATTGGTGTGCATTCGTTTTAAAAGGGGCTTAGCCTTGAAGATTTTATGAGCCTAAAACAGTCTGAAAACTGCAGTTGTTTCCGTTTGTTTTACAGTCTTTGCCTTGATGCTTATTATATTTGGATTAGGCTTATTATATTTGGATTAGGTGAATACATATGAATAGACAGCATGAGAAAAACGGTTAGACATTATTGAAGACGCCGCCGAACAATACTAATCTGTAAAACAAACCTCAAATATAGTTGATATCTGCATTTAACGCAATAGAAAGATGTTAAGACATCCGGAATGCAGGTGTACCATAGAATAGGAATAATTAGCGTGGCCGAGGGGAATATGCGGACCGCGGCATCAAGTCCGTGGGATTAGTTACCCAAATGTGTGTTTCCAGGTGGATGAACCAGCCTGTACTTGAACCACTACGAAACGTCGAGAAGTCCGACAATACTCCCGCACATAATTATCAGCCACGGGATTCGCAAACCCACGTAGTGTAATCAGCGGTGCGATGGCAATCTTATGCCCAACGCTTAGCACGATGCGCCACACCGCCATCTGACAATTATCCAGCTGAGCGCTTTATCGCGCTGCTGTCTACCCCTCGGCGAAAAATTACGTGGGGGAAGATTGGGTGGGATCGTCGTTGCTCGATGGCCGGTTATCGGGACCACTTCTTCAACTAATCTAGGTACATGGAACAGTGATCTAGTTAGCTTATCGTATCTATGAAATTATTGCTTTAATCAAACTGACCTGAATTCCCAGCGTTTTTTTTCATATTCTCGGGCCCTAAACCGATTGCCTGTTCTTTCGTGTAATAAGTAGATGGGCATGAGTTAAAGTAGATTTCATGAACAAGGTGTTGCTGACTAGATGACTCTCCGAGTCTTTTCGCGATCCCGCGTCGACTGCAACAAGCCAATATCTGTTTGTCATTTTGTTACATTATATTATTTATTCATTTTTCATATCGCGCATTGTTTTTTGCATGACGAAAATAAATATCTGAATCTGAACAACAGTAAATGAATCACTCACTAACTTATGTGCCCCATCACTGACCAATTGATAGTTTCAAAGACAATGCTGGTCGGGGAAGGTGGGGCACAGTGGAAAATCAGCTCTCAGACTTTTACCGTATCAGACCGTATTTATGTATATATGTATTTTAATGTTTCACTCCCTTTCAAGTGCGGTACGACGTCCCCGCAAACGGGCAGCGACCGTTCGGAGAGATGCAAGCTATGAGATCAAATTGGTTTTGGAGGGTTAAAACTAAAATTCCGCCATCTCAGTCTTCCCCTTTTCTACTTTATCATTTCTAACAGGAAAAACCAATATATATCTGTTATTTCTTTGCTTTAGCACAATGTAAAATATTCATAACGTTGGTAAGTGTATGATCTTCTCTCTTCTCCTTTTGACATGGGGCAGTCTGAAATAGTTTGATGCCTACGGGGAACAATGCCAAATCTCTCTAAATTTGATGTATAGTATAAGTATAAGTTTATTTCGACTCCATAATCAGCAAAACAATAAAATGAATGGTAAAAATAAATAAATAAAAACTGATTATGAAATCAGGAGAGCGAACAAAACCTCAGATAAGGTTTAAAACGTACAGAATGTATATAAGATGGAAGGTTTTGCCAAGAAGATGTGGTACGTGTTCACTCACCTAAAATAATTGAAATATTTCATACACGCTCACACGCACCCACAACCATATAGAAGTTATTAAGTAAAGGGAACATGAAAAATTACATACTGGTAGTTAATAAAAAAATAATTAAAAATTACTTTCCACACCATAGTATAAAGCTTTACCCCAGAGAGTCGAAAAAAAATCACAGTAAGAGGCCGTTATGTGTACTTTCATTTGGAAAAAAGAGTTTTGCCTAACAATTAGTTGTTTACTGCTGACGCCAGTTTTCCCAACTGTCACTAAATCGTCCCATCCGTCCATGTTTACAGTTTAAGTTGTCTTTCATAAACCAAGACACTTGAAATTGAAGAGCAGAAATAGGAACATAATCTAATATGTTTTAAGTATGTGTAACTCTGTCATCGAAATTTATACATAGTGATGTTTAATTAGTTAAAATAATGTCTTTTCCTCTAAACCTGATAATATTTTGATCAAGTTTTGCTTCTGATATTGACTGGCTCAAGCCTAAAGTAATGATAATATTTTGATCAAGATTTGCTTCTGATATTGACTGGCTAAAGTAATATGCAGGAATTTCTTCAAATTGTTTAGTGGTAGAAGTAATTTATTCAAATAATGAAAAATGGATGAGAAGGAGAATTGGAGAATCCGCTTTCCACCTAGTGGGGATGTTAGCGAAGACAGTGACTGCAGCAGTAGCGAAGATGAATATGTACCACCGAAAAAGATTAGAGACTATGCCTTGTTGTCAGAAAGTTCAGATGACGAAGCTGCTAGTCAGGATATATCCATTGACCAGGGAGGAGAAAGTGATCAGGAAGCAAGAGGGTCAGGCGAGATGTCAGTTTCTTCTGTGGTTGAAGTCGAGGTGTGTATTGGAATCAATATCCCACGTAGGAAACCCGTATGGAGGATTGTACAGGAAAGTGACCCAGAATCAGCACGAGAGCTGCCTGCATGGAAAGGCGGTGAGTATGAATCGGAAACAGTGCGAGCACCAATTGAATATTTCAAATATTTTTTTGACTCGGATGTAATGCACCAAATAGTTGCGGAAACCAATATCTATGCGAGCCAAAGCGATCCCTCCAAACAACTAAACCTTACAATTCCAGAAATGGAGAAGTTTCTTGGTTGTGTCGTTTACATGTCTATTTTTCGTCTACCGAGAACACGTATGTTTTGGGCTGTGGAAACAAAGGTTAACTGCGTTGCCGATGTAATGACCCGTGATCGATGGGAAAGAATAAAAAAGATGCTCCATTTCAATAACAACGATTTACTTCATGGCGATTCTGATGTTCAACAAGATCGATTGTTTAAAATCAGACCCCCGTTAGAAATGCTTAAAGCAAAATTCAAACCACTGCATCAAGAGCAAGTTTTATGTATCGACGAGCAGATGGTTCCGTTTACTGGGAGGTCGGGGCTGAAACAATATCTTCCCAAAAAGCCCCACAAATGGGGGTATAAAATCTTTATGTTGTGTGGAACAGATGGTTTGGTACACAACTTTGAAATATATACAGGAAAGATACATCCTGTTTCTGGTTACCCTGATCTCGGAGCTAGTGCTAACATAGTCATCAAACTGACCGATAATGTGGAGAATGATGTAAATCACATACTCTGTTTTGACAATTGGTTTACGTCCATACCTTTGATGTCCGTTCTCGCCAAAAGGAAGATCTATTGTATATGGACGGCGAGACAAAATAGGTTAGTGGGATGCGAGCTGGAATCTGACAAAGATTTGAAAAATAGAGGGATGTTATCAGGAAAAGACGTCATGTGTTGAGGACACTGAAATAAGAGTTGTGAAGTGGTATGATAAACGAAGTGTAACTATTGCCAGTTCGTTTGCCAGCGCCATGCCCACTTCAGAAGTCCGAAGACGGGACAACGTCACGAAACAGCACATAATGGTGACTCGTCCTTTTATGGTAGATTTTTATAACCGTAGCATGGGAGGCGTAGACTTGTTAGATGCGCTTATAGCCTGCTATAGAATACGCATTCGGTCAAAAAGGTACTACCTGAGGATCTTCTTCCACCTGGTTGATTTGGCTATTGTAAACAGCTGGATCCTATACAGAAGAGATTGTGAGTCCCTGGGAGTTGCGAGTAACAAGCAGCGAGATCTTTTATCGTTTCGAAGTTCTGTGGCAGAAGCTCTTTGCAAGCTTGGGAAAATATCGACTCCGCTTAAGCGAGGCAGGCCATTGTCTACTACCCCACCACGAATCAGAAGCATAGCTACTCCACATCCCAACAATGAGGTTAGAACCGACGCCACTGGCCATTGGCCTGTGGTAGAAGCTAAGAGACAGCGATGTTGTTTCCCTGGGTGTGATAGCAAGCCGGTAATCAGATGTACCAAATGCGGAGTATATTTATGCTTGAACAAAGCCAAAAATTGCTTTGCGTGGTACCATGGCGTATATTAATGACCAACAGTACGGTCCACTGAACATTTTCTGTTGTCCGATTTCGTTTATTTTGAATTGAATTTGTTATATTTCCATTCGTATCAGTCGCAATACGTGTGAGTATTGACACAATAAATTCATCACGTGGACGAGTGTATCGATTTCGTGACAAAATTTTTTCTCCCAAATGGGGGGTAAAATAAAAAAAAATAAGTTTAAATTCGTATTCTACGGCCTTGAATTAGCAAATAACCGAAGCGGCGATTTTTTTCTCTCAGCGGATCATAATTCCGGCATTAAGTGGTTAATAAATTTATGATTGCCACTGCCAAATTGATCAATTTTATAAATGGGAGTGAACAGTAAAGATAAACTTTTATAAAAAAAATATATTGTCAAGCTGATTATAGATGGAGTCAAATGCCAAAATGCCCAACCAAAGTTGCCAGAATTGGATGCATGAAGAGGTGGGCTAGACCATAGGTTCTCAAAGTGCTCCGTACGGAGCCCCAGGGCTCCGCGAGAGGAACCTAGGGGCTCCGCGAGCTATTCGATTACTTGTCAAAATATGATCTTGGCTATTCTGTAACTGTTCAAAGAAGCAACGAGAATATCGGTCCGAGACCGAAGACTTATCGATCTTAGATCGGTAATTAGTTAATAACTCGCTAATTATACGACATAATTAACCCAAAATCTATAGGCTTCTGGTCCGAGGTAAGATGCATGCACATGCAAAATTTGGAGCATTCGTTCGCGAGATATCGCGTTCATCTAACAGACAGACAGACATACATACAGACAAATACCTATCAATATACTTACCGATCTTAAGATCGATAAGTAATAACACCATTAATAAAATCTGACAACAGTATAGCGTCGAAATATCGCAACGAGGCGTAATTCAAATATATATTACATTATCTATAAGTAGAAGCGCAGCCAGGATTTTTAAAAGAGAGAGGGGAGGGTTCAAAATTGGAATTAAAAATTCCCTGGCACCACTACTCGCTATTAGGCCACTCGATAAAAAAAAACTTTTTCAGTGGATAACGAGTTTCCATTCATGGCCGATGCGAGCATTCAAAATGTCGTGTCATAATAATTTAATTGTGTTTCTCGTTACTTGCCTATGAGTCTAGATTACAATTACGATTATCAAAGGGGGAAATACTATTACTACATTCTAAAATAATATAAAATAAGTGCTAAACTGCCAACTATAAATAGATTGGAATCCTATTTTTGCGATCTTGGGATTCATCAAATTTGAGTTGTTCTCTCAGCTGTGTTAAAATCTCAAAGACTACAATTTACAATTGCTCAATCCCTGACCGAAGCCTGCATATTAAAATGCCTTGTTTATTGGCTTCATTGTGTTCAATGTAACCTGTGGGTGCGTGGACTTACGACAATATAAAATCATTACTGCCCAAAATTACCATGCCAATCCGCGGACATCAAACGAGAAACAACAAAGTCAAGTGAACGAAAAACGAAGGATTGAAATGTATTTTGTTCGCAATAACAAATTGATTAATAATCTTCACAATTACCTTATATATTGTCACATATCGAAAAAAAGTCGCATTTTAACAAAATGCAATCGCGCATGTTAGGAGCGACTTCCTTAGTCTTCCAAAAATATCAAAAGTGAGGTGGTTCGACCTCATTTCGAGTTCATTAATGTGTTTGTCAAGTTTTCAATTTTACAGACCTGATATATATAATTTATCTGTGAAATGCAGATTAAAAAGTTTCAGCATTTAAATTAGGTAAAGTAATTTTAACTTACTCGGGAATATTTATCAGCAAATGATATGTGTTTTTTGTCTGCGTTATTTTCAAAATTTATTTGTGGGGCTCCGTGAAGAATAGTCAACATTTTCAAGGGCTCCGCAACATCAAAAGTTTGAGAATCCCTGGGCTAGACCACTTCATTGCCCAAACTAGAGCCTATCATTGCCAAATTATAGTCCAGATTGTAATAAGTATTTAAATATATCAGTAACTTTATAAGTATGAGTAATTATAATTAATTAAGGTAGAAAGACAGGGTATAGGAATATGTTGGTTGCTAAGGTTATAAGGTTTTTTTTTTTTCATTTTTAGATATTGACTTCTGCAAGGATAAAGGAATTAGTATTGTTATTTCACAGGATCATTTCTTCATTTAATTATTGTGGCGTAATAGATGTCAATTCAAGTTTATCGTGGATGAGACATCAGCCTGCGAATTTTGTTGTTGTAGACACCATTTATATTCAATAAACTAGCCATTGTATTGATCATCACGGAACTACCTGAAAAAGAGAAAATAAATCTGCGAGTAGGATATTCAAGGGTTACATATTTGGAAACAGCACTACCCTACACTTTTGTTTAGAATTAATTATTATTTCGAGTAGATATTGATTATTAGTTGTCTATCTTTAAAACGCTAGTTCAAAGACCAGAGTTGAAATATGGTTGGGACACCGGGTGAATCCTCGCAAACCATGCAGAAACTCTCAAACCACACTGACCATTCGTATGTTGGCCTTCACATTAACTTCACAGCAGAACCTCAACCTAGGATAAAATTTTGCCCTGAGTTCTTTAGATGCTGATTCTTTGCTGATTTTCAACGGCATATTTCGTTCAATTTATGGACCGCCCGAGATACCTGACAAACGTTTTTTTAAAGCATTTCGGTGGTAAAACGTGTGTCGCTTAGGAATTTCTTAGTCGCTACTACATTAGTGCCTTTTTGCATTAGCCCCGCAATGTCAAATGAATGTGCAAGTCAAAGGGCTCGAAAGATGGAAAAGAAAAAAGTGTCAAACTTTTCCCAATCTGGAAAACACAATTCGTTTATCAATTTAATAATTGAAATTAATGGTAAAGTTTCTCTTCTGACAATTATTAAATCATCTAATTCAAATGATCAGAAAAACGTTGCATCTAGCAGGTCCATAATGGGATGGTGTCGACAAGAGGCATGCACTAAAATTAGGCTTACCATACGTCGTCCCGTTTTAGGCGGGACAGTCTCACTTTTCAACGTCTTGTCCCGGCGTTCCGACCGGTCGGTCAAAAGTCCCACTTTGGCGTTCAGCCAGCATAATACATGAACATTACTAATTTTAGCATGTTCTCGATACTGTTGTTGCTGTGTAGCGCCCTGGTAGCCTACTTACTGAAGGTGGATACGTAGATTTGTTTGTTTTTTCTTAATAATTTAAATCGTATTTACCACTCCTGGCATTTTATATTTGGGCGTCTAGGTGGCAATTATTTATAACCGAATGAGCAATATTTTTTATACGATTAGTTATGTGTTATCATCATTACAGACATCCGCCCTCATTGACCTATCAGACTGAAGAACTCACATTTTGTTGATGATATATTAAAGGAATGAAAGCTCCAAGATAGGAGGGGTCTCGTGAACCACCCTACGGCGGCTAGGAGTCCAGCAATCTTCTCGCACATGATCATCCCTGCATGGGATTCGAACCCGCGCGGTGGTGAGCGTATTCCTAACGCTTAGCACGATGCGCCACACCGCCGATCCGCGGCGCTCCCGAAGTATGTGCACCAAGATGGCGCACAACCTGAACCCTAACCTGGTACACATGCTATGTTCAGGTTGTGCGCCATCTTGGTGCACATACTTCTGGGGGGGGGGTCCCGATCCGCTAAGCAAAAACACCCGATACTTCCCTAACCATGTGTTAAGGTTGTGATCATAAATATATGTTTGATCCAATTATAGAAGTAATATATTTAATCAAAAAAAATGATGTCTAACAAGATCACAGGGAAACAGTTCGATATTTCGATTTTTAAAAGTTTAAATTAAATATAAGAATCAAAATTGCAATAGCTAAAATGCGCGCAAGAAGGTAGAAAATACCTAAATCACAACCAAAAATATTGAAGCATCTCGTAAAATACAATTTCATACATTGGCATAAAAGCATTCAATATTGCAGTAAATAACAACAAAACAGGGACCTATGAACCAGTTGTGCCTATTATATACACAAAGGTAGATAGATATACAGTATTTTAAACATGTTGCAATTTGCTCTTCAAATAAATTTCCTGTGTTATTAACGGAATAATATACAGATCCATGTGGAAACATGAATATATACAGGAGGAGCCAACATTATAAGAAAATAAACCAAAATTACTTATTAGTTCAGTTAATAGCTGTGCTGCTCCACTAAGTTCTTATTGCGCTAAGTAATTGTCATGAAAGGTGGCCCAAGTGATATTTTACACTGACATAAAGTTTGAAACCTAATTCTATTCAATGCCAAGGCATTCATTTGAATCTTTTATGACCAATTAATTATGTAGTGTGATTAAACAAATTGAACTTTGCTAGAAGTACAGGATAGACTTACAGTCAATAAATATAAAAGAAACAATAAAATATATACTTTCATTTGAAGATTATGTTTATTACAAATATAGACATAATATGAAGTATTATCATCTTTATCGCATGCACAAAATTAAAAATATTGCATTACCTCATAGCTCACTGATTTTTCTTTAATCTGATTTGATGCCATCATATGCAATAGTAATTTGAAGGTTTTATTTTACAATTATTACAAGTAATATTTAACATTATATTACATATTTGCCAGAAACATCCTTTCTGTTAAGTCATCATAACTTGTTGTCTTAAATTGAATCTTTATGCTCTTCCATTTGCTTCCCATTATTGGATCATTGCTAGGATTAATGTCATCAACAAATTTGAAAGCTTCCGGTCGAAGTTGAGGGATAAGAATTCTCCTTACTCGTGCAAAGATACCCCATTTAGTATCACAGTTTTTGCAAAATAATCCATGTTTTCTTTCAGTTCCCCCGTCTTCAACTGGTCGCTCTATATATTTTGTTTTAAAATCTTCTGTAATGCAAGTATGATTTGTTCCATTAACAACTTCTATATTATCACTCATGCAAGCGAATATGCTGCATTTTTTGCAGCGTACTTTGAACGGAGAGGAATTATTCATCTCGTTTGGGTTGGCTGTTGATAATTTTTGCTTGAGACGATAATCACATATTGTCAAATTCTGATGTTTTTGCAATTCATCTAGATATTTTCTCTCATTTGTTCTGAACATATTTTGAACGACTTCAGTTGTTTTTTCCATCAGGAGAAATTTTGATATATTTACTTTGTCTTTAGCCATAACAGATTGAGATGAAAATTGAACCATGCGCCCTTGTGGTTTTCTTGCCCTCCCCTTGACTTGAGTGCTACTTATTTCATTTTTGACATAGTCATAGCAAATGACCAGATTACAATTGACAATATCCATACCCTCGCTCGCAACATCTGGAGTACACACAAGAATTTTGATGTTTCCATTTCTGAACTCCTCGAGAATTTTCTCCTGTTTGCTGTGAGTTAATCCAGGAGCGGCACCATCTCTGCTCTTTCCGACTCCAGTAAAATATTCTGCACGGATATTCAGTTTTTTCAATGCTTCTGTTTCATTTAACCAGCCTTTAATTGGTTCAGCATATTGACGCCTTAAAACATTCAACATTGCTCTAGAATCAAGGTCATTCACAAACGTTCCGAGAATCTCCTTCTCCATCTTGTTTAGATTTTGGTTGGCACAATGAGGATCATTGTAATATGCTTTGAGTTTTTCAATACTTTTCAAAGCCAGCTGTTGTAGATTTTTTTCAACACTTGTAAGATTTATGTCATGTGATTGACTCAACTTGGCTTCCAAATACTTCAGAGCATCAACAGCGCGACATTTGAAATGAAGATCAAGTGCCTCATTGAATAATTGTATCTGGGATACACATGCTTGAACATTTCTACAAAAATTAACATCACTGTCTTCCCTGAGATATTGGATTGCTTTTGCAGCAAAATCCTTGCACCACTGAATATACTGTTGTGACCCTTTCGCAATAGGTTGTGGTCTGGTTACTCCTTTAATCTTATGGATATCCATGTTGTGAAGAATTCCAACCATTTCATCTATTGTTTCACATAGACATAATGTAAATGGGTCATTGATCGTGTTATCATCCAGAACAACACTATCTTCCTCAACTTTTGGTGTATATTTATTCAACTCATCTCTGTGTGTCAGAGGAACAGTCACAATTCCACCAGTTGCATCGAGATTTGCGCAAAGCATTAGCATATGCTCAATAGCATCAAAATCTGTTTTACCTTTCCCAACACCAAGAGTAGCTGTTAATCCCACAATTTGAGGAAGACCATTATGTTTATCAACTTTGATATTGAGGTATTGCACCATGATACTGTTGTATGGACTATCTTTTATAGTATGATGACATTCATCAAATACAATCATATTGAACACTTTCAAAGAATTCACAGAACCAGTTGTGATAGCATTCAGAAGTATTTGAGCAGTCATAACAACGACATTCGCAGTTCGTAAGGAATCTTCCAATGTAGCTTTGCTGTCTCCAACAAGATAATCAATAGACCATCCACTTGCACAAAAATAAGTCTTAATGTTATCACATTGCTGCTTTGCTAGGGAAACTCTTGGAACAATGAACGCTATCTTCGGATTTTGAGACTTTAGCGTTGAATTGAACCTGGTGTAAATAATGTGGGATGCAACTCTAGTCTTTCCACTACCAGTTGGTGCACAAATAATAACATTCTTTCCTTCAATTGCATCTTGTGATAGATCTTTTTGATATTCTCTCAATTGGCGTCCTGGCACTTCCACGGTTGTAGACTGACTTTCAGGAATGCCTACTGGAAACTGTGCAGCCAGCCTTGGAATATTAATTTGACGTGTATTTTGTATCGGGTTTGCAGTGTTTTCCTTGAAACTGGCTTCATGAACCGAACCAACATCATTTTGGGGTTCACATGTGGCACATTGCACTGTCTCTTTGAATGATAAAGATTCTAGCGATTCAATTAGTTCAGTGTCATAATTGAGATGTCTACAAACATCTGTCAATTCGTTCCAACATTTTATCGGCTTTCGAATAAGAATTGAAAGAAGAAATCTGACAGCCTCTCGGTTTCCATCTTCTCTGGCACGACATTCTATAAGTTCAAATTCATCTTTTGTGATTCTTTCTCCCATTTCAACTGCAACCTCCTTTGCATTAATTGTTGATTTTATAAGTGGAGAAATAATAGTGAGATATTTTCTGATAAACTCTCTATTTTCATTCTCAATAACAGCTCTTTCCACCTCTTCAGCTTCAATTTCCCCACTTACAAGCGCAGCTAACCAGCCATGGCCACATCTCCGCATTGCACCAGTGAACTCTTCAATTTGTATATCACTATTTGCACATTCATTAATTATAATCTCAACTGCATCATGAGTCTTTTTACGATTCTTCATAACTTTGGTATGTTTCTCTGTACCAATTATGAATACATCAGGAAGACTCTCCATCATTTCCAAAGGATCCAAATGATCTTTGAGAACCGTTTTCCAGTGTTCAAGTAATGCCTTTTCCGCTTCTTTCATGATTGTAAAAAGTGTGTTTTACTCCATCAATAATTCAACAATATTGAGAAAACTTGGAACAATCTGAAAATTAAAACATCAACTCATCATTCCAGTGTTTAAGTAATGTCTTTTCAGTTTCTTCCATGATTGCAAAAACTGTGTTTTACTCTGTGTTTTTATCAATAAAATAATTCAACCATATTGAGAAAACTTGAAATAACCTGAAAACCATAATATCAACTCAAAATCGAGTTGAGGGACATTTAAGAAAAACAACATGGCTTGTAAATTCAGCAATAAATAAGTGTTCCGAACAAACTAAAAGTTTTGCTCTGTGCACTCAATACTGGTATAAATTCTTGTCTATGAGACTGGAAGAAAACCAGCAACTACAATCTAGAAAGTGAGCATGGAAGAAGGAATTAAACTGCTGATATTCAAAGTTATTTATGGGTACAAATTCCCTGTTGAAAATTAATATATATTAGTATTTGATAAAAATTGATCATAGGCCCTGTATTGCCAAATTTGCGGACTACTTTTCTTACATATATAATTACTTACCGGTACTTATGATTTTTCAATAAACACCACTGTTAGTAAACATGTAGAGATTGAGGAGTTTTGAATATTTTTTTGACCAAATATCTAATAAGAATGTTTTAATTTCAATATCTCTGATTATGTTTAGTATCACACCATCTCTTTTAACTTTACTTAAATTTGGAACAGCTTTAGATATGGTAGTATACTTTCTGAATAAACTATAATGAAGTAAAAGTGAGCGAGGTTAATGATAAAAAGTAACATTTATTGATGAATACATCAAATGCCTCATCTAGGGGGTAAGGCAAATTTATGATGCATTGATGTTTAATTGATTTATAGTGATTATTATTTTTCTTAAATAAACCTAAAAAATTTATTAACATGCCCTTTATAAGCCAAGTTGAATGAGGTTGTAACCAAATAATGCTTTGTGTCTACAAACGAAACATTACGATTCCATGATTCGTGAAATTTTACAAGATAAAAAATATAAGACTCACTAGAAAAGGCAGTAAATGTAAGAAAAATAGAAATGACCCTTAACAGAAAATATGAAAACCAAAAATAGTAGAATTTTTACAAACTTACGAAGAATACTCATTGCCAGTTGTATTGGTGCAGTTCTTTTGACTAGACTTGGAGCATCTTTATCCTGTTGTATTTGAAAAAGTAATGATATCTAGATAGCAGAACATCTGAAATATGAATAACACAACATTATTTACCACATATGGTAAGCAATAAAAGCTAAAACAAATCAATTGCGAGCAGACTCAGTGGAGATGGTGCCCACTGTTCAGTATAATTTTGAATTGACAAAATAAAGTATATTCATCTAAAATTCATCTCAATCAGCATACATCTCATTTTCAATTTGTAGAATATTATCAGCTTACATCTAATTTATAAATATTAGTTAACAATAATAAATGCACACAATTTTTCAGTATTCGAAAGAAGATAATTTAAAGATATACAAGAGAAATCAGCATGCAACCAAATAATCAAATTCGTAAGAATTTGCAAATAAAACTAGTGATAAATATTATCAAGTTTTCTTTATTTCAGCAAAAGAAGTTTCAATATGAAAGAAGGGGAAAATATTGCAGAGCATGTTTAATGAATTTGAAGAAATATAAAATTTATTTATAAACGGTGATATTTTTCAGGATTTTCCAAATAATTTCTCATACACTTGAAGGTCAACAATTAGAAGAGTTGATTATTAGCTTAGTAATATGATAATATAACTACAATGCAATAAATGCAAACATAAGCTACAGTGAATTATTCAATCATGAACGACAACATTTCAATGTAAATATTCGTTTTTAGAATTTAAAAATGCTTAATGAAGTTTTCAAAGCATTAGAAAATCACAAATGAATTTAAATAAAAGCTGGTTTTTAACCAGACAAATTTTACAATCTGATGAACAATTAAACAGAATAAATTTGTTTCAATTCAGTATACGAAATTTCTTGAAACGATATCTTAGGAACTATCTTCTTCCATTGATTTCCCTTTATTGGATTATCTGGAGGATGTTCATTATTAACGAAATGCAGTGCTCCAGAATTTAAAAGTGGAATCGTTATCTCAACATGCTTTGTGAAATTTCCCCATTTTTTATCACAATTTTTACAAAAATAGTCAAATTTCTTCTCAGTTCCACCATCCTTCATTGGACGTCTGATGTACTGGGTGCCAAAATGTTTTCTTATGCAAGTATAAATATTACCGCTGAGAACTCTTATTTCATTACCTTTGCAAACCAACACTGGACAATCACTGCAGTACACTTCAAAACCCTGACTTAAAACTGCATCTTTAGACACAGAAGAAACTTGCTTCAATGACTTTTCAACTTTTGAAGTCATTGCCATGGCGGATTCAAGAATTGGCTTATTTTGGTCAGATTTGTCAAGTTTTTCTTGCATTTCCTCTATCGCTGTCAAGTAATCCTTTTTGTTATTTTTAGCCATAAATTGAATTTTTTTAATGACTTCACTTTCGGGATCAAATTCATCATTTTGTGATAGCGTTATAATTCCACTTGTAGCCCCAAGGTTTGCACAAAGAGTTAGTACATCTTTTTCACTTTTATTGGCACCGGGGCTACTTGCAAATCCAATAACTTGAGGGACATTTCTGGCATGCTGGTCCTTTAACTTATGGTAATATGACATGATGACATTATATAGATGTTTTTTTCTTGCATGCTGACAATCCGCGAATACAATCAAATCAAATTTCTCCAAGGAATCCAGTGTTCCATTTTCCAGACTATCAGTAAGTAATTTTGGTGTTACAATAATGATATTTGAAACATTAACTGCATCCATAAAATTATTGGTTTTCCCACCTCCGAATACTTTCGCAATGGACCAATTGTATGAAGATAGTAGAATAGACTCAATCTTGGCACAGTATTCATGGGCCAGTTCAACTTCTGGAACAATTACCACAATTTTTGATTTCGCGGGAGAGGGAAATCTTCTGGAAATGATAAAAGACATGATGCGGGGTATTTCAACTTCTTTTGGTGCATACATTATCACATTCTTACCAATAGAGGCATCATATGCCAAAGTTATTTGTTGATTTTCAAGTGGAATATCTGTTGCTTCACTTTCATTCGAAGCCCCATTCGTAGTTTGATGATGTGTAACCAAGCTTGTGTAACCCATTACTTTTGACTGAACATCTATGGGATCAGTTTCTCTATAAGAAACAGATTCTTCAGCTACTATGTCACTACTTGGATTACAGAATGCTTTACTCGAGACATCAAGAAACACTCCATTTAACAATTCAATTAGTTCTCCATTGTAATTTGAATCTATCAAAATTTTTCTGAAACATGTCCACCATCCTGGTGGTTGTCTTACTAAAATAGAAAGTAGTTTTCTGACACCATGTTGATTTCCTTCTTGATCAACTCTACTCTCTATCTCTTCCAATTCTTCAGTTTTTATTATACCATGATCTCTTAGACGCTGTCCAACTTCTTTTGCATTGATTATGTCTCTTAGGTGAGGAGATATGACAGTAAGAAATTTCCTCATTCGTATCGCATTTTCATATCTGAAAACCACATCCTCAACATCTGAGTCTTCTACACATCCATTCATAAATTCTGCCAACACAGAATGTTTAGACTCAGAAATTGCAGCAGTAAACTCTTCAAATGTCATGTCACTGGCTATCACTTCTTCTATTATGAGTTGTACAGCAACATGCTTGTTCTTTCGATTAGATTGAATTTGTTCATATGCCCGAGAACCAATTTGAAATAACTGTGGTAATGCATCTATTATATCTAAAGGATCGAGGAATTCTTTTAAAACTTGTTTCCAGCTTTCCAGCACTAGAATATGATCTTGTTTCATGTTGCCGAGTGATGCACTAATTGGTAAACTGTTTATTTGCAAAAACACAACATCTTCAGTTCGAGGTATTTCGCAGTTTGCAGTATAGGCAATTTTTCGAATGAATCTTTCACCTAAATCTGAATCAAACACTTTCAAAAAAAAAACAAGTTTTCATCAATTTTATATTTCTGTCATAATAAATATCTTGGTTTGAAATCACCAAATTGAATGAAATACATGAATGAAATTTTGCACTAGTATAATATATCTGAAAGTAAATAGATCTTGGGACCACCTGCATTTTCCAAATTAAGAAGTAACACAGTGGTTTTATAGAGCTATTTGACCATAATAAAACCAGTTCCTTATTTCTAAGATTCCTTTCAGCTTGACATTCACATTTTTGTCACCCTGAAATACCAATATCTACAGTAGTTCACTTTAAAGTTTCTTTATCAAGTTCACTTTTCGTTTTATATTGCTTCACGAATACGTCTTCGCTCAGTTTCATTAGATAAATATAAAGCCATACACACTTGTGCATCCCATTCATGCTTATAATATTTTAGGTTTTAATTTAGAATCTGAAAGAAAATATACACCAATCACAAACATATAACTACAAAAATTACCATACATATTTATAATCCAAATTCATGGATACTTGAGTCTTGATAGTATACTGTGAGATATTTGAATATAACAAGTACCAGCAAGAGTACATGTTAAAGCAATTAATCCAGGAAAGAGCATCACACATGTATAAAAGATAATAGAGGTTGCAAAATACAGCAGATTAGAAAAAATATGAAAGACATTGGTCAAATTTGAAACCCTGTTGAATGTATTAATAATGTGTATAGTGTTTAAATGAATGTTTTGAAAAAAAAAAGTGTACATGAATATGAACATTTTTATTGACAAACCACAATAATGGATTTAAACCATCCTAGATAAATATGGGGCTTCTGTAGCTTAATACAGTGAAAGAGTTTTTGTACAGTTATTTATTTACATATTATAATGTTATCAAGTGTGTCCCTCATTCCATCCTAAAAGCATTATTACTTACATGAAATTACATATATATTTACTTATAATACTATAAAACTTAGGACTCGATAATACCGGACAATGATAAAATAGAAAACAATTTTCTGGGCTATGTATGTACTCTTTCATAAACCATTTTTTGTCAAATGTGGTACATATAAAAAACTCTTAGCCATAATCACACAAAATAAAATATAGTTGATAGCTGGCACTTTTTAATCAGCAGAATGGAGAAGAAATCATGTCCTGTATCAATGGTATCAGATAAAGCCTAACTAGTGGAGCTAACTTGGCATACTGCATTATTAATCTTTCTATTTGCATCTCGGAATTATAAGATGAAATTGAATTTTGTTTTAGGAATGTTACCACACACCCTCAAACCCCCCGAGTGAATATGAAAACGCACAATGACAAAGAAATAAAACAAAAACCAAACATGTTCAATACTGTTCAAGTATATTTCTGACTGGAACAAAAATTACTAATTTGCATATGATAAAGAATACAACAACAATCAATAAAACTGAAGAATTTAGGCTTAATTTATTATTAATATAGTTTATTAGGAGAGGTTCCATATTTCAAGTCTTGCATTTATGGATAGAAGATATTTCAATAAAAAATACTGCATTTACAATGATTGGGTACACAAATGCCTATTTATTTTATCGGGAATATTAAATAGTTACACATAGAAAAATGTCAACATCAACATTGAATGTATATAAAAAGCTTAACACTAAATTTTTTTAAAAACAAATTATACAAAAAAAGCTCAATAGTGTTCCTTTGACAGCAGGTTTTACAAGACTATTGAATGAGTATGATGCTACCATGAGATAATGTTGAAATATCTCTTCAAAGTAAAATCCACATTAATACGCAATTTTTTATTAAAAAAAATAAGAACAAACAATAATATTAGGGTAATGGGGAGAAGGACATAGTAGAAACAATTTCACTAAAAGACTTACGATAATAGCCAGATTGAATTAGGAAGAATTTATTTATATAAAAATAATAATATGTAAATCATGATTACAAAAATTATAAAATGCACAAAATTATGTGTTGTTTCATGAAAATATCTTTATTTCTAATTAGTGTGTAACAACTTGGTTGTATAAACAAATTATTTGCTTTATCCTTTAAAAGCAACATAATTTTTACGAAATTCTGATTGAACATATAAAAATAGTAGTTAAGTGATCCCAAGTAAATATTTATTGCCAAAAAGATTTGGAGCACAGCCATTTCACAATGGAAACGAAAACAGTGGC